CCTTCCAACTCTTGTTATTCTACGTAGATTCTATCTAACTTAGATGAGTGTTTCTCAGTCTGGTTAGCTTTGAGATGGGTGGACTTGGACTCCCAGAATCCCCCCAGGCAGGTTGCCAATTTTTTGGGGGGGGGCTTATGCCACTCTGGTGCACACTTGAGTGATGAGCATAGGAAAAAAATGGAGCAAAAGAAGGACAATTTCTTTTGAACCCGATTGCTTTCTTCTTTACCCCCTCGTTCCAGTCCTCATCGGCAGACAAAGCAGATAGGCCAGTGAAGAGGTTTCTATCATTCCACGATGTAGGATGTTGAGTTCTATTCAGCTCAATGTGTGTTGCACCTTGGACACTTTAAGGGAGGGTTGACTAATCCATGCGACCCACAAGTTTTGTGAAGTTTTCTTGGCAAGTCCAGTCTGCTTTTCTCAGCAGCCAAGGTCACCCAGACACTATTCTAAAAATACCGTTCTTTTCTTTGCCTCTCTTAGAAGATTATTTTGGACCGTTTTCTTCCTGACTCTGTGTGTGTGTGTGTGTGTGTGTGTGTGTGTGTGTGTGTGTGTGTGTATATATATATTGAAGTTCAGCTTTGATTTTTTTCTTGGCTTTAGGCTGAAAGAGGAAGGAGAGGAAGGGTGGTAAAGAAGAGAGACAAGGAAGGAAGGAAGGAAGGAAGGAAGGAAGGAAGGAAGGAAGGAAGGAAGGAAGGAAGGGAGAGAAAGAAGGAAGGAGGGGAGGGAGGGAGAAGGAAGGAAGGAGGAGGGAGGGAGAGAAGAGGGGAAGGAAGGAAGGAAGGAGAGGAGGGAGGGAGAGAAAAAAGGAAGGAGGGGAGGGAGGGAGAAGGAAGGAAGGAGGAGGGAGTGAGAGAAGAGGGGAAGGAAGGAAGGAAGGAAGGAGAGGAGGGAGGGAGAGAAAAAAGGAAGGAGGGAGCGAGGGAAAAGGAAGGAAGGAGAGGAGGGAGGGAAAGGAAGGAAGGAAGGAAGGAAGGAGAGGAGAGGAGGGAGGGAGAGAAGAGGGAGGGAAAGGAAGAAAGGAAGGAAGGGAGAGAAAGAAGGAAGGAGGGGAGGGAGGGAAAAGGAAGGAAGGAGAGGAGGGAGGGAGAGAGAAGAGGGAGAGAGAGGGAGAGGGAAGAGAAGGGAGAAGGGAGGGAGGAAGAGAGAGGAAAGGAAGGGAATGTTGTGACTTCTTTTTCATACCATTTAAATACGGGAGATTGCTTTTGAGGTGAGAGATTGTGGCTGGCCTCAAGGCACCTGGTGAATTGATAATGTTTGAAGATTGGGGCCCAGTTAGGCAAAACTAGCGTAGATCCTTGCCTCTACTTGCCTTTTCCCTGTTATTGTCGATTTATTCCATCGGCCCCTTCACTGACTGCTGAAAGCCAGCCTCAAGGGATGGGAAAATTGCTGCTAGTTTGCTTGCATTTTTTTAAAAAAACATTAAATTAAAGCTTCTTGTTGGCTGGTTCCCCGCTCCCGATCAAGCAGCTTTGGATTGGATGTGGTGATGGACAACCTAGAGCTGTCAGTCCTTCGGTAGGAAAACAAGTTGGGTGATCGTTGCTTGCTGGAAACACACTTGCTTGGTCAGCAGAAATACTTCCGGTTGCACGCTGTGCCGATTAATGTCTGCCGGCTCTGCAACTTGCACTTGTCTGAGGTGTGGTTAAGTTGGAGCTTGCTATCCTGGGTAAACTTAAAATCTGGAGAGAAATGTTTCAGGTGACTATTAGAAGAGGGTTTGTTTGAAGTGTGGTGTCTTGTGTGGACCTAGAATCTGGAAAGCAGTGTTTTAGATACATGCCAGATGATGGCTTGGTTGTAGTCTTATGTGGACTTTGGGGAGATACGTCTCAGATGAATGCCAGAAGGTGGTTTGCTTGTAGCTTGGTGTCTTGTGTGGATCTAGAATCTGGGGAGATAAGTTTCAGAAGAATGCCAGAAGATGGTTTGCTTGTAGCTTGGTGTCTTGTGTGGACCTAGACTCTGGAAAGCAGTGTTTCAGATGAATGCCAGATGATGGTTTGTTTGGAGCTTGGTGTCTTGTGTGGACCTAGACCCTAAGGAGATAAGTTTCAGAAGAATGCCAGAAGATGGTTTGCTTGTAGCTTGGTGTCTTGTGTGGACCTAGACTCTGGAAAGCAGTGTTTCAGATGAATGCCAGATGATGGTTTGTTCGGAGCTTGGCGTCTTGTGTGGACCTAAATCCTGGGCGACGGCGTTTTGTACTAGAGAATGGAAAGGCGATATGGCAAACCTTTTAAGTCTTTGTTACCGTCGCGTGAAGATCTGCAATTTGGCAGGGGAGACTTGACAGCTCCACTCAATTCGGCAAACGAAGGTTTTATTCCATTGCAGTCCAACCTTTTGCGGCTCTGTGCACTGCTGGTCTGTCTCCCACGGGTAGATCTAAAGTGGTTTTGTTTGTTTGGGTGGCATTGCACAATGCTGGGACGGTTTGTAAACAGTGGCCTTGCCTGGAATGGCAGAGTGTTGATGACAGTAAAGTGGAAGGACCAGCGAGGCAACTTGTTTACTTGATGACACGGCGTTGTGCATGCCGAGTTTCTGCAGATTCATAGCTCAAACGTGAATAACCAGGAAGGAGTTTTAAATGAAGCCGTGCGCTCGGATGTGTGATTATTCTGGACTTAAATGATGGATGTCTGCCTCTCGTCTGGAGGAGCAGTTGCTCTAGGCCAGTGGTTCTCAACCTGTGGGTCAGGACCCCGTTTGGGGTCGGACGACCATTTCACGGGGGTCGCCAAACAGCGCAGTCCACCATTTTTTTCCCCTTTTCCTTAGCTGTGCTACTCTCTTTTATTCTATTGGCTTTTGAAAGCCAATGGAATAGACTCTCTTGAATAGAGTCTAACTCTATGGGCTTTCCAAAGCCAATAGGAATTGTCCAGGCTGTCTCTGCCCTGCTGAGCCCGCCAAAAGTCCCATTCTGCAAACGGTGCTGCACCAGTTGAGTAGTCCTCGACTTACGACTGGTTGAGTAGTCCTCGACTTACGACTGGTTGGGGGTCGCGGCATTAAAAAGGTTGAGAACCACTGCTCTAGGCCATAGATCTTCAACTTTTTGGGCACCAGGGACCGGTTCCTTGGAGAGAGGTTTTTCTGCAGACCAGAGAGTGCTTGGTTTTCTGTGCTGCCTGCATCCCACGGATGGGGCTTTGCTTGTTTGTGCGCCCCAGTTGCTGGCATGCCGTGACCCAGTACTGGTCCACGGACTGGGGGTTGGGGATCCCCTGCCCTAGACCAGAGGTCCCCAACCTTTTAGGCACCAGGGACCGGTTCCGTGGAGAGAGGTTTTTCTGTGGACTGGAGAGTGCGTGGTTTTGTGTGCTGCCTGCATCCACGGATGGGGCTTTGCTTGTTTGTGCGCCCCAGTTGCTGGCATGCCGCAGGCCAGTACTGGTCCATAGACCAGGGGTTGGGAACCCCTGCTCTAGGCAACTACACATAAGTCCCCAACTCACAACAGTGTATTTAGTGATCGTTTAAGTTACAACGGCACCAAAAAACTGACATGACCATTTTTCGTACTTCGGACTTTGCAGACTCCCAGTGGTCATTCTTTGCAGAATTCAACTGCTTGGCAACTGGCGTGTACTTATGACGGTTGCACCATCCCTGGGGTCACGTGATCCCCCCTTTTGTCATCTTCCGACCAGCCAAGTCAAGGGGGGAAGCCAGATCCACTTAGCAACTGCAGTGATTCAGGTCGTAAAAAGGGGGTAAAACTCACTTAACAACCGTGTCGTCAGGAGCAGAACTTTTGGTTCTCAGTTGTGAGGACCACTTGTACAGGGGACCCTTGACTTACAACCACAATTGGGATCTACTATGCAGCAAGAGAGGTGCCCAATTTTACTATTTTTTTTTGCCGCAGTTGTTAAGCGAATCACCTACAGTTTGTTAAGTGAGTCATGAGGTCGTTAAGCGGATCTAGCTTCCCTCCTTGATTTTGCTTGTTGGAAGGGGGGGCCAAAGGCAATCACACGCTGCAACTGTCACAGATACAGACCTGGTTGTCTAAATTCTGGTCGTGGGATGGTAGAGATGCTGCAATGGTCGTACGTACGTGCGAGGACCGATCCTAAGTCATTTTTTTCCCTAAATGAATGAATGTAAGTCAAGGACTATCTGCAGATAGATATGGTGGCGTTAGTTTTTTTTTTCCCTTGAGTTCTACCACAAATGTCTAGCTCAGTGGTTCTCAACCTTTGGGTCGGGACCCCATTTGGGGTCGAACGACCATTTCACAGGGGTCGCCAAACAATGCAGTCCGCCATTTTTCCCCCCTTTTCCTTAGCTGTGCTACTCCCTTTTATTCTATTGGCTTTTGAAAGCCAATAGAATAGACTCTCTTGAATAGAGTCTAACTCTATGGGCTTTCCAAAGCCAATAGGAATTGTCCAGGCTGTCTCTGCCCTGCTGTGCCCGCCAAAAGGCCCATTCTGCAAACGGTGCTGCACCAGTTGAGTAGTCCTCGACTTACGACCGGTTGAGTAGTCCTCGACTTACGACCGGTTGGGGGTCGTGGCATTAAAAAGGTTGAGAACCACTGGTCTAGAAGATGTTGGAGAGTTGGTTAGAAGAAGACTCTGTTGGGTAGGATTTGTTGACCAGAGAGGACCATAACTGTATTTTCTGCAAACACAGTCCTAAACAAATAAGTCCTGAAGCTTTAGCAACATTTGTTCTCCCCACAAAAACAAAACAAAACAAAACAAAATCTCACAAAAGTAGCAGATTTTTCCTTCATACGTTAGCCAATTCAGAGACACCAATTCTGTTTCCCTTGCCTGCAAAGTTAAAAGAGAATTTGAAAAAGCTGTTGTTGTTTTTTTAAATTTTCTCACAGTGACAGGTCTGGGCATGTCTGACTTCTAATGTTTATTTATTTAACAATATATTTTTCTTTTCTAGTTTGAGTCATTCAGGTTTCAAACGGCGATGTGAAATAATAATGGCTTCATTTTGTTTTTTAGGAGATGGCAAACTCCGTTTATTTAGTGATGGAGGTGAGCGATTCTAAGATGATCTCCCGAAATGTTAAATATTTTAAGACGGATTTTAATTTTGAACTTCTTTTAAAGAATTCATGCATGGTTTTATTTATTGATTGAAGTTTTATGCTGCTTCCATACTGAACTGCAGAGTGCTGGTTGTTATTTTATTTATTAACCTGAATGTTTAATAATTTGGCTTAGCTTATGAATTCTTGTTTCTTTCTACTCCCTCTTTTAGTACTGCAATGGTGGTGATTTGGCTGACTATTTGCACAGTAAGTATTCTAAGAATGCCTTCTGATTCTTCCATAATATTAACATCAATATTAGGAAGCAGAAAATAACATCAGGAACAAAATCCCTTGTCAAATGAGATGATGATAATAATAGTAGTAATAATAATATTAATATTAATAATAATAATAATAAAGTTGGAAGGGACCTTGGAGGTCATCTAGTCCAACCCCCTGCTCAGGCAGGAAACCCTATACCATTTTGGACAAGCAGTTTGATAGAGGTGGACTTTTGTCCTGGACTTTTATTTTTTTTGTTGCTTTTTCCTTCTTAATTACGGGTATAATTAATGCCAACATTCATCAAGACTAAACAATTGAAGCACAGGTGGTCTCAAAGGCTAGCAAAATTTTGATTGACAGCCTTAGTTTATATAAAAATCGTTTTGGTGCCTTTAATGAATTGTTAAATTTTGTAGGGCTTTTTCTCTCTTTTATATAGGTACATATCGTTATCTCTGTATCTCTCTATGTATATCTATCTACTATCTATCTTATCTATCTATCTATCTATCTATCTATCTATCTATCTATCTATCTATCTATCTATCTATCTAATCTATATATCTCCAGTTCTTTCTTTCTTTCTTTCTTTCTTTCTTTCTTTCTTTCTTTCTTTCTTTCTTTCTTTCTTTCTTTCTTTCTCTATCATCTAGCATCTATCTATCTATCTATCTATCTATCTATCTATCTATCTCTCTATCTATCTATCTATCTATCTATCTAACTATCATGTGCTCTATTTTAAATTTTGTGACTTGGTCACCATAAAGGTAGTCCTCTAATTATGATTGGCTGTTTCAGCAATCATTCCAAGTTACGACAGACCCTGAAAATGGAACTTGAAACCCTGATTCTAAGTTCCAATGTACAGCAACCCAACTCTCTCCCTGTGGGCAAAGTTTTGTGGCCATTTGAGACGCCCAAGTGGCCAGAAACTGGCTTTTGCTTCTAAATTCCAGCAAAAGCCACCTCAGAGTGAATAATGGGTTCATTTAATGTCCCTGGTGTTTGCTTTATGAGCACCAGAAAAAAAGATTGTAAAATTGGGTCTAGACAGGTGATGACCTGCTTTACAACTCTCAGGACTTATGAGTGAAATGTTGGACTCACAGTTAAAAGTCGAGAACCACATGTAAAGGAAAAAAAATGGGGAATATTAATGGCCTGCTCTACCTGGAAGGCTTTTAGTTTGGAAACCGGCTTTATAAAGGGTTTCTGCTTTTTAAGCGTCTTTAGGTAAGCGAGAATATATCACCTTGTACTTTGCTAAACACTTTGAAATCCGATTAATTAAGAAGTGTCTTAAATGAGCAAGCAAGGAAAATATGGCCTAATTACTTGAATGGGTGTTCCCCCACGCGGCGGTGTTTCAGACAGAAGGACTGGAGTTCATCCCCGATTCATGATATTTAGGAATATGTTTTCATTCAGACTCTTGTATAAACCAGCCATCTGATCAGAATAAAAACCCCACTTGACAACATTTGGTCGTCTCTGTCCAGCAACACACATAACAAATTAAAATGTTTCAAAGGGACTTTTGAAGTCTTTCATGATCTACAGACAGAAAGCTGGGCCCTGTTGATCCATTTGTATGCAGCAGCTCTTTTTAATTCCCATCAGTCTAATGCATTCAAGTCCTCCAAGGCCGCCATGTTTTGGTTTGGTTTTAACTTTCAAAAACACTAACACAAAGATGAAAGATGTGTTGATTAAGCTTCCTTGTCCAGTTCTTTCTGGCCTGGGTTCAAACAAGTTGTGTGTTAATCCAGGTTGTTGTTCTTTGGGGATTAATCTTACACAGGCCGTAACTAGAGATGCAGAGAGGTCAAAAAAAAAAAAAAAAATGAAGCAAAATTCACTAACTGTCTCACTGAGTAACGGAAATGTGAGACTGAGTTGCGATCGAAAGTCGAGGACTATCTATATCAAGGAACACGTTGTGTGTTAATCCAGGTTGTCGTTCTTTGGGGTTTAATCTTGCCCCATGTCAACCGGCAAAAACAAGAGATGCAGAAGGGTCAATAAATGGGGCAAAACCCACTGTCTCACTTAGCAATGGAAAATTGGGGCTCAGTTGTCATAAGTCAAGAACTATTGAGGAAGAAGGTACGCTACTGGTTTCACTGTTGATAGCTTCTTGCAATTGGGATCCATTTGGCAATTAAGAAAACCAAGATCGTGGCATCCGGCCCTCTCAATTCCTGGCAAATAGATGGGGAAGAAATGGAGGCAGTGACAGATTTTATCTTCCTGGGCTCCAAGATCACCGCAGATGGGGACTGCAGCCAAAGAAATTAAAAGATGCTTGCTCCTGGGGAGGAAAGCTATGGCAAATTTAGACAGCATACTTAAAAGCAGAGATGTCACCCTGCCAACAAAAGTGCATATAGTCATGGTTTTCCCAGTTGCAATGTATGGCTGTGAATGTTGGACTGTAGGAAAGGCCGAGCGACAAAGAATGGAGGCCTTTGAACTCTGGTGCTGGAGAAGACTCCTGTGAGTCCCCTGGACTGCAAGACGATCCAACCGGTTAGTCCTAGAGGAGATCAACCCCGACTGCTCTTTAGAAGGCCAGATCCTGAAGTTGAAACTCAAGTACTTTGGCCACCGAATGAGAAGGAAGGACTCCCTGGAGAAGAGCCTGATGCTGGGAAAGATGGAGGGCAAGAGAAGAAGGGGACGACAGAGAAGGAGGTGGCTGGATGGAGTCCCTGAAGCAGGAGACGTGAGCTTCAATGGACTCCAGAAGATGGTAGAGGACAGGAAGGCCTGGAGGAACGTTGTCTACAGGGTCGCGATGGGTTGGACACGACTTCGCAACTAACAACAACAACAACAATAATAATCAGCAAATTTCACCGCTGTTTTCCCCCCCCACTTTCTTTCCACAGGTATGAGAACGCTGAGCGAAGACACGATCCGTCTCTTTTTCCAGCAAATTGCAGGTGCCATGAGAGTTCTGCACAGCAAAGGCATCATCCACAGAGATCTCAAGCCTCAGAATATTCTGCTTTCTTTCACGGGCGGGAAAAAGTCAAACCCCAATAACATCCGGATCAAGATTGGTAAGTGGGAAATGACGCTATGAAATTCTAACACAACAAGAGAGAGAAATTTTGTACTAAGATTTTAGTCCTGTTTGTGTGTTGCTGTTGTTTTTCTTTGTGGGGGTGGGAGGGATCGTAAAGCCCATTGATTTCAGCAGATTTTGATCTCTAGGAAGCAGGATTTGGGTTTGCAACCCCCAGTGGAAGAATATGAGTTTGTTAATAGGAGTCTCCCAGCTTTTCCTAATCACAATAATCTTAAAAAATGTGGTTACGGTTGTTACTGCTTTTATCCATTTAAAAAAAAAAAAAACAGCACCAGAGAAAGCAGGGATGGGGAGGGTGGAGGAAAACAGCTTTTCATATTGAATGTTTTTTGCCAAAGCCAACTGTAATTTTTTCTCCCTGTCTCTTCCCCATTCCCCTATTTGCTTCTTTGTGTAGCTGATTTTGGATTTGCACGGTACCTACAGAATAATATGATGGCAGCGACGCTATGCGGGTCACCCATGTACATGGTAAGGGACAGCTCTCTTTATTTGTGTTTTTGTTTTTTGCCAAATTGGTTTTAAGAGTCGAAAAACTCGGAAAGCGCTACAAATTGTTGCTGTTTCTATTGGTCAAAAATAAAAATAAAAAAGACACCACAGTAAAGGATGCTGAGATTGGGTCGGATAAGGAGAACAACTTTTTATATTTAGCGATGCTTGCTGAGGCCAGCTGACATTTAACCTGGGAAAGGAAGTGGTTACAGTCTTTGAATGGACTCCCTTGATTGTGCTGTTGTGTCCCTTTCTCCGTTATTGGGTCCGAGATCACATACACAAAGCCACATAGTCTTCCATCCCAAGGTTTGTACTCCGTATTTTGAGGACCTAAAAAAGGGTGAGCAGGCTGTTTGTTTACCTAGGAAATGGCGTGATATAGATAAGAGTGTTATTGATCAGTTGTGCAACTGTGAGGGGTCCTTGGTGTTCTCTGAGTGTGCTTGTTTTCTGGCAGATGTTTCATTAATTAGGTTACATCATCAGTGTTAGAAGGAAGTGGAATTTATGGAGGGAGGGAAGGAAGGAAGGAAGGAAGGAAGGAAGGAAGGAAGGAAGGAAGGAAGGAAGGAAGGAAGGAAGGAAGAACTGACTATGGGGTCCTTGGTGCTCTCTCAGCTTGCTTGTTTTCTGGCAGACGTTTCATTACCCTAACTAGGGAACATCATCAGTGCTAGAAGAAAGTGGAATTTATGGAGAGGAGGAGGGAGGGAGGGAGGGAGGGAGGGAGGAAGGAAGGAAGGAAGGGAGGTTAAGAAGAAAAGAAGGAAGGAGGAAGGAAGGGCTAAGAAGGGAGGGAGGGGGGAAGGAAGGAAGGAAGGAAGGAAGGAAGGAAGGAAGGAAGGAAGGAAAGAAGACTATGGGCTCCTTGGTGCTCTCTCAGCTTGCTTGTTTTCTGGCAGACGTTTCATTACCCTAACTAGGGAACATCATCAGTGCTAGAAGAAAATGGAATTTATGGAGAGGGGGAGGGAGGGAGGGAGGGAGGGAGAAAGGAAGGAAAGAAGAAAGAAAGAAAGAAAAAGAAAGAAAGGGGGGACTAAGAAGGAAAGAAGGAAGGAAGGTCTAGGAAGGAAGGAAGGAAGGAAGGAAGGAAGGAAGGAAGGAAGGAAGGAAGGAAGACTATGGGGTCCTGGGTCCTCTCTCAGCTTGCTGGTTTTCTGGCAGACGTTTCATTACCCCAACTAGATAATAACATCAGTGCTTTATTAAGGGATGCTGTTTGCTGTCGGTTTATGGGTGGGTGGGTAAGGGGGTCTTAGGGATTCTTGGTTGGGCTGTTTACTAATGGCTCTTTAGCAGCTTCTTGATTGGGGTACTGCTTACTTGATGGTTGGTCTGAGGTTGACCTTGGAGTTAATCTGATCCGAGTGCTGATTACTGGTGGAGAGGTACTGGAGTTTTTTCTCTCTTTTGGGCTAGCTGTGTCTTTTGCATAGTCTGTAGAGGTTGTTAATGTCTATGTGCCTGTTGATGGCTGATTTGTCAGAATGCCAGGCTTCTAGGATTTGGCCTGGTCTAAGTTATAAAAGAGATCTGCGTAATGCTCTGAAATGGGGAGGGGGGGGAGAGCAGGCTATATATTCATATCGTGGGGGTTGGGGGAGGTTAGTATTTGATAAGGACCAAGTGAGCCAGGGTGATTTCTGACTTTCTGCCAGCTTCCCCCGTTGATCTCCCTTGTAGGAAGCTGGCAGGCAGCATTGGAAATGACCAACTTGCAGCTGAGGGGTAGCACTGAAGCACCCACAACGTTGCCAAATTTCAGTCCGATGGGAGTCAGGGGTCCCTGATTTGGGAGCCTTCCATAAGTTAGCCCGTCTGAAGCATGTTGATTCAAAAATGGTTGCTCTGTGACACACCGTTTTGCCTAATTGAAGGTTACAAACAGACACACACAAGAGCTTTAAATAGCATATAGGGTCTGTTGTTCTGCATCCAGTACATGAGTTCTTCCTAGCAGGAGTCACCCAGCAAGCAAGAGGAAGCAAGTGTAAGAAGTGAGTAGTGGAGTGTCTGATTCAGACTGGAGGCAAATAATATCCTTTTAATAATAGTAATAATAATAATAGTAGTAGTAGTAGTAGTAATAATAATAATAATAATAATAATAATAATAATAATAATAATAATAATAATAATAAAGTTGGAAGGGACCTTGGAGGTCATCTAGTCCAACCCCCTGCTCAGGCAGGAAACCCTATACCATTTCGGACAAATGCTGTCCAGTCTCTTCTTAAAAACTTCCAGTGTTGGAGCATTCACCGCTTCTGGAGGCAGGTTGTTCCACTGGTTAATCGTTCTCACTGTCAGGAAGGTTCTCCTTAGTTCTAGGTTGCTTCTCTCCTTGATGAGTTTCCACCCGTTGCTTCTTGTCCTGCCTTCAGGCACTTTGGAGAATAGCTTGACTCCCTCTTCTTTGGGGCAGCCCCTGAGATATTGGAGCACTAGTATCATGTCCCCCCTCGTCCTTCGTTAAACTAGACATACCCAATTCCAGCAGCCTTTCCTTATATGCTTTAGACTCCAGTCCCCTGATCATCTTTGTTGCTCTTCTCTGCACTCTTTCTATTACAGACACTAAGCCAGGGATAGGCAGCCTTGGCTCTTTGATGACTCATAGACTTCAACTCCCAGAATTCCTGAGCCAGCCATGCTGAGGGGAAAGGGAGAGGTTTCCAAGCTGAGCCATGCTGGCTCAGGAAGTTGAGGTCCATGGGTCATAAAAGAGCCAAGGTTGCCTACCCCCGCACTAAACTGTTAAGTTGGGAGTAGTCAATGGCTGTTGATGATCTTCTGGTTGAGAGAAGCCCAGCCTTAAATACCACTTGCCCTGTCCTTTCTTGTGAGCTGTGGGATGCCTTTGACTGCCATGGCATGACACGATAAGGTGGCCTCTCTTGGTCTGATCCAACGCTGGAGTTCCTCCTCCTGTTCTTACGTGACGCTGGCCTTCACCCTTTGTTCCGATGTTTTATGGTCTTGAAATAGAATGTACTGTACAGGTCGGAAAGTTGAACAAGTTCCTTAGCACCTCCTCTGAACTGAGACACTGGCCAGACTGCCTGCAGGGCTGTTGCAACACATGGCCTGGGGTTCTTTGGGGAAGTCTTCAGAGTGGAAAAAGAGAGAATCTGACATTAGAAGCCCCGTTTCCCCCCCCCCCAGAGGAGGAGGAGGAGGAGAGGAGAAAAAGCGAGAGGCTGATCTTTGACCAGGATCTAAAATACTACAAAGAAGTCAACCAGTATAGTAGGGGGGCTGTAATAGTGTATGAGAAAGACCTTGTGAGAAGGAGGGAAGAAGCGCTGCCTATAGAATAATCCGATAAGGGACATCCTAGCCCAGGGCTGCATAATGGGTGGGGCATGAGACTTGGGAGGGGCTCGCTCTAGTGTCTCATCCTGCAAAGGAGACAGCTGTAATGGCACGTGAGAAAGACGTTGGGAGATGCTAGGGACTGGCCAGATAAGAGACAGCGTAGCCCAGAGCTGAACAATGGGTGGAGAAAGACGCTCGGAAGGCACCCTCCCTAGTTTCTCAGGCTGTAAAAGAGGTGGCTGTAATGCTTGTGAGAAAGACCTTGGGAGAAGGAGGGAAGAAGCGGTGCCTATAGAATAATCCGATGAGGGACAGCCTAGCCCAGGGCTGCATAATGGGTGGGGCATGAGACTTGGGAGGGGCTCTCTCTAGTGTCTCATCCTGCACAGGAGACAGCTGTAATGGCATGTGAGAAAGACCTTGGGAGATGCTAGGGAATGGCCAGATAAGAGACAGCGTAGCCCAGAGCTGCATAATGGGTGGAGAAAGATGCTCGGAAGGCACCCTCCCAACTTGGTCCAGCTGTAAAGGCGACGGCAGGAAAATTTTACTTTCGGATTTGTAAGCTTCTCTTAATGTAGCTTTGCAAGTCCAACTAGCTCACCTGGGCATGCTTCCTGTTGGGTCTACCTGGTAAGGCTGGCCCTTATGAATCTGGGCGGGGTCAAAACGAAGGAACTGGGAGCTGTTTTCCCTTCAGTTTACTGGCTGGAATCAAACACACCCAGCAGCTAGCAGGGCCATCAGCATTCTGAAGCTGACAGTGTCATTACTCCTTTTTCTTCTTTTTTCTTTTTGGCATTCTGCTAGGCTCGGGGCGTTGCGTTTTTGTGTTGGTTGGTGACTTCGCCCACAGGACACAATGCCTTCCTGTGCATATATCTGCTATGGAGGCTGCAGGTGTGGAGTTGGTCGTTCGTTTGTTTGCTTGCTTGCAAGCAAAGCCAGAGAGGGCAGAGTTATTAATCTCTCGATATAACAAAATGAGATGCTGTGCAGTGTTATATTTTTAACACAAAGCTTGGTATGTGTGTGTGTGGGGGGGGGGGAGACCAGCAGGTTTTAAATACAGATAGTCCTTGACTAATTTCTGTGGCTAAGTGCAGACAGTTGCCAAGTGGGTTCTACCCTCATTTTACGACCATTCCTGCCAGAGTTGTTAAGTGAATCGCTGCCGTTGTTAAGTTAGCAACACGGTTGTTAAGCGGATCTGGCTTCCTCCGTTGACTTTGCTTGTCAGATGGTCGTAAAAGGGGATCACATGACCCCCCCGGGACGCTGCGACCATCGTAAATAGGAGTCAGTTGCCAAGCGTCCGAATTTTGACCACGTGACCGTGGGGATGCTGAAATGGTCGTTAACGGTGAAAAATGGGCGTAAGTCACCTTATTCAGTGCCGTTGTAACTTCAAACGGTCACTAAATAAACAGTTGTAAATTGAGGACGACCTGTATGTTGTGTTATGTGACGGGGATATAATTGGCAAATGGATTGTGGGCTGTTACGTGGGGGGGCGGTTTAAATGGAAGGCACGAAATTTAAGACGGGCCTTTTGCACTTAAGGGGAAAGAGATGGCATGAAACAACGAATAGGGGGTCACAATGGGTTGGCCCCCATTTTTCCTTTAGAATGCTAATCGTGGAACCAGACGGTATCTTACGAGATCACGTAGTCCACCCCACTGTTCAGGACAAGGGCTCTCTCAAAGATCTGGAATACTGCGGCCAATTTTGGTCACCCTATCACAAAAAAGATGTTGAGAGTTTGGGGAAAAAAATCAGAGAAGAGCAACTAAGATGATCGAAGTCCTGGAGACCAAACCAGACGAAGAACGGCTGCGGGACCTGGGTCTGGCTAGTCTAAAGAAAAGAAGAAATAGGGGAGACAGGATAACAGTCTTCCAGTAACCTGGAATTAAGGAGAAACTTCCTGACAGTGTGGACAATCAACCAGTGGAACAGCTTGCCACCAGAAATCATGGAGGGAGGGAGAGAGGGAAGGGAAGGGAAGGGAAGGGAAGGGAAGGGAAGGAAGGAAGGAAGGAAGGAAGGAAGGAAGGAAGGAAGGAAGGAAGGAAGCAAGCAACCTGGAATTAAGGAGAAACTTCCTGACAGTGCGGACAATCAACCAGTGGAACAGCTTGCCACCAGAAGTTGTGGGTGCTCCATCATTGGAGGTTTTTAAGAAGAGACTGGGCGTTCACTTATCTGAGACAGTATAGGTTCTCCTGCCTGAGTGGGGGGCTGGACTAGAAGACCTCCAAGGTCCCTTCCAGCTCTATTCTATTTTATCTCTGAAAAATCTGTCCTTCCAGCCTCTGTTTTAAGCCCTGCAGTCAAAGAGCTCAGCTTTCCACCTTCTTTCCCAGTGAGTCCACTTAACCTACCTTGCAGGCCTGTGGTTGAAAGCAGAGCAGGTGGGGGGGGGAGGTCCCCGTCCCCCCCCCCAGTTGACATGCTTGAACAAGAAAAGCAAACTTTTTTTTTTTTTAATAAAATTTTACTTTTGAGTGCCGCCGGTTACGAGTTTAGCAGAATGTTTTGGCAAGGCAGGTCGTGATTCTAACTTGTTTGGCAGCTGGTAAAGGCTGCTTGGTTCAAATGTTTACATGCACACTTCATTCTTTGTTTTTGACACAAAGGTGTTGGCAGTTTTCTCCTGGGTTGGCTGGAGGCCAATGACTTATTTGGCCAGCCGAATGAAGACGAGGCTGTTGAGTTGCCTCGAGTGCATGCTTGAATCTTTCATATTTTTTTTGCAGCTTTAGCTGACCAAGAGATAAGGTAGAGGGGGTTGATTTTGATTTTGATTTTGATTTTTTTCCCGTGCGTGCGTGGTTAAATTCTGGGTTTTCTTTCCTCATTAAAGTAGACTCTGACCCAGTTATAGCATAGCTTTTTTCCCTCCCTTTCATTACTACCCAGTTTTAATTTGCAAAGAAATTTAAACCCATCGGCTTTCTCAAATCCTGTGCTGGGAGGGGAGGTGGGGGGCTCACCAGGTTTGGGGTAACTTCACAGCGGATCAGACCACCCATATGGGCTTCCTTTTTTCCACTGTAGGCCCCGGAAGTAATCATGTCCCAACATTATGATGCCAAAGCTGATCTGTGGAGCATTGGGACAATAATTTACCAGTGTCTGACGGGAAAAGCACCTTTTCAGGTAAGGTGAAAAGTTCTTTTTTGTTCATTTCCCCTCTGACTTTGGGAGTTTCTTTTTTTCTTTTTAAACACATTTTATTGGTTTTTTTAAATTCTTAAGAAAAAGTACTCAGGACCCACAGTGGTGGTTGGGTGGTCAAACATTCAAAAGTAAAGACATATATAAACAACTCAGCTCAATACATTTCACTATCCCCTCTCTATTCCCCTCAAGTAACATGATACATTTAAATATTCCATTTCTATTTTAAATTTCTATTACTATTAAACCTGTTTTATAACTTTATCAGTTTACAATTGCAGTAGTTTAAATTTAAAAAAAGAAATTATCAATTCTAATTCTTAACCTCTCACATCCCTCATTTGAGCGCCAATCTCATTTATTTCTTCTTCCACTACACAATAGATATCCTAATAGCAATAAAATATTAATCAGCCCTATACATATGTAATCCCAGTGACTTTGGAAGTTTCTTAAGTGTGTTGCTGTTGCACAGTTTCCAGGCTGCCCTGAATTTTGGCGTCTGATGGACACAGGCTTGATATTAATCAGTATTTTTCAAACTCAGCCACTTTAAGATGGCTGGATTTCCAGTGCCCAGAATTCCCCGCCCCAGCATGTATGGACTTCAGTTCCCAGAATTCCTCAGGCAGCATGCTTTAACTTTTTTTTGCATATGTAATAGCAGCAGAATAGAGATGAAAAGGAGGCCACCAGGCGATCCTTCTCATTCTGCACCGTGGGAGGGATAATTTGGTGAAGAGGGATGACATCTCCAACAGAGATAAAGGAAGAAGGCAAAACGGATGCCTTTGAGTGGCGGAGATAGGGGAGGTACTGTACCTCGACTTATGACCACAACCGAGCCCAAAATTTCCATTGCTAAGCAAGACGGTTGTTAACTGAACTCTGCCCCATTTTACGACTTGTCTCGCTACAGTTGTTAAGTGAACCTGACTTCCCCATATAGAGTTTGCTTCTCAGAAGGTTGAAAAAAAGGAGGCCATGTAAGCAGCTGAATTTTGATCACGTGACCAAGGGGATGCTACAGTGGTCGTAAATGCGAAAAACGGTCGTCTCTTTCCTCCATGCGGTTGTAACTGTGAAACAGTCACTAAATGAACTCTTGTAAGTCAGGGACTGTCTGTACAAGGAGCAGGAGGGAAGGCCCAAATGATAAAAGTCACAGAAAGCGCCGTCGTAAATACGAGTCAGTTGCCAAGCGTCTGAATTCTGATCATGTAACTGGGGATGCTGCAGGGGTCGTAAGTGTGAAACATGGTCATAGGACTCTTTTTTTTCCCCAGTGCTGTTGTAACTTTGAATGGTCACTAAATGAGCTGTTCTAAGGTTGTTCTTTATTGGAAGCTTGGAGAAGAAGATCAGGATCTGTGTTTGGAGCGAAGGATTTGCCTCCTAAAATGTGAAAGACTTTAACACTTCCTGACTTTTTAAGAGTTTTTTTTTTTGAATCTTCGGCCCTAGGAAGAGAAAGAGAAAAAGAGTTTTGGGTTGGAGATTAAGCAAATGTTTGCTTGTTGTGATTTCACACAGCCAGAGGGCCACTGGCTCGGTCCCCCTCTGGAGATAACTGAAAGTTTTTGAAGTTGTTCCTGAATAAATAACCCAATCGAGTGTGTTTTTGTGTAAATATTTCAACTGATTCTAGATCATTCTGCCCCCTTTTAGCAATTGGATTACGTTCAATGAGATGATTCTGTTTATTCTGTTTCAATTTGTAGAAGTGGGAGGACCAGATTCCTTGGGAATTGTCAATTTGTAGAAGTGGGAGGACCAGATTCCTTGGGAATCGTCAATTTGTAGAAGTGGGAGGACCAGATTCCTTGGGAATCGTCTGTTTTTTCCCTTTGGGTATTGTGATCTGTTTCCGATGCTCTCCGTTGACCGGTCCTTGGGTGTAAGGTGTAACCCTGCTAAGGACATTCCAAGGATGACTTCGATGTCATTTTTGTGCCCTTCCCAAGTTGGCTTAGCCCATCTATGTGTTGGGGTTAAGTTGACCTTTTAGAACAACCCAGATGATAAGAGGCTAGCAGGAAAAACTCGATAAGGTGGACAGCTGAAGGAATTGGATGGGTTTAGCCTGGAGTGGAGAAGACTTCAGAACAGAATAAAATAATAGAGTTGGAAGGGTCTCCTAGTCCAGCCCCCTGCTCAGGCAGGAGACCCTATACCATTTTAGACAAATGATTGTCCAATCTCTTCTTAAAAACCTCCAGTGATGGAGCACCCACGACTTCTGGAGGCAAGCCGTTCCACTGGTTAATTGTTCTCACTGTCAGGAAATTCCTTCTTAGTTCCAGGTTGCTTCTGTCCTTGATGAGTTTCCATTTGTTGCTTCTTGTCCTGCCTTCTGGTGCTTTGAAGAATAATTTGACCCCCTCTTCTTTGGGGCAGCCCCTCAGATATTAGAACACTGCTATCATGTCACCGCCTCGTCCTTCTTTTCATTAAACTAGACATACCCAATTCCTGCAACCATTCTTTATATGTTCCCCACTCAACTTCAGTAAAACCCACTAGCATCTGGAAGATTAGAAGATGAGGCAGAATTATTCAAACATCTTCCAGCTCAGGACAAGAAACAAAGAATGTAGACTTCATTGGACATGTTTAAATAGGGTGAGTGGCTTTTGAAGATGGTGTAGTGAATTTCTGCACCGGGCAGAAGGTCAGGTTAAATCATTTTCAATATCCCTCTCAATTCTTCTATTCTTCAGGTTTATGAAATCCTGGTGGATGGCTTAGCATATTGTGTGCATTCATCTCCTTGTGGTTTAATGGTGTCAACTAAAGTCATTGTGGCTAACCAACTTGTTTGAGGGCAACATTTGAGAGCTGCTTCCTTAGATGGGGCTCAATCTGTAACTTCTCTGGTTGATGCTTGTCACTTGTACACTCCACAGCTGTGTGTATGTGAACGCCTCTGAGCATTTGGAAAAGCTCCAGCTTGACTTAAGAATCTTCTCATGGTTACTATTAGTAGAGGATGAATTGTTGACACTTAGATTCTTCCTTGATCCCAAAAAGTGTCCTTTGAATCAAGTGGGATCCTTTGGGTCTTTCTGGATATGTCCATCAAGTTTTCTCCAGAGCTGTGTAAAGTGGGTTTCTGTTAACCATTTCTGTGATTTTTGTGGGACAGTCTTGAGAGATGTTTCTGATGTTTATTTATTTATTTATTTATTTATTTATTTATTTATTTATTTATGAGACTTATATACCGCTTTAAGTGCAAGCACTCTCTAAGCGGTGTACACCAGTAAGCAATGTATATATATATATTTACATTGCCCCCAACAATCTGGGTCCTCATTTTACCTACCCCGGAAGGATGGAAGGCTGAGTCAACCTTGAGCCGGTGAGATTTGAATCGCTGACCTGCTGAACACAGTCAGCTAAAGTGGCCTGCAGTAGTGCACTCTTAACTGCTGCGCCACCGGCTCTCCTTTCCAAGAAACTAATCAAGGTCAACCACCCTTAATCAACTCACGCCTGACTTCAGCACTGTTATCTACACAACCTCTGAAGCCATGAACTTAACAACCTGACCCATTTTTGTCCTGCAGAGAGAGAGGTGAATGCCGATTAGATAAGATGATGAATTTTAGAAAGCTGTCAAAATGCAGAAATGCCTTGCCTTCCAGCAAACTGGTCTTTTAAAAATAATAATAGTAATAATAAAACAGACCTCAAATACTGTCCTGGGAAAAGGAAGGGAAAATTCAAAACAGTCAGATTTGCCTATATTGCCCAAAGCCATTTAATGTTATGCAAATGTTGCCTACCCAAGAGGGCTTTAAAAGGATGGGCAGTTCCAGCATAGGAAAAGCAAACAAAAGTTTCCATAAAGTTGTAGAGATAAAGGCATTGTTCCTAATGGGAGGTCCCGTAATTTTAATGGTTTTATTTTAATACTTTTTGTTTAATGGCATTGTTAGTTCCCCAGTGCACATGCCATGCAACCGGTGGAAACAATGAATAAATACACTCCATAAAATGTCCATTTTAAACAGCAGCCAGAACATCACAAAGCAAAATGAGCTTGCACAGGACCAAAATGCTACAGCATTTCATTCGAAACGCCTGGTTGTAAACAACTGTTTCCCAATTCAGCTGATACAGGTAGTCCTCAACTGAACGACTACAATTCAGCCCAAATTTTCTGTTGCTAAGCGAGAACATTGGTTAGGTGAATTTTGCCCCATTTTATGACCTTGCCACAGTGGTTAAGGAAATCACTGCAGTTGTGAAGTTAGCAATACGGTTGCTAAATTAACCTGGCTTGACTTGCCAGAAGGGAACAAAATGGGTTCACTTGAACCCGGGACACTAGCAGCCATCGTGAATAGAATAGAATAGAATAGAATAGAATAGAATGGGACCTTGGAGGTCTTCTAGTCCAGCCCCCCACTCAAGCAGGAGAACCTACACCATCTCAAACAAGTGACTGTCTAGTCCTTTCTTAAAAGCCTCCAGTAATGGAGCACCCACGATTTCCAGAGGCAAGCAGTTCCACTGGTTAATTGTCCTCACTATCAGGAAGTTTCTCCTTAATTCCAGGTTGCTTCTCTCTTTGGTCGGTTTCCAACCATTGTTTCTGGTCCTGCCCTCTGGGACTTGAAGTCCAGTCATCTTAGAGAACCACTTCTAGAGATAGACCCAAGCAAGAGCTTTCTACTATAACAAATAAACAGTAAAAATTCCAACGGTACTTCTACATTCTAGCCACAGGATTTGCTTTCCCTGGCTTGGAAATCAAAGCCATGGCTTGTTGAGTAAACCATGGTGCCCGGATGAGATGACAGGCCTTCTCTGTGGTGGCCCCAACCCTTTGGAACTCTTGAGTCCCCCAAATCCATAAAGATCCCACCGTTAAAAAAAAGATACTTAAAGGGAGTTTTATTTCATTGGGATGTCAAGCCTTGTTCATTTTTTTTGACATCTCCCTTGACTGGATTTAATTAATTATTGGGGTTGTTCTTGCTATTTCTGATTTATTCTGGTTGCTTCTATAATGAAAGGTGTTGTAACTCTTCCCTTCCCCATGAGTGGGGTGGGCTCTCAACACTATCAAACCAGTAAAGAAAACTATGGTTTACAAAGCTGGCCACTAAGCCCAAACCAGGCACACCATCCTGGCTTAAACAGAGCAGGGGGGAAAAGGCGCAAGGCTTTTGAACGCCAATTATTATAAATAGAACTCAGCATTATAAATAGAACTCAGCAGCTGTTGACATTTTTCATAGTGAATTTCTGGCTTTTCTACCCTAAAAATCTGCTGATCTGAAAATTCTGGATGCTTGGATGCCCGTCTCCTTGTTTCAAGTCTAACCTGTTGGGAGAGGAAGCTCACTTTGAATCGTGTAAAAAGCCAACTGCAAAGAGATTGCTGCCTTTTTTTTTAAAGCTGTCCACATGACGTATGGAAGCCGTGTGTTTCCTATGTTTTGCTCACTGGTGCTCTTCAGGCTGCTGGTTCAGCAGTTCTTTCTGGCCAACTTGAATATGTATTTTGGGTCTGGCAGGAGACGGAGACGTTGTAAGTGTCCTGGCTGCCTATGCCCAACCTGGCTGCCCTCTTGGTATCCTGGAAATGGGATTCTTTGAAGTCTCCACCAGCTTGGCCAAAGGTTGCTCAGAAATCCTAGGAGCAACCAAGACATAACGGAATAAAATAGTGGGAAAGGACCTTGGAGATCTTCTAGTCCAACCCCCTGCTCAGGCAGGAGACCCCATGCCATTCCAGACAAATAGCTGTCCAATCTCTTCTTAAAAACGTCCAGTGTTAGAGCACCCACAACTTCTAGTGGCAAGCCATTCCACTGATTAATTGTTCTCACTGTCAGGAAGTTTCTCCTTAGTTCTAGGTTGCTTCTCTCCTTGCTTAGTTTCCATCCGTTGCTTCTTGTCCTGCCTTCAGGCGCTTTGGAGAATAGCTTGACTCCTTCTTCTTTGTGGCAACCCCTGAGATATTAGAACACAGTTATCATGTCCCCCCTCATCCTTCTCTTCATTAAACTAGACAGACCCAATTCCAGCAACCGTTCCCTGTAAGTTTTAGCCTCCAGTCCCCTAATCATCTTTGTTGCTCTTCTCTGCACTCTTTCTAGAGTCTCAACGTCTTTTTTACATCGTGGTGACCAAAACTGGATGTGGCCTTACCAAGGCATTATAAAGTGGTATTCACACTTCACGTGATCTTGATTCTATCCCTCTGTTAATATCCCAACTAGGTGGTTAAAGGAGTGAAAAGAGAGATCTGTTCTGTGGTCTTCCCAAATTCAGGCTCCACCATCCTATCCATATCATTGGTTACAATGGTTTTGGTCAATGGGGGATTATGGGAGTTGAAGTCCACTCCTCTTAAAAGCTTGAAAAACACCGGTCTAGAGTTTGGGACTATTTCCTTCCTGCCCTTTTGCTGTTTTGCCTGGGCTTCTTCACGTGCTTCATAAGTGGTTTTTAATGCTCTCTGGGGCCACCTGCTTTTCCTATCACTTTATTTGGGGAACAGATTCCAAGGCCGCACAGCTGAAGGAGAGCTGATCTGTGAGAGCCATTTTCTTGCAAGCAGATGAGAGATGCTGGACCTTCTGGAATCTGTCATTTGGCCCACTTTCCTTCTGAGCCAAAGGAGGAGGGGGAGACCTTGAGCTCGCCCCACCCACAGCATTCAGCGTTGCCCCCAATGGATCACACTGCCGTCTCCTTCCTCTACTTGTGTTGCAAACATCTTATTTTTAAGCCAGATGCCAACGGTGCACGTCACTAAACAGGCCAGGTGCATGCGTGGGTAAAATAAACCTAGACCTAGCTATGAAGCTGATCAGAGGCTTATTATGGCATCTTGTCCTGATCGTTTCTCGAAACCGAGCTCAGTCAAATTGCATCTGTTAAGCACAAAGTTCCAGGCTGATTTATAATAATAAATATCATCTATTATAAGGTCTATCGGTGGGCCAACGGCTATAATAACATCTTGGAAGGTACAACAAGTCCTTCTAATAAGATGTTAGAAGGTCTAGGAGGGCCTGTTTGGTGTAATGGTGAAGGCAACAGGGAGGAAACCAGGAGACTCTGAATTCTAGTCCTGCCTTAGAAACAAACTGAGTTGGGTGACTTTGGGCCAGTCACCCTGCCTCAGCCCTTAGGAAGGAAGCAATGGCAAACCACTTCTGAAAAACGTTGCCAAGAAAACGTCAGGGATCCGTCCAGGTAGTTGCCAAGAGTCAACATTGACTTTAAGGTGTACGTGCAGGCATGCGCATGCACACACACACACACACACACACACACACACACACACCACACATACACACAGAGGGAGAGAGAGAGAGAAGGAGGGAGGGAGGGAGGGAGAGAAATAATCTATTAGCAAAGCTTGATTCAATTTGCCAGAATCTAACGCAGTGGTTCTCAACCTGTGGGTCGGGACCCCATTTGGGGTCGAACGACCATTTCACGGGGGTCGCCAAACAAGGCTGTCCACCATTTTTCCCCCTTTTCTTTGGCCATGCCCCTGGCACCCGGTGATGTATAAGTGGTTGGGGGTCACCACAACATGGGGAACTGTATTATGGGGTTGCGGCATTAGAAAGGTTGAGAACCACTGATCTAACGGATTGGTTTGGACAAAACTCAGCAGCCCTTTTTCGTGCGGCTGCAGATAAAAACAAGATCGCCAACATGATCGCCAACGTCCGATAACGGATATGGCACAAGAAGAAGCTTTGGGAAAGAAAGGGCACCCCAGAATTATTACAGGAAGTGTTGCAAACGGTGGTCCTTACAAACAAGTCGCCATTTCTAAGGCCAGCATTTTGTGGGATTTTGGTTCAGGATGTGCTGGAGACCAAACACGCCAATGTCAATATTGCGAGAGGCAGATAAATTCCATGGAAGGCGAGATCAATTTTACATGAATCTTCTTCAGGATGTAAAATCATAAATCGTGTGTACAGCAGCTGAATTTTTTGTATTTTAACTACTAACTGTAGGGGACACATTGTTTCTGTTTTTATTCTAGACCTCTTCCTGTTTTAGGTTTATCATCTGGATAAATAAATAACTGTACTCACATAGTAACACACTAGCAAAAGTTATAATCGCTGGTTTATTTTGCTAACGTTTAGTATATTATTGTATCTGTTTGCTTCCCTGTGTGGCTGTTCTGTTTCGTTCTTTGAAATTTTGCTGGTTGTCGACCGGATAAATATTACAGATAATCCATTTGTTTAGAGACCATTCAAAGTTACAACAGCACTTTAAAAAGTGACTTATAACCAGTACTCACACTTACAACCAGTACACCCGTTTACAACCCTGAAAGCATTCTCATGGTCACATGATCAAAACATAGGCACTGGCAACTGGCATGGATTTACGATGGTGGTAGCATCCGGTGTCTGGTGATCACCATTTGTGGTCTTCCCAACCGGCTTTGACAACCAATATCAGTGGGGGGAAGTTGATTTGCTTAACAATTTTGCTTAACAATCATGGCAAAAAGTTTGTGAAGCCTCTGTCTTGCTTAACCATGGAGATTCTCATCCCAATTGTGATCGTAAGTTGATAGATAGATAGATAGATAGATAGATAGATAGATAGATAGATAGATAGATGGATAGATGGATTGGGTTGGAGAGAGAGAGAGAGAGAGAAGGAGAGAGATTGCAGCTACAAGCCATGTTGTAACGTCCTGCAATAGAAAAGTTGCAAACAACTATTACAAATACAATGGGATAAGATCAGACTGTGGGATAAATAACGTGCAAATAGAGAACATTATTTGCTCTCTCTCTCACCCCCCCCCCCAGAGATTGGGTGGTTGGATAGGTAAATGATAGAGAGAGATAATAGATGATAGAGATAATAGATGAGAGAGAGAGAGAGAGAGACAGACAGACTGATTGGGTGGTTGGATAGATGGATGGATGGATGGATGGATGGATGGATGGATGGATGGATGGATGGGTAGGTAGGTAGGTAGGTAGGTAGATAGATAGATAGATAGATAGATAGATAGATAGATAGATAGATAGATAGATAGATAGATAGATAGATAGATAGAATATTGTGAAGGACAGGGGTGAATGCCCACCACCATCTCATTTCATCCTCCCCAAATCCCTCAGTGACCTCTCCCCAGAGGCTGGTGATGGACCCCTCAGGATGGATAGGCTGATTTTTGGCTACCGAAGCCTTGCATCGCAACCAAGCAATGAGTCCATCTTTACTAACCCTCTCCTTTCCCTCCCTGGGCAGGCCAGCAGTCCTCAAGACCTGCGTCTCTTCTATGAGAAAAACAAGACGCTCCTGCCAAAGTAAGTCTCCCAGCCGGCTGGCCTTTTTTTCACCTCCCCCTCCCTCCCTCCCTCCCTCCCTCGTTCCCCTCTGCACCGCCTGTTCCTTGTTGTGTTTTCAGGCGGCACCTGTCCCCTCATGTGCTCTGCCGACGGGTTTAGCAACCCCTTGGCAACTGGCCTTTTCTGCTCTCTAGCTAGGAATGACGGATCTCGGCAACCGGCACGCCAGCTTGGTTACCTCGGCTGACTTGGTTACCTCGGCTGACCTTGCCGGGTCTAAATATTTTAAGCAGCGGGGTGGGGAGAACAGGCAGGGTGGGGAAGCGAGGATCCCAAATCTCTGCCAGAGCCACTCACTTCGGCCAAGCGTCCCAAGCTCCTCGGGTTTTATTTTTCTTCCTTTCTTCCCAACCCAAACTAAATGTAAGAACAAGCATTGCTCCCAAGTTCTCGATGGCCCATTTTACTGGGCTTGCCTTAAAAGGGTTGCAGTTGGGTGGCGAGCCTGTATATCGCTCTTTGAGGAAACAGGAGTTCCAGAAAAAGGAAATTTGTGGAAGGAGTTGTCAGCGTTCACCTTTAGCGTCGAGTTGTGGTTTGTTGCAACTAGGCTGGGTTGAGAAGTCCTAGGGGGCAGGTTCGTATGCCAGAGCAGTGTTTCTCAACCTGAGCAAGGTTAAGATGGATGGATTTCAGCTCCCAGAATTCCCCAGCTGGCATGCTTTCAGATGGGTGGACTTCAGCTCCCAGAATTCCCCAGCCGGCATGTTTTAAGACGGGTTGACTTCAACTCCCAGAATTCCCCAGTTGGCATGCTTTAAGACAGGAAGACTTCAACTCCAGAAAAACCTAGCCAGCAGGCTTTAAGATTTTATATTATTTATCTATTCAGTTTGCTTGATGCCCATTTCACCGCAAAGTAACTCTGGGTTAAGATGGGGGGACTTCAACTCCCAAAGTTCCCCAGCCAAGGTGCTGGCTTGGGAATTCTGGAAGTTGCAGTCCATTCATGCATCTTAACAACGCTAAGGTTGAAAACCAAGAATTGGGTATGTCCAGTCTAATGAAAAGAAGGACTAGGGGAGACGTGATAACAGTATTCCAATATTTGAGGGGCTGCCACAAAGAAGGGGGGGGGGTCAAACTATTTTCCAAAGCACCAAAAGGCAAGACAAGAAATGGAATTTATCAAGGACAGAAGCAACCTAGAACTAAAGGGAATTTTCCTGACACCGAGAACAAATAAACCAGTGGAACAACTTGCCTCCAGAATTCCAATTTCTCGGGGTCTGCCCCAAAGAAGAGGAAGTCAAGCTATTTTCCAAGGCGCCGGAAGGCAGGACAAGAAGCAACGGATGGAAACTCATCAAGGAGAGAAGCAACCTAGAACTAAGGAGAAACTTCCTGAAAGTGAGAACAATTAACCAGTGGAACAACCTGCCTCCAGAAGTGGTGAATGCTCCAACACTGGAAGTTTTTAAGAAGAGACTGGACAGCCATTTGTCTGAAATGGTATAGGGTTTCCTGCCTGAACAGGGGGTTGGACTAGATGACCTCCAAGGTCCCTTCCAACTTTATTATTATTATTATTGCTGGAGGCTTTCGAGAAGAGACTGGACTGAAATGGCATGCTTGAGCTGGGGTTGGACTAGAAGACCTCCAAAGTCCCTTCCGCCTCTAATTTTTCTATGTTCTAAACACTGTGCTAGATGATGCAGGCCAAGCCAGCAGGAATGACTTTGCTGGCCTTGTAATAGCATGCTGTTGGCTACAGGCCAAAAAGGAAGTCAGGGCTGGCCAAAACCCCAACTTGGATTTAATTTGATTTGATTCCAGTGATGTTTCCATTTCATTTGAAAGAAAGTAAAGGACATTAAGCCTAGTTAATTGGCTTGCCCTCTTAATCGTTTTTTTTTTTTTGTCTTTTGATCAGATTAAAAACCTTCAGGGTGGGGAGCTTTGACGGGGCTGTCAAGATGGATCCAAAATTTAGGCAAGCAACCTGTGAACGATCTTCAGTGGCCTTTAGGTCATTTGCAAAAGGGGGGGCGGAGGCTGGAGTTACTCATCCCCCCCACCTCATAAATCAGATCAAAAGTTGGGTAACTTGTTTAATATCCCCTTAAGCAGTTGAATTGGAGATTTATTTATTTTTTTCTGCTTGCAAATCTGTGATTTGAACAAACATGCAATCTCAGGTAGGAGAGATGATCGGGAATCTGTTTTGCTATTTTTAAAAATCTTGTTATTAAATAAAACCTTGACGGCGGTACAGGTAGTCCTCATGTAGCGGCTGCCTCTTTTAGTGACCGTTCGGATTTATGAAAGCGATGAAAAAATGCAATGCTGCCACCCGAACTTACTTCGACAACTTCTGCAGGTGCATAAAGCAAAGCAAAGCTGAAGTTAAGATCACAAGGGAAGGTTGCAGTTTCATTGAGCGACCACTTCGCTTAACGACGGAGTCGCTGGTCCCATTGCGGTGGCTGAATGAGGATTCCCTGTAGACGTTTGCACTATAAAGGTGCCGGGAAGAAAGAAAACCGTTGCGGTTTTGTCTAAAGACTTCGGAGCAAAGGAAAGGAGAGCAGCTAAACGATAGGAGAATTAGTCTTTTTTATTTTATTTTATTTTTTTAAAAAGCAGAATTAATTAAGATAGAAACACCCCCAGCTAGGCAAAAGATCTTTGTGCAGGCTGGGTTATACCCAAAAGGCATTCGAGGATCATCTGAAGACCAGGATTGTGTTGCGTGTGGTTGCAAAATTTGAGATTTGTGAGCTCTTTCACACCCCCTTCTGCAAACGTCTTCTCCTTCAACTGTAACGACAATCCCTCCTTGTTAAGTGGGGAGGGGGGGCAACTTGACAAACAGTTGGGTAGCTGCTGTCTGTATTCCAGGAACTGCCCAGAAGGCAGATTTCCTAGAAATTCCCAGGATTTTGAAAAGATACTGCAAAAGACGTGGGAGAAGGCTTCTGTTTTGCATCCAGCTAGTTGGGGAGGGGGGCCGATTGTTTACCCTGTGTTTCCCGACTCTTTGATTTCCCTGCAAGAGAGAGGAAGGGAGATAGAAAATCCAGGGGACATCCACACACACACCCAAAATTACCACCCCGGTTAAACACTGTCATTTGTGAATGGCAGAAGGCGACTGCTTGGAACTGAAGGGGGGGGGGAGACCTTTGCAAGGGATCAAATCCAGCCAGATCTTGGAGAGGTTAGGTTTCAAAGACTGAAATGGCTGGCTGCTGTGATGCTGGTGCCGAATCCGGCTTTTCCAAAACAGCCAGCTGTGTTTTGTGGCAAATGCCATCCATTTGTCTGGACGGGAATAGAGAGTTGGAAGGGACCTTGGAGGTCTTCTAGTCCAACCCCCCGTACTCAAACAGAGACCCTAGACCATTCTGGAGAAAAGTCTGTCCAATCTCTTCTTGAAAAACCTGCAGGGATGGGGGCACCTGGCAGCCTTGCTTTATTGGGTAATTTCCCTTTGTAAAGCAAATCTATAAACACACAAACTGCATGCACACACAAAGACACACGCAGAGAGACAGACAGACAGACAGACAGAGAAAAAAAAGAGAGACAGAGAGAGAGAGAGACAGAGAGAGAGACAGACAGACAAAGAGAGAGACAGAGACAGACAGAGAGAGACAGAGACAGAGAGACAGAGACAGACACACACAGAGAGAGACAGACACACAAAGAGAGACAGAAAGAGACAAAGAGACAGACAGAGAGAGACAGAGAGACAGAGACAGACACACACAGAGAGAGACAGACACACAAAGAGAGACAGAGAGACAGTCAGACAGACAGACAAACAGACACACAGAGAGAGAGTCTTCCAATATTGAGGAAGGTTGTTGTCATCTCTTCTCCAAAGCACCTGAGGGCAGGACAAGAAGTAACAGATGGAAACTTATCCAAGAGAGATCCAATCTAGAATTTCCTGACAATGAGAACAAATCATCAACATTTAGAAGTTGCGGGTGCTCCATCCCTGGAGTTTTTCAAGAAGAGACTAAACTTGTCTGGAATGGCATAGGGTCTCCTGCTTGAGCCGGGCGTTGGACTAGAAGACCTCCAAGGTCCCTTCCAATTCTGTTATTCTGATATGTGGAGGAAGAGGAGAAGGAGGAAGAGGGGGAGGAGGAGGAGGAGGAGGAGAAACAGAAGGAGAATGAGAAAGAGAAAAAAGAGAGAAAGAGAAAGAGAAGAATCTCCTGCTTGAGCAGGGGGTTGGACTAGAAGACCTCCAAGGTCCCTTCCCTGTTATTCTGCATTCTGAAAATGTTGCATATATGCAGTGCTTTTTTGTTAAAAAAAAAAAGGTGTCGGAACTCACGCACGTCATACAACCCGCCTTGCCTACCCTACAAGGTTCCATCCCAAAAAAGATGCCGGAACTCCGTTCTGGGCGTTCTGTGACAAAAAAAGCCCTCCATATATTGTGCGTTTGTGTCTGAATTGTGCATAAATGCATTGCTAGGCATAAGATCCGAAGATCTGAAGATCCGAAAGTTAACAACGAAGGTGCTTTTCTTCATTCTTTTTAAAATGTGTTTTTTTCCCCCTGTTTGTTTTGTTTTTAAGCATCCCAAGGGAAACCTCTGCCCATCTGAGACAACTTCTTTTAGGGCTCTTGGAACGAAATTACAAAGACCGCATGGATTTTGGTAAGAAGCGTTTGCACATCGTTTAAATCCAACAGGGGAAACCTGGATAGCCAGTTAGTTTTGTGTTTCTTAACCTCTCTTTCTTTTCCTTTCAAAAACAAACTGAAATCACATCGCAAATCCAACTTATGATTCAGAACGAGTGTTTATTATTGTTGTTGTTGTTGTTTAAAAGAAATCTGTGTTTGGTTTTTTTTTTTCAATTTAATATTGAAACGTAACCTGCAGCATTCTCCAGATTTTTATTTTAATTTTTTATTTTTCCAAACTCTCCCCCATGCATATACCGTGATATTTATCAGATGTTAACATACATTCTTTTTACATTCATATATAAGATACTTTTAATAAAATGAAATAAATACATACACATGACTTTTGGTGTTGCTCGCCCATTTCCCCTTTCACTGTATCCACACTCCTTCTTCTCTACCTTCTTTCTCCCTTTCTTCTCTTCCCTACTTCCCTCTTCTTCCTCTCCTCTTCTCTTTCCTTCACCACTCTCCTCCCCTTTCTCCTCTTCTCCTCCAACCTTCCTACTTCCTTCTCCCCTCCTTCACTCTTTTCTCTCTCCTCTCCTTTCTTCCCTCATCCCTCTTCAGATACAATTCAGGGGTAATGTCCGAGCAACTCCTCTCTCCAAATTTCCCTAGCATTCTCCAGATCTGACCACCGCTGAAATGTCATTCAACTTCAAGTGTTTTTATTCTTGATTGATTTATTTTTTTTAGATGAATTTTTCCACCACCCTTTCCTGGATTCTAGCGCTTCTATGAAAAAATGTAAGTCCCTTTCATGTTTTTTTCTTTCTGGGTTGATGCGTAACTGCACGGCACACAGGCATGTGCAGAGCGAATTCAGCAAGGGGAGCCTTAGTACCCTTTCCTTGTTTTCCCTTTGAGATTGTTGCGTTTCAGGGTGTTAAGGGAAACGGCCTTTTCCAATCTGCTAATAGTTACTAGAGGAGATTTTATTCATTGATTGATTGATTGAATTTATTTGCTGCCCATCTCATAACAACACAAATCCGGGCAGCTTACGGCATTAAAACATTACATTTTTGCTTTTTTATGGATTGGCAAGACTGGCTGTTATTAGGACTAAATACTGCCTCTTGCATTTGAATGTTTTAAGATTGTGGTGGCCGCACTGAATGACGAGAAACTGCCTTGGACCGCATATAAAATATATCAAGAAGTTAATGTATATAAATACAGGTAGTCGTCGGCTTACAACAGTTAATTTAGTGACTGTTCAAAGTTGCAACGGCAGCAAAAAAAAGTTAGGGCCATTTTCCACGCTTCCGTTGCAGCCTCCCCATGGTCACGTGATCAGAAACTTGGCAACTGACTCGTATTTATGACGGCTGCAGTGTTCCGGAGTCACGTGGTCTTCTTTTGGGACCTGCTGACAAGCAAAGTCAATGGGGGGGAAGCCAGAGTCACTTAACAATTAACTGCAGTAATTCATTTAACAAGGGTGGCAGGGTAGACGGACAGGAGAGGTCATAAAATGGGACAAAATTCACTTAACAAATGCCTCGCTAAGCAACAGTAATTGACTTATGATTCTGGTCATAAGTCAAGAACAACACTGGAGGTTTTTAAGAAGAGACTGGACAGCCATTTGTCTGAAATGGTATAGGGTTTCCTGCCTGAGCAGGGGGTTGGACTAGAAGACCTCCAAGGTCCCTTCCAACTTATTATTATTATGGATCATCGCACAGTCAGCCAGATGTTCAGACTGGATTTGGCATTTTGTTTACCTATCGAGTCCTCACCAAGGACCTGGGATAGGCAGATGTGGATGTTTGATGGTATTACAGATCTCATTGCAGGATGGAAGCAGTTCCTAGTAAGGCCGCCTTTTGCAATTGACTAATGGCAAATTTGTCAATGCCAATGATGGTGTCGAAGTGGTGCTCCAGTTGTTTTGGGATTGCACCCAAGGTGCCTATTACTATTGATACTACCCTTGCTTGCTTTTGCCACAGTCTTTCTATTATCATCATCATCATCATCATTATTATTATTATTATTATTATTATTATTATTATTATTAACAGCATCAGCATTACCACCTTCATCATCATCATCTTCCTTTATTTATATATTTTGTATTATCTTGTGGGGCCACATAACTAGCTGTCCAGGACTCATTTGTTCCATGGACTCTGGGTCGGACATGCCTGCTTAAGATAAAAAACCCCAGTTCTGATTGACAAGTAAACAGAACTAAGTTCCAATTTTCTAGTTATAGGTCTATAAAGTGATTTCACTTTCTTAAATTTTGGGAAAGAGCCTTTTCATTTATGCTGGTCAGCAACATCTGTGTCTCCCGAAGACTGGGTAGATAGCTCCTGTTTTCAGTGCTCTAAAATAAGGGTCTCCAACTCCTGGTCCGTGGACCAGTACCGGGCTGCCTAATGCCAGCAACCGGTCCGCACAAACAAACAAGCAAAGCTCCATCCATGGGATGCAGGCAACACACACAACCACGCACTTTCCGGTCTGGGAGACCTCTGCTCTAAAACCTGATAATTTTATTGTCTCTCCAAAATATAAACATCTTTCTTGCCGTAGCTTCTTGATGAGGTCACCGTAATCTCCTGCAAAGTTACTTCGGTTGTGTTGTCCTTGAAACCTGCTGTAGGAGACATTTTTTTGATTTATAGCTGGCGTGTCTACTTTTTCACTCCCTTTTTTGTCACCCGGGGCTGACATAATGGATGATAAGGTATGCTTAAACTGGACGGACATTCACCTGCTGGAGAGGAAGGAGAGAGCTTCAGAAGCCCCAATGTGCAACCGTTTTTTCCAGAACCGGAAGGAGATTAAAGGCACTAAGTTGTAGGAAGGACTTCTGGGAGATTTCTCCACCAAGCGATTAAAAAAAAGATGTTAACGAATATTTAACCTGGGGAAATATTGCAAAGGTTTAACCTGGGGGAATATTGCAAACCAAATTATTTTGGTCTGCAGCCCCCTACCTCTAAAGGGTTGACGTGATTTTCCTTCTGCTAAAAGTCTTAGGTGGCCTTCACCTGCGCAGAACGTGTAATGGCCAGGTTCACATGTCACATGGCGTGATTGGCTTCGTCTCGGCTTAGCAAGTTGCGTGAGATTGGGAAGTCCTGCCTTAGAATATTTGTCCTCCATTGACAGGACTTGATTAAGTAAACATAACTTAGTGTGATCCGAGGACTCCATGCAACCTTGAAATGGTTCAACCCATTCCATTTTTTTAGTCTCAGGAGAGAGGAGAAGGACAAATCTTTTCATAGCCCTCCAGCTGGGGCATAGAGGTTATGTGGTCCAAAATGTTGAGACAGGCTGAGCTCAGTTTGAAGAGTAGACTAATTTGGGAAAAGGCTGGTTGATATCTTCAGTTTCGGGATTCAGTTCTTACGAAATGAGTAATATTCTGGGTTATTCCACTAGACACAGAATTAGCACAACGTGGCCTAATCCCGTTCTAGTCCCACATTTATTTAGCCTCCCCAAGAAACCCTTGCTTGAAATCATGGTTTGCTGGTCTAGGGATAGACATTGGTTTCTTTGGGGTGCAGATGTCTTTATGCATGTATAAATGAATAGTATTAAATTAAGGTAATGAAATGGGAAATTAAATGCTGCAGCTTGGCTTACAAACCAAAAGATGAAAATCAGGGATCGGTTGCATTAGGGCGATTGCTTTTATTTTTGTAAATTTATTTGGGTGATCTTTCCACCGCCCCAATCCTCAAGGATGCCAGGTGGTTTAGAAATAATTAATTGGCTCTGTTTCCTGATTTTCACTGGCTTGTTGAACAAACCGTGGTTTAAACAAAGCCTGAATCAAGATGCTGCTTGCAACCAGCAGGAGATATACAGGATGAAGGATCAGACAATCCTGTTTTTTTTATTTCTGGTTTTTAAAAAATTATTATTATTTTATTATTATTATTATTATTATTATTATTATTATTATTATTATTATTATTATTATTATTATTATTATTATTATTATTATTATAGTGGGGACTTTTCAGCTGCTTTCTTTCAGCGGGTGTCAATAAAGGAGAGTTTTTAAGGGTGCTAGATACATCTAGGAAAATTAAGGTGGTAAAGTAGGAGTTGCGAATGCTTTCCGTATCACCATTTCTTTCAATATTGAATCCCTCATCTTTAACTGCACTCAGGTGTCACTCCTGCGGGCAGAAAAAAGTTCTCCTGGTTTAGGGTGATCTCCAAGCCTTCTCGGTCCTTGCCTTCACCAGTAGGAACCCCTTGGGCTTGTAGGACAGAGAAAGGCGGTCATTCTCCAAAGCAGAAAGCATATTCCCGTTCCAAGGGTGTTCAGAGGTTAGCAGATCCTCCTATCCCAGTGGTTCCTCCATCGCGGACAAGGGTTACGACCAGGCCGGAGACATTTGTTGGCCAAGTAAGACCTTCTCAACCCAAGCCTTCGTTGACAACAGCCCAGAAGAATCCTCAGTCGGGGCCACCATCTGCTCCCAATCTACAGCGGGCAAGCCAACAGATATCTTCAGACAAGCCAGCAAGGATCTTCTTGACTTGGCCTTCATTCCCTTCTTTACCAACTACCTCTGAAGATCTACGGAGTGTCACTCCGCTAAAGGCACAAACTCACACTTGCAACAACTGGAAACGGATTCCTGTGATGCAGCCACTGTCTCCAGCATCCTCAACCCAGAGGTCTAGGGACATGGGTTCTCGAAAACGTCGGCACCAGCAACTGTTGGTGGTCCCGTTGCTTCCCAAGTCACGTCCGTCCCATGTCTGAGTATAGTTCGGGAGTCAAAGTCATACTGTCCCAAGGAAGCAATGCTACAGTGCGAAAGACAGCAGAAAAGAGTTGCTTGACCTCCATCTTTCAGGAGTTGACAGGGATGTGGGCTTACGGGAAGACCGTGGTAAGCTGCACAAACACTGCCAGTTAGGCACAGATCAACAAATCCGTGTTACTGACAGCACAGCTTAACATGTGACAGCTGTTCGGGATGCGAAACACCGTGGTGTCCATTTAGGAACTTAACCTCTTGGGAAGAGGATGAGGGAGTCAACTTTGATTTAGGTACCAAGGAGATAATTTCAAGAAAGAAGGTGGCTTGGACTGTCAGATCCTTGGAAGGTAGTATTGAAGAGTGACAGTGACTGAATAAATGGACCGGGTCATCTCCTCATGTAGATGCCTCTTGAAGCCGTTCCTTGTCCCAAACGGCTTCTACATGGAACATTTCTGCATTTCTTTTCATGGCACTTGAGATGTCCACCATTGCTCAGAGCAGACATTGGTGTCCTTGGTCCAAGATCTCCAGCTAAAAAGTGCTCAGAATTTGGAGAAAGAATCTGGTTGATGGACTTGGTGAAGATGATACAAGCCAGGATAGACCCTTCAAATCTCCAAAAATTTTCATCCTTGCAGCCTTAAAATGTGAAAAACCTTATTAGCAATTATCCAGACATCTTGGGAGATTTTTCTAACGGTTCTAAGATGTCTTCTCTCTCTCTCTTTCTCTCTCTTGGTATTTTTTTATTTGTTTTGTTCACTTTGAGCTTGTTTTATATATGTATTTTTTTTAAAAAAAAAAGATATGTCTGTAGTTCATTTGTTTACGTGGCTGACTTTATTTTTGTTACGCGTTTGTATATTTATGTTTTTGTGTCAACTGAGCCCTGTGTGTTTTGAATTCTGATGGGAAAATAAAGCCAAAGGAAAAAAAAAAGGAACATCGGACTTCCGTGTGTTTTGATTTCGGAGTTGTGTTTTGCTCTCTCACCGAAGAAAAGGGGAAAGCTGACCAGATGGCCACTGAATTGATGGGGCAGAATTTCTAGCCGGTCTAGGAAAGTGATGTAGATGTCTATAAAGAAATACAAATTTAGTCCCTGAACATTTCTGATCAACATTTTGTACAGATAGTCCTCAACTTACGAACACAATTGAGCCCAAAATTTACATTGCTAAGCAAGAAATTTGTTAAATGAGTTTTTGCCCCGTTTTACGACCTTGTCACGGTTGTTAAGTGAAATGCTGCAGTTGTTCAGTTAGTAACATGGTTGTTAAGTGAATCTGACTTTGCTTGTCAGACGGTCACAAAAGGGGATCGTGTGACCCCTCGGGGACACTGCCACCGTCATAAATATGAGCCAGTTGCCACGTGTCTGCATTTTGATCACGTGATCGTGGGGGTGCTACAATGGCCGCAAGTGTGAAAAAGGATCATAAGTCACGTTTTTCAGTGCCAATTGTAACTTTGAAGTAAGTTGAGTTGAGGACTACCTGTATATCATAATGGGGAACAATCTTTGCCTGCATGTGCTTGAGAAACCTACTTACAGGTTGCACTTGCAAGATCCTTGCATGTTAATTTTGGCTAGTTTTAAACTTGGTTTGCAACTCCTGTGTATCATGAATGCCTGTTTAGTTCCTCTTTTTGAAGGTAGCTTTGGAATAAAACCCATCTGAACACAGGCTGATGACCAAGTTAAACCTGTCATGTGAAGATATGGGCTGCTCAAAGCATGCATCCATCCATCCATCCAGTTTATCTTTTCACATCTGGTTCTCTCCAGATGTTGTCTCAGATGTTGTCTCTTCCCACATCTAGAGAGATAATAATAATAATAATAATAATAATAATAATAATAATAATAATAATAATAATAGGCTCTTTGGGTGCAATCCCAAAACAACGAGCACCACTTGAACACCATTGGCATTGACAAATTCACTATTAGTCAATTGCAAAAGGCGGCCTTACTAGGAACTGCTTCCATCCTGCGACGATACCTGTAATACCATCAAACATCCACATCTGCCTATCCCAGGTCCTGGGTAAGGACTCGATAGGTAGACAAAATGCCAAATCCAGTCTGAACATCTGGTTGACTGTGCGATGATCCATAATAATAATAAAGTTGGAAGGAACCTTGGAGGTCATCTAGCCCAACCCTCTGCTCAGGCAGGAAACCATATACCATTTCAGACAAATGGCTGTCCAGTCTCTTCTTAAAAACCTCCAGTGTTGGAGCATTCACCGCTTCTGGGGGCAGGTTGTTCCACTGGTTAATTGTTCTCACTGTCAAGAAGTTTCTCCTTAGTTCTAGGTTGCTTCTCTCCTTGGTTAGTTTCCATCCGTTGCTTCTTGTCCTGCCTTCAGGCGCTTTGGAAAATAGCTTGACTCCCTCTTCTTTGAGGCAGCCCCTGAGATACTGGAAGACTGCTATCCTGTCACCCCTCGTTTTTCTCTTCATTAAACTAGACATACCCAATTCCAACATCCGTTCCTTATAGGTTTTAGCCTCCAGTCCCCTAATCATCTTTGTTGCTCTTCTCTGTACTCTTTCTAGCGTCTCAACATCTTTTTTACATCGTGGTGACCAAAACTGGATGTAATTTCAATAGCTGCCATGAGCAAATTGCAATAATAATAGATGTTTTCAGCTACAGCTGGGCAGATGCCGCCGCTGCTCTCTGATCTTTTTTAAACAGGAAATGCTGGAGAATGAACTTTACGCAAAGCATGTCCTCTGATCCTAGTTGAATCCTTCCTTAAATTCAACATGAGTTGGAGCCTTGCTCTGTTCTTCAGGCTGCTTCTAACACAAACAGCGTCCCTCCCCTTAGCGATTTTCCCACACCCAAAATTAAATGCCAAATTTAGTCTCAGAATCCCATCTTAGTCTGTTTCTCAGGCAGGGTTATTGAACGCAACAAGAACAACAACAAAACAAAAACAGACACAACCGTGAATGGACAAAACATCTCTGAGGATTCTTTAAAAAAAAAATGTATTTTCTATCTTGAACGGAACATTTACTTTGAGGATCGAAAATTCAGTGTGGGAGATTAATAAGTCGAAGAACGATATATTTATCTACCTGGCTAGGAAGCATAGAAGGAGCAAATGAGCAGTTGGAAGAATGAAGGGTTTAATTAACGGGAAGATCATGGCATTTGTTCCTTGAATTATTGTTGGCTTCACATCAAAGGATAGCCGACTGTGGGGGAGGGGGGGTGAAGCTCCAGGCACAGTGCACACAGCTCATAACTTGTACTCCCAGCGACGCCCCCTCTCTGATTTAAAACTCAAAAGGTATTCTATTTCAGTCCCTCTTTCATGGATGGGTTACTAATCGATTGGATTAAAAGCATTTGTCGTCTGCTTCAAGACCCAGTTTGACCTAGTGCTTAAGGCAGCAAGCTAGAAGCTGGGAGACTGTGAGTTATAGTTCCATCTTAGGCATGAAAGCCAGCTGGGTGACTTTGGACCAGTCACCAGGAGACAGTGAGTTCTAGTCCTACCTTAGCCATGAAAGCTGGCTGGGTGACTTTGACTAATCACCAGGTGACTGTGAGTTCTAGTCGCACCTTAGTGATGAAAGCCAGTGGGTGACTTTGGGCCAGTCACCAGGCAACTGTGAGTTCTAATCCTGCCTTAGTGATGAAAGCCAGCTGGGTGACTTTGGGCCAGTCACCAGGCGACTGTGAGTTCTAGTCCCGCCTTGGTCATGAAAGCCAGCTGGATGACTTTGACCAATCACCAGGCGACTGTGAATTCTAGCCCCGCCTTAGTGATGAAAGCCAGCTGGGTGACTTGGGGCCAGTCACCAGGTGACTGTGAGTTCTAGTCCTGCCTTGATCATGAAAGCCAGCTGGATGACTTTGACCAATCACCAGGTGACTGTGAGTTCTAGTCCCACCTTAGTGATAAAAGCCAGCTGGGTAACTTTGGGCGAATCACCAGGCGACTGTGAGTTCTAGTCCCACCTTGGTCATGAAAGCCAGCTGGATGACTTTGACCAGTCACCAAGCGACTGTGAGTTCTAGTCCCACTATAGCTGTGAAAGCTGGCTGGGTGTCCTTGGGCCATCTCTCTCAGCCCAATTCCGCTCACCAGAGTTGTTGTGGTGGGGAAAATAAGAGGAAGAAGAAATAGAACAAAATACTTTATTCGCCAAGTGTGATTAGACACACAAGGAATCCATCTCCAGTATAGACACTCTCAATGTACAAGCAAAGCAACAGAGTAATAATAATGATGATAACGATACCAATAAGGAGCATTAGATACATTCAGAGCCTTGAGTTGTTTATAAAATAAGGTTTGGGCGAATGAAAAAGATCACTGCAACACTGCTGGGGCAAGCTACTGTACACAGGGAGAAAACCCCACACGCTCTAGCACTGATGATGTTACCTAGTGGGGTCATGAAACGTCTGCAAGAAAACAAGCAAGCTCAGAGAGCACCAAGGACCCCATAGTCAATCAGTCCATCCTTCCTTCCTTCCTTCCTTCCTTCCTTCCTTCCTTCCTTCCTTCCTTCCTTCCTTCCTTCCTTCCTCCTCGCCTCGCCTCTCCATAAATTCCATTCCCTTCTAGCACTGATAATGTTACCTAGTGGGGTCATGAAACGTCTGCAAGAAAACAAGCAAGCTCAGAGAGCACCAAGGAGCTCACAGTTCAGAGCTACAAATATGCTCTTCTGTTCTAACTTTGTTGTTGACCGTCTTAAAAATGTGGCCTTTCTTTTCCTCTTCCCTCCACCCCTACCTCTTTTCTGCAGCTGCCTCTGTGCCAATGCCTTCTTATCCAAGCTCTGGCAGTTCTTCCAGCAGCTCCTCCACGTCTCACTTAGCGTCACCTCCGGTGAGTATGTTTGATGGTTCTCTCCCCTGCAGATAGTTCCACTACTAGGACTTGAAGTATGCTAAACTCACCATGCAGCCCCAACATGCTCCAATGGCGTGTCTAACGCACCTGGGGTGCATTCAGAGCTGGGCCCTCTTGTGGCAGACTATTATGGGAAATGCTTTTGACCGTTAGCGAAGCATTGGAAGCATGGCTAAGGTTGTCTACAACGTTTTGTGTTTTTCAATCTGGCTCTCCTCTCTTCCCTTGAGAAGTCGCTCGGCGAGATGGCCCATCTGCAGGAGAAGACCCCAACCTTCCCCCAGCAAGGCTCCCCGGCTTTCCTGCACCGGTCGAAGGAATCGGCGGGAAGCAGCAGCAAGAATTCCTCATGTGACACCGATGACTTTGTAATGGTGCCAGCCCAGTTTACAAGTAAGAGGAGTTTTATGCCAAAGCCATAAAGAGAACTGGGATGAAGCACAGGTTGTGGAGGAACCGTGTACTTTGGAACATGGGAGAAGAGATTGGAAAACCACTGGTCTGAAATGGGATAGGGTTTCCTGCCTGAGCAAGGGGTTGGACTAGAAGACCTCCAAGGTCCCTTCCAACTCTGCTATTCTATTCTATTCTATTCTATTCTATTCTATTCTATTCTATTCTATTCTATTCTATTCTATTCTACAGTCTTTCCCATTCCATTCCATTCTATTCTTTTTCATATTCCTTATTCTATTCTATTCTACTCTACTCTACTCTACAATCTTTCCCATTCCATTCCATTGTATTCTTTTTCATATTCCTTATTCTATTCTACTCTACTCTACTCTACTCTACTCTACTCTACTCTACTCTACTCTATTCTACAATCTTTCCCATTCCATTCCATTGTATTCTTTTTCATATTCCTTATTCTATTCTATTCTATTCTATTCTATTCTATTCTATTCTATTCTATTCTATTCTATTCTATTCTACTCTACTCTACTCTACTCTACTCTACTCTACTCTACACTCTATTCCATTCTATGCCATGCCATGCCATTCCAAAATAGTCTGTTCTGTTCTGTTCTGTTCATCCTCCTTTCTACAACAGATATTTAAGCCTTTGAAAAAGAAAAGGGAGTTAATGAAACTCTTTGATCTTGGCTGATGATCAAGGTCATCATTGGGCAAATGATTTTAGGCTTGCTGTTGGGCAGATTGAAGAGTTGTAAATAATAATAATAATAATAATTTTAAAAATTTCTCTTTTTCTTTTGATTTTTAGGTGATTTAGCTGTGGAGGTTACTGGAGGCAAGCTGATCCAGGACAGTCTGATGGGGAGTGGGTAAGGGGAAAAAAAAATCCTTTTAGTTTTGCTTTCTCGGTGTTTTTAATTGTAATGAGCTAAACATTCAATGGCTCCTGGTTGATGTGTCGGCGTTCGACACGCCTCGGAGCCGTTTTGCAACAGAATCCACAAATAACCAGATTCGTGTCCTTAAAACAAACAACTAAAGGGAGATTTCAACATTTAATAAGGATAGAAGTAATATGATCAGATGCTTCTACTCTGAAATGTGAGCTCAGAGACGATGGTTTTTGTGACTTCTGCGTAGTCTTGAGGACCCTCATATTTTAACATCTGTCTTCTTGATCAAGTGTTCTCCAGATTCATTGGGACTTAACAACTCCAACTGTTGATGGAGTTTGTTGCATTAGTGATTCATGTTTCTTCTGCCCTTGGACTTTTGTAGGAGCTCCCTGGTGACTTCTGCAGACTTGGAAAGCCAAGGAAGGACTTCATCTCCTTCTCCTCCATACAGCAGTTCTCCCAGCCCATCTGGGTAAGACAGAATCTGAGATGGTATTCCTCCCCATCCCAATAAAAATGAGAAGACACGGCCCTGGTTTGTGCACCCCTCTTATGCTAGCGTGGGTTGTCCCATCTAGATGGACTTTCCCTGGTTCTTGGTCTCATTTGTGGCCAGAGAAATAGGAAGAGGAGTTCTGTGAACTTCTACAGGAGAAATAGTCCTTGTGTAGCTCTTTCTCAAGGACAGGACCATCCCTTGATCTGGAGGAGTTTCCTTCTAGGAAAGCCACTTGGCCTAAGATGTTCTCTCCTGCATCATTTCTGGAAAGGTGAGAGGTTGCAAACGGTTAGAAGATGGATGGTCCAGGATGTTCTCCTCTAAGAAGCACTAGTTTCTGGAAATCTATCCAGGACAATTTCTTCAACCTATTTCCCCTTGAAAAACTGTTTCAAGTTGTCTTTCATCAGCCAGAAGGACCTTGAGGATGGATTTAAAGCTAGGTCTCCTCAGATCTTCTCCAGCTACTGGAGAACAACTGCACTACTTTAGACACTGCACTAAGCAAAACATGGGTTTAAGGCTTAGTCTAATGGGTAAACTGGGCCTTTAGAATTTGCTCAGCAAGCTGTGATTAAAGCAAACCACAGCTTAAGGTGATGGGACGCTCTGCAGAGCTTTTCTCGTTAATCTTCCCTACACCTAGGGTGTTCAGTAGTCCTGGTTTTGCTCTAGCCATCACTTGCCTATCTTCCGTGTTCTCACAGGCGATCAAGCCAATTTTCATCCAGCACTAGATCCGGACAATCAATACCCATTCCAGTCCCTACACAGATCCAAAATTACCGCCGGATTGAGCAGAACCTTCAATCCCCCAATCAATATACTTTGCCACGGTGAGTATGAGCTGTTAGGGAGATTGACACTGATTAACCTGTTTGCCAACGATGATGTGATGGACTGTGGGGAGCAGGTGCATTTCCAGGAGGGAAGGGCTGCATTCCAGGGGAGTAAGAGGAAAGTCAGCCTAGACATTATGTGTGGGAGAAAAAGTGAAGATGGCCCCTCCCTAATAGCTCCCAGAGTATATTGTAGAGGCAGATAGCTGAGTGTTCAGCCTGGCAAGATTCCGTCTGTAGGTGTGAAACAAGAAAGAACTCAGCTTGGAAGAATCGTCATGTCTCATTCTTGGTTTGGGGCCTGATAGGCAGTTATATAACTGAGATAGATAGATAGATAGATAGATAGATAGATAGATAGATAGATAGATAGATAGATAGATAGATAGATAGATAGATAGATACGCAGGCATAGACAGACAGACAGACGGATAGACAGACGGATAGATAGATAGATAGATAGATAGATAGATAGATAGATAGATAGATAGATAGATAGATAGATAGATAGATAGATAGATGGGGGACAGAGGGATAAACAGACAGAGAATAAAAACAGTGTGATAGCATGTAGTCTGGATTCCCAGGAGAACTCAGAGGCAACTCAGACTGTATGTTATGTGTGAGAGAAAGAAGGTGAAGACAGTTCCCAGAGTATATTGTAGAGGCAGATAACTAGATTCTGTGTATAGATTGGAACACTAAAATAACCAGCTTGAAAGCATCACCATGTACCATTCTTCGTTTTGGGCCTGACAGATTCACTCAACTAGAGGATTGTCAGACTTAAAAATATGGACTAGGTCAACCTTGGCACATGGTTTTGCAAGCCCAAAACTCAAACTCTTTGAAGTTTAATTTGAGTGTCAAACTTTTGGTCAGATGTAGCTGTGAACCAAACCTAAGTTCCACTTTGTGGATAATTTGGTTTCTTTTCACTGAACCTCCCAATGAATTGATGCAATTAAACCCAATGAAACGAGGCAATTAAACCCAGTGAATTGATGCAATTAAACCCAGCGAATGTGACTCTCCGCCAGAGGTGACTTTGATCATTTCCCATTTTATTACATTGAAAGCTGTCCTTGATCAGTCAACTTGGGTGGACATCTGGAGGAACATACCTCCAAATTTGAGGGGTGCTGAGATTGAAAACCTCGGTCATTGGCGGAGCCAAACAAACTCCTGGCATTGCATTCTGTGGGAGAATCCCGTCGGTTTGCACGAGACCAAAACGGCCGTTACTTTTGCAGCACCGGACCTTTCTGTTTTGCATCTCCTTAAACGTAATCACCTCTTCTTGGGTTATGAGCGTTGGCCATGTTGAATTTTTTTCCAGGCGGATTGTTTATTATCATTATTATTATTTGTTCTGGCTCCTCTGCTTAGTCAGACCTTTCAGCCGTTTCTCTGACGTGTCATGGTTGTAATTATACAAAACATGACACAGCCACGCTTGCGGCATGCAATTTTGGACTCCAGCATCAGTCATGTTGCCGGCATGTATGGCTTAGTGCCATGTGATGGAATCTTGTGTAAGTGGCACCTTTTTGTTAAGGGAAAGAGCTTCTGACAGCTGACAGCTTATTTGGCTTGGGAAAAAAGATGGATGACAAGAAGCACATCTCTGAAGGCTTCTGTGTTTTGGGCAGCTAAGGATCTGAGTATCTGGCAAAGGATGGGAAAAGGTTGGACTTGAGCAAGCTAAGCTACTCTGCTCTCAAAACTGGTGTGTGTGTGTGTGTGTGTGTGTGTGTGTTGGCTACAATTTGATTTCTTCTTCCCCGCAAAGCTTGAGAAAAAAAAAGTTATTTATTTGCTGATGAATTCCACCTTCTAAGTCTGGTGAAGGCATGGATTAAACAGCAATGCAAATATTTTCATTTCCGTTACGAGGATGGTTGGTTGCCCACTCAGCCAGATGTTTAGAGTGGATTTTGGCTTCTCTTTTTTTCCCCCTCCTATCAAGTCCTTCTCAAAGGATTATTGTTACATATATATATATATATATATTTTCCTGGATGGTTCACCTAGACTTCTTGGAAAAAATGGGAAGCTTGCCGTTTTTCTAAGCTGTCTCTCGACTGGATGGAAATATTTGTCAAAAAGGATGTTGAGGTCCTCTCCATCCCTCTTGGTAAATACAGCTGTGTGATTTTTTTTTATGCTGGAATCAGTGTCTTCCCTTAAGTGTGTGCTGTGATGCCAACCCATGTGGTTTTGCAAACTTTGATTTCAGCAGGAACTCTAAATGTTAAATGGGTAGGAGGAAGAAGTAGGAACCACATTTAACATTGTTTGGCCAAAGAGGGTGGGCTCGGTGTTTTGGCTGAAGGGTGAAAAATCTTGGTTGTTGGGGTGAGTTTGTGAGATTTTTTTTTTTATTTGATGCCTATTTTAAGATATGTAGTATGAAGGGGTCCTGGGTGCTCTCTGGGCTTGCTTGCTTTCTTGCAGACGTTTTATTATCCAAACTAGGTAACATCATCAGTGCTAGTGGAATTTAGGGAGAGGAGGAGGGAGGGAGGGGAGGAGGAAGGAAGGAAGGAAGGAAGGAAGGAAGGAAGGAAGGAAGGAAGGAAGGAAGGAAGGAAGGAAGGAAGGAAGGAAGGACGGACTATGGGGTTCTAGGTACTCTCTGAGCTTGCTTGTTTTCTTGCAGACGTTTCATTACCCAACTAGGTAACATCATCAGTACTAGAAGGGATTGAATTTAGGGAGGGAGGAAGGGAGGGAGGGAGGGAAGGAGGAAGGAAGGAAGGACTATGGGGTCCTTAGTGCTCTCTGAGCTTGCTTGTTTTCTTGCAGATGTTTCATTACCCAAACTAAGTAACATCATCAGTGCTAGAAGGAAGTGGAATTTATGGAGGGAGGGAGGGAGGGAGGGAGGGAGGGAGGAAGGAAGGAAGGAAGGAAGGAAGGAAGGAAGGAAGGACAGACTATGGAGTCTTAGCTGCTCTCTGAGCTTGCTTGTTTTCTTGCAGACATTTCATTATCCAAACTAGTTAACATCCTAGTTTGGGTAATGAAACGTCTGCAAGAAAACAAGCAAGCTCAGAGAGCACCCAGGACCCCTCATGTCAACCCTGAGCTACAAATATTCTAATTTATTAGATACGTTGTATGTTTTAGGAAGGTGTTTCTGTTCCCAAAGGCAGGGTTCAGTGAGCTGCTAACATTCCTTAGGAAAATCATGATTTAACAGGATACAAAAAGCAGGTGTATATATGATAAAGAGGGACAGCGATGGGGGAACTATTTCTTAAATTGCATTCAGACGATTAGGATCCAGATGGAGATGGAAGTCAGCAATTCTTGATCTCCACTCTTGCCTTGGCACTTGAAGGTCCACACACCCACACGGTGGAATGGTAATCATCTGTTGGTTCTTCTTCTGCTCTGCACAAGCTGGAATAAACAAATCCTCCTTTCCACTAGGTGTAATCCTGTCAAAAGATCTGGCAGCACGAGTCCACTTGGCTTCCTGAAAGCCAGCCCATCCCCTCCATTTTCTGCTGGTGAGCATGGAATAGTGCCATCCCCTAGAAGGTTCTCCTTTGGTGGTGCCAAGCCTTACACACCTTCTCCTCAAGGTAGGCTATCCAGCTAGTCTGGAGATGGACAAGCTTTAATGGTCAGGAGCTATGTTGAACATTTTGGAGGGCTGGACAAAGACCCAAGAATGCAATCAGTGAGGTGGAACCAAAGCGTTGGTTTGATGGATTTTCACAATTTATCTTTTGTAGGGGTTTGTTGTGGTGGTTTGGAGACATCTGTTTTGTTTTGCTTTTAATATATTTTTTTTCAAACTCTCCCCCATACATATACACTATATCTCTGCTGTTGCCCTGTTCATTCTTGGTATCCACCTGGATTCCTGAGTGAACTTCGCAATGATCTGATTCAGGTGAACAGTGTTTGGGGCAACTTTGCTCTAAGGAAATAAAATAGCAGTTAGCAATAGCCCTTAGACTTATATACCGCTTCACAGTGCTTTACGGCCCTCTCTAAGCAGTTTTAGAGAGCCAGCCTATTGCCCCCCCAAACAATCCGGGTCCTCATTTTAGTGACCTTGGAAGGATAGAAGGCTGAGTCAACCTTGAGCCGGTCAGGATCAAACTCATGGCAGTGGGCAGAATTAGCCTGCAATCCTGGATTCTAACCATTGGGCCACCACGCTCTTATCCCCCTCTGAGTGTGTGATTTCTCATCATGCTGGTTTTCCTTTTCTTGAAGTTGGGACAATTCCAGAGCAGCCAGACCAGATGATCATCCCGTGTCCTCTCGGAACCGAGTTGAGAACTCGGGTGCCCATAACCGGTACGTCTGACGTTGAACCATTCTTTGAAGCATCTCAAGTTTTCTTGTCTGTCTATCATCTCCATCCATTTCTCTTTCTCCATCTCTGTCCATCTCTCTCTGTCATCTATGTCCATCAGTCTTCATCCATATCTATCTCCATCTGTCTGTCTGTCTATCTATTCTATCTATCTGTCATCTATCATCTCCATCCATCTCTCTATTTCTTCATCTCTTTATCTCTATCCATCTCTCTTTCATCTATCTATCTATCTATCTATCTATCTATCTATCTATCTATCTATCTATCTATCTCCATCAGTCTTCACCCATATCTATCTCCAGCCATATGTATCATCTGTCTGTCTGCCTGCCTGCCTGCCTGCCTGTCTGTTTACCTACCTACCTACCTACCTACCTACTATCTATTTGCCTATCTACCTATTTGTCATCTATCATCTCCATCCATCTCTCTATTTCGCCCTCTCTTTATCTCTATCCATCTCTCTTTCATCTATCTATCTCCATCAGTCTTCACCCATATCTATCTCCAGCCATATGTATCATCTGTCTGCCTGCCTGCCTGCCTGTCTGCCTGTCTGTCTACCTACCTACCTACTACCTGCCTATCTACTACCTATCTGCCTCTCTAACTATTTGTCATCTACCATCTCCATCCATCTCTCTATTTCTCCATCTTTTTATTTCTGTTCATCTCTCTCTTCCATCCATCAATCTTCATCCATATTTATCTCCAATCATATGTATTGTCTGTCTAATCTAATCTAATCTAATCTAATTTAATCTAATCATATCTTTTTACCAGATGGTTTCCCTTGATGTTTTCTGCTTCCTTTCTGCTCTTCACTCCCTCTTCCATTTTATTCATCTTCCTTTCAGATGCTTCGGGATCGGACCCTTCTCAACGAGGACTGGGCTATCGCCTTCACAGCGCTCCCAACCTCTCCGATTTCCAGTCTTGCCGGCAAAAAGTCACCAAGCAGTACTCCGATCCACTGGTCACCCACTTCAGCCCTGTCCCAGCGGGTCAGGCTGCACGGCTGCCCAGTCTTCAGTCTGGCCGGCCTCTCAGGTCTTCTCCGAAGCTTTCTGAATTCATCCAGAGGACTCCCTTGCCCACCATTTTGGGTTCTCCCACAAAGGTAGTCTATCCTTCCTCAGTGTCCCGTCGGGTGGAATTGGAAAGTTCTAAATGGGGAGGTTGTCTCAATCTAATCTGCCCCCCAACCACAACTGTATGAGAGAAGGGGACTGGCCTGAAGCCACCCATCCAAGGCAGAACTAGAACTCCCAGTCTCCTGGTGATTGCCCCCAAGTCACCCAGCCAACCTCCTTGTCTTAAGGAAGGATTAGAACCCACGGTCTCCTGATGATTGGCCCATAGTCGTTCAGCCAGCTCTCATGCTTAAGACAGAACTAGAACTCCCAGTCTCCTGGTGGTTGCTCCCAAGTCACCCAGCCAACCTCCGTGTCTTAAGGAAGGATTAGAACCCACGGTCTCCTGATGATTGGCCCATAGTCGTTCAGCCAGCTCTCATGCTTAAGACAGAACTAGAACTCCCAGTCTCCTGGTGGTTGCTCCCAAGTCACCCAGCCAACCTCCTTGTCTTAAGGAAGGATTAGAACCCACGGTCTCCTGATGATTGGCCCATAGTCGTTCAGCCAGCTCTCATGCTTAAGACAGAACTAGAACTCCCAGTCTCCTGGTGGTTGCTCCCAAGTCACCCAGCCAACCTCCTTGTGTTGAGGAAGGATTAGAGCCCACGGTCTCCTGATGATTGTCGTTCAGCCAGCTCTCATGATGCCTAAGGAAGGACTAGAACTCACGGTCTCCTGGTGTCTCCTCTAGCACCTTAACCACTCCACCAAACCGGGTTTCTGGGACAAAAAAAAAACGGGAACGAGAGGGTCACATCAATTGAACAAGTCTTTTGGGGCTTAGCAAACCCTCCTTGTCGTACGGGTGTTTCACAACAAGTCCCAAAAATGTTCAGCAGCCCCCCCCCCAAAGAAAGCGCAGATTCCGTGTTCTCTTTCTATCCGTTTCTCTCCATTTCGTCATGTCTCTCCTTCATTTTTTTAATTTTTGGTTTTTGTTTTTAAACGTAGGCCAGGTCACCCTTTGAGTTCAGTAAAAACCCCAGCTCCCAAAACCTGTTTGCTCTCTTGGCCCATCAAACGGTGGTCATCACTCCGACGAGGAACAAGACCCTGCCAGATATGAAAGAAGTGGGACACTTACCTTATCAACCAGGAGCTCTCGGTTTGAGGCCGACGGAAGACAGCAAAGTCAGGTGGGGACCCTCGCAACCCAAAACTAAAAGTCAACATTGATTTGCAGGTAGACTAGCATAGCAACATGTGGGCTCCTTGGTGGTTCCTGAGCTTGGTTGTTTCCTTGCAGGAGTTTTATTACTCCACAGAGTAACGTCACCAGCACTAGAAGGGAGTGGAGTTGGTGCTTTTTGGCCTTTCAAGGTGGGGTGAGGTGGAGAAGATGTTCCTTTGCAATAGTGGGGAATAGTGGCAACAAAGATGATTAGGGGACTGGAGGCTGAAACATATAAGGAACGGTTGCTGGAATTGGATGTGTCTAGTTTAACAAAGAGAAGGACGAGGGGGGACATGATAGCAGCCTTCCAGTATCTCAGGGGCTGCCCCAAAGAAGAGGGAGTCAAGCTATTCTCCAAAGCACTTGAAGGCAGGACAAGAAGCAATGGATGGAAACTAACCAAGGAGAGAAGCAACCTGGAACTAAGGAGAAATTGCCTGACAGTTAGAACAATTAACCAGTGGAACAACTTCCCTCCAGTAGTTGTGGGTGCTCCAACACTGGGGGTTTTTAAGAAGAGATTGGACAATCATTTGTCTGAAATTGTGTAGGGTTTCCTGCCTGAGCAGGGGGTTGGACTGGAAGACCTCCAAGGTCCCTTCCAACTCCTCCTCCTCCTCCTCCTTCTTCTTCTCCTTCTCCTTCTCTTCCTTCTCCTTCTCCTTCTCCCTCTTCCTCTTCTTCCTCTTCTTCATCTTCTTCCTCTTCATCATCATCTTCTTCTTCTTCCTCCTCCTCCTCCTCCTCCTCCTCCTCCTCTTCTTCTTCTTCTTCTTCTTCTTCTTCTTCTTCTTCTTCTTCTTCTTCTTCTTCTTCTTCTTCTTCTTCATCACCATCATCATCATCATCATCATCTGTAGCTTGGGTGTAGGATGAAGGTGAAAGTTCATTCTCCGAGCTTGTGGATTGGTTTCCGAACGTTTCCTTACCAGGCTAGGTGACATCTTCAGCAGAGTTTAGGGGGATGTCGCTGTCCTTCTGTTGATAAGGGCTTCAGGTGTGGGTGTGTCAAGTGAGGTGCTGGGTCAGGTGTGAGTCATCAATGAGAAGCTGCTAATGGGTCTTTTGTGATGGGGAGGTTACATCAGATCAGGGTCGTTGGGAAGCGAACTGCTGGTGGGGTATTCATTTTTGATGGGTTCCCCAAAGGTGGTGCTACTTTCCCATCCTCCACACAACTAGCCGGAAACGTTATCCCTCCCTAAACTGAGGATGTTCTCCGAATTCATGGAGACCTAACCACCCTAATCAGGTTTGCCCCAACCCCCCATGGGATTGTCCCATCTATGTTTACCAGTAGACCTAGAGAGGACCTTCTTGACCTTGGCATTTTCACGTTCTCCAGGTCACTCAGCACTGGCCACTTCACTGATCTGCTTCTTAAAGCTGCTTTTGGGGAAGCTGGCAGTAATGATAGCCTCAACAGCGAGAAGCCCATGGAGATCACAGGTGCTGGGAACTTGGGTAATGGGGTGGGTGGGGGAGGTCTTCATGGGGGTGAGGGTGCTTTCCTCCTGAACCAACCCACCTCCTTTTTTTCGGTCTACACAACTTTTTCTCCTGCATCCATGAAACCTTAGCTGAGATGATCCTACTTCCTCCATAGCTCCTTCCATGGCTTGTGGAGGAACCCCTCACTCGGGGGCTCGAGAAGGTTGCTCAGGAAGCCCTTCACCAGTGGTCTTCACCGTTGGGTCACCTCCTGCTGGGACAACCCCACCGCAAACCATCCGGACCAGAATGTATTCAGGTACCCAAACCAGGAAGGGAGATGGCAGCATTGTACAACGAAGAAATTGATAACGGGGAATAATAGCTCAGGGTTGAACTGTGGGTCCTCGGTGCTCTCTGAGCTTGGTGGTTTCCTTGCAGATGTTTCGTTACCCAACTAAGGAACACCATCGGTACTAAAGGGATGGGCATTGTGGAGAAGAGGAGGAGGAGGAGGACTCCTCCTGTGGGGTCTTTGGCGCTCTCTGAACTTGGTAGTTTTCATGCAGATGTTTCATGACCTAAACTAGGGGACACCATCAGTGCTAGAAGGGAGTGGGGTGTACAGAATGGAGAAGAAAAAGGAGAAGGACTGTGGGGTCCTTGGTGCTCTCTGAACTTGGTAGTTTTCAGGCAGATGTTTCATAACCCAACTAGGGGACACCATCAGTGCTAGAAGGGAGTGTGGTTTGGGGAGGAGAGGAAGAGGAGGAGGACTGTGGAGTCCCTGGTGCTGTCTGAGCTTGGTTGTTTTTTTGCAGATGTTCCCTTACCCAGCTAGGTAATATTATCAGTGCTAGAAGGGAGTGGAATTGAGGGAGGGAGGTGGGAGGGAAGGAAGGAAGCAAGGAAGCAAGGAAGGAAGGATGGGTAGACTATGGGCTCCTTGGTGCTCTCTGAGCTTGGTGGGTTTCTTGTAGATGTTTCATTACTCAACTAGGTAACATCATCAGTGCTAGAAGGAGTGGAATTGAGGGAGGGAGGGAGGGGAGGAAAGGAAGGAAGGAAAAGGAAGGAAGGAAGGAAGGAAGGAAGGAAGGAAGGAAGGAAGGAAGGAAGGAAGGAAGGAAGGAAGGAAGGAAGGAAGGACAGATGGACTATGGGGTCCTTGGTGCTCTCTGAGCTTGTTTTCTTGCAGATGTTCCCTTACCCAAACTAAGTAACATCATCAGTGCTGTGGCATTCCCACAGTTTACTAAAAAAATACACTTAGATGTGAAGATGATGGCTTTTGTTTTCCTTTGCTTACTCATCTTGCTAAGTTTTGCATTGTATATTTTGCTTTTTATTTTTTATTTTTTTAGTAGGATCTTCAAGTTCTCTTAGTTCTGGAGGATCTTTCAGTGGGCGCCACTTAATTATGGGAGCCGGTGGGGAAATCCTTGAAGCTCCCTCAGGTCTCAGATATACATTGGCTGATCCAATTGCTGCCAACCTGGAAGGAGCAGTTATCTTTGAGGCACCTGAATTACCTGAGGAGACACTCATGGAAGTGAGTTTCATTCCCTCCCAACCCAAGTTGAGAACAGTGAAAAGTCAACGTTTAGGCTCTAATCCACCCTCAGCTGTAGACCTTGTTGGAGAAGATCCATGTTGGTCTCCTTCTACGGTCTACATGTTCAACTAGACCAGGGGTAGGCAACCTTGGCTCTTTTATGACTCGTGGACTTCAACTCCCAGAATTCCTGAGCCAGCCATGCTGAGGGGAAAGGGAGAGGTTTCCAAGCTGAGCCATGCTGGCTCAGGAATTCTGGGAGTTGAAGTCCACAAGTCATGAGGGGACCATAGTTCCCCCATGCTGGCTCAGGAATTCTGGGAGTTGAAGTCCACGAGTCATGAGGGGGCCATAGTTCCCCCATGCTGGCTCAGGAATTCTGGGAGTTGAAGTCCACGAGTCATGAAGGGGCCAAAGTTTCCCTCATGCTGGCTCAGGAATTCTGGGAGTTGAAGTCCACAAGTCACGAGGGAGCCATAGTTCCCCCATGCTGGCTCAGGAATTCTGGGAGTTGAAGTCCACGAGTCATGAGGGGACCATAGTTCCCCATGCTGGCTCAGGAATTCTGGGAGTTGAAGTCCACGAGTCATGAGGGGGCCATAGTTCCCCCATGCTGGCTCAGGAATTCTGGGAGTTGAAGTCCACGAGTCATGAAGGGGCCAAAGTTTCCCTCATGCTGGCTCAGGAATTCTGGGAGTTGAAGTCCACGAGTCATAAAAGAGCCAAGGTTGCCTACCCCTGGTCTAGATGGAGTGAAAACCTCATCCGTAGAAGCCTCCTGGGTGACTTGCAACCAGTCTCTTCTTCCCAGCCCAGACGAGATCCAAATTCTATTCCATCCTCAACCAAAGAATCTTATCTCTTTTGAGGTTGTCCATCCCAGCTTATTCCAAAATGCAATTGTGAGACAAAATAGGCCATAATGCAATGTCTCTGGAGATTCTCAGTCACCCAGATCATGGCTGTCCCAAAGGTGTTTTTTCATGAGGCAACTGGACTTCCTTGTTTTTCTTTGAAGACGTTTCGCTCCTCATCCCAGAAGCTTCTTCTGCTCTAACTGGATGGTGGGGAATGGAAGGATTTATGCTCCTTGCGGACAGCTGGACATTTGCCTTCTTTTGGAGAGTCGTTGAGGCTACCTGGAGGTTTATCTGTGTCCTCAGGGTCACCTGAGTAGTACAAATGTGTGTGGAGCCTTCTTGGCTCCAGGATGGTTTCTGCCCTGGGTCCCTTCCCCGTTGAAGACGGGCGCAGGCCGTTGGGGCTGAGTCTGTGTTGTCTGCATCTCAGACTGAAGCGCAGATGGTTCCTGTAGTCTGCAATATTATTTTTTCTGGAAATCCGTTCATGCTCCAGCACCATCCGAAGGGCGTTCATCCCAAAGTGCATAGCTAAATGTCTGCGGTGACTCTTGAGGATACAGACAAACCTCCAAATGGCCTCAACCACTCTCTTAAAGGATGCAAATGGCCAGCGGTCTGCAAGGAGTATAAATCCTTCCATTTCCCCCACCATCCAGTCAGAGCTGAAGACGCTTCTGGGACGAGAAGCGAAACATCTTCAGAGAAAAACAAGAAAGTCCAGCTGCCTCCTGAAAAAAGCACCTTTGGCGTAACGCAATGTCTACCGTCTTATCCAAACTGATAACTGTTTCCTGGCTTGAAAGCACGTTTGTAAGGACCCACCCCACTTTGCATCTTAAGAAGACAGAACTCTTAGAATCTTTCTTCCAACAGGCATCTTTATTAAGAGAAACTGGTTGCAGGCATTCTAGACAGGACTTGGGGGCCAAGCCCTATAGCTCAAGGTGGTTTTTTTTTTTGTAAAAAGTTTTTATTTTCAATTTTACAATACATTACATTCTTAAAAATACTTCAGATAAAAAAATAAAACAAATTGATACACACAACTTTCGGTATTGCTCACCCATTTCCCCCCAAACCGCATCCACCCTCTAACCAACTTGCCTCTTTCCCTCTTCTTCCTCTTCCTCACTCTCCTCCTCTTCTCCTTCTCCTCCACCTTCCTACTTGCTTCTCCCCTATCTTCTCGCTCCGGATGCGGTCCAGGGGAAATGCCCGAGCAATTCCTCTCTCCAAATTGAAACATCAATATTATATACAATAAAACTATTTCTACTTATCTGAGTACTTAAACTTCAACCCATCCTCCCCCCACGCCTCTCCCCCCCCACTTCCCAGAGCCAAGTACAGGGTTATACAAACATATTAAACATAATCTATTTAAGTTTACTAATTATACAATAACCAAAATCATACTAACCCTTAACTCTCTTCAAACGTTAACATCATAAGTTTATAAACAAATTCATTACTCATAAAATAAATGAAACTTTATAATTCCATACTTCTTCTGAACATATTGCAGGCGTTCTAGATAGGACTTAGGGTTCAAGCTCTCCCATTCAAGGTTTTAAGGGGTTCCCCAGTAGCCCCACCCAATCACCCCCCTCTTTCAGCGACAGTCTCAGGCATTACACTCCCACCCCCTTTTCCTTACTGCCGGCTGGAGGGAGACTTCAGAGAGGAGTACATGAAAGGTAATTGCCCCATTGTTATGGTTAGTCCTTTTATGGGATACCTTTTATGGTATCCACATCCAGTCTCTTTGAAGTGTACTGAAGGAAGTGAGGGCCATAAAGCCCCTTTGTTCACCCCCTTCCCTTCATCGTATGACAGAATCCAGAGAAGGCAGGAATGGGGTTTTCCAAAGTTGATAACTAGAGATGAAATATAATTGGATTCTGACAACGTGGTTAGATCTTGGTGTCTTAGCAGAGGCTGACCCTTCTGACGTTGGGTCTCTATCTCTGCGTTTTCAGCAAGAGCACACAGACATCCTTCGCAGCTTGAGGTTCACGCTGGCTTTTGTCCACTATGTGATGGAGCTTGCCACCATCAAAGGGAGCGTCAGTGAGATGTCCACTTCGGTGGCCTCTGAGTACCAGCTTCAAGAAAGCGTCGTTGCCGACCAAATCAGCTTGCTCAGCAAGGAATGGAGGTAAGTAGCAACACCCAGGTGTGGGATGCAAGCTGCAGCATCAACCCATGGTAGAGAAGTAAAACAGCTGTGCGGTTTCCTTCTGCACCTCCGTTGACCTTTGTGCTTTTGTTTTGTTGAAGCTACGCAGAACAGCTGGTCTTGTACTTGAAAGTGGCTGAATTGCTGTCTGCCGGGCTTCAGATGGCCATTGACCAGATCCGGGCAGGCAAGCTGTGTCTCTCCTCCACTGTCAAGCAAAGTAAGAATTTGTGTAGCCAACTCCACAAGGAGTGCCTAAGTTTTGTTTCCCCAGCAAGTGCTGCCTTTCAGGTTTTAAGTAGTGGTAGACAGGAGAATTCATCCCTTGCTTACAGTCTGGCCACTGGCAGAATCAGGTGCTTCTTCCGCCACGTTAGTAATTGTCGTTGCTCAGAATTTCGGTTAATGCTTAAGACACAAAGGCTTGGAAACGGAGAGACCAGGAGTTTTAGTTCACAGTCACAAAAACGGTGAGATGGTTTTGGGCTGGTTGCTTTCTTTCAGCCCTAATGGCAAACCTCTTCTGAAAAACCTTGCCAAGAAAATTGCAGGGGCAAGAAAGAGAGAGAGAGAGAGAGAGAGAGAGAGAGAGAGAGAGAGAGAAAGGAGGGAAGGAAGGAAGAAAGGAAGGAAGGAGGGAAGGCAGGAAGGAAGGAAGGAAGGAGTTAGAAAAAAACAAAGAAACAGAAAGAAAAAAGAAAAGGAAAGAGGGAGGGAAGGGGAGGGACGAAGGAAGGAAGGAAGGAAGGAAAGAGTTAGAAAAAAACAAAGAAAGAAAGAAAAAGAAAAGGAAAGAGGGAGGGGGAGGGAAGAAGGAAGGAAGGGAAGGAATGAAGGAGGGAAGGGAAAGGGAAAGAAGGAGTGGAAGGAAGAAGGGAGGAAAGGAGGGAAAGGGAGGGAGGGAGGGAAGGGAAAGAGAAGGAAGGGAAGGAAGAAGGAGGAGGAGGAAGGAAGGAAGGAAGGAAGGAAGGAAGGAAGGAAGGAAGGAAGGAAGGAAGACCCACCCATGGCAGATTGAGAATGAGTATATCCACCTCAATAGTAGAGCCATATAAACACGTCTCCAGATCCCTGGGACCTCCAGCCCTGGTGACCTAACCAAGTCTTGAAGTACTTCAAGAACATCAAAAGGAAGGGAGCTAATCTCATTTTCATCTTCTCCCCTGTGGTCTCTACTTGTTCTTCCCCATCTTGTTCAAGTTGGAAGTTGTTCTGTTTTGGTTTCATTTGCTCTGAAATGCAAGTAGGGTTCTGTGCTTTGTCCAAAATCCTGATTGCTAATCTCGGAGAAAGAAAAATAACACCTAGTTACCTGATTGGAATTTCTCAGCACTTAGCTATGTGCAAAACCATGGGCTTAAAGATAATTGATGTGGGTGCGACTTTATAATTACAGAGTAGGTAAATTAATATGCCGTCACTCAGCCAGTTGACTCATTCCTTGGCAAGGGTTGTTCCAGGGCAGAGGGGGAATAATAGGAAGGAGATGACACCCTATCTTTTAACGTCATCTTTTAGAAATGCATGCCTTGGGTTTTTTTTTTTTTTTTCCTCCCAAAGCATGCAGAACTGACAACAAATTCAGCAGGGGGAAAAAAAGCAACAACTTTAAAAAGAAAAATGCAACGAGCAAACTTTTCGAAAAGAGACACAAGCAAAGCAGAGGTGAAATAAATACAACGTAGAATGAAGAGGCAGAAAAGAAAATATTTAAAGCATCTTAAACAGATGCTTTTTCAGATGTTAGGAATCTTCAGAACAGCAAGTTTTTTTTTTACTACCCTGGCTGGGTTTTCTTCAATCCTCAAGCAAAAGAAGATTTAGATACAAATTTAAGGACTTAAAAAAAAGGAGTGGGTGGAGGGATTAGAACGATTATTTTGGAAAGTTATAAATGGACTAAGGGATCTGAAATAAGATTTTGGAATTAATGATGAGAATCCTTCCTGTGGGAAAATGTTGTTTTGAGTTCTTAAAAAAAAAACAAGATAGGATGGAACTTCCAAGGTTGATCACTAGAAGGAACCAGAAGGAACAATTAAAACAGATTACATTTAAAGGAGAATAACTAAATTTGATTTACTTATATGGAATGGAATTAAGGGGAGGTTTTTCAATATCTTCATGGTTGATCTTAAGTGTCTTTGTTTTTAAGTGTGTGTTTTTTTATTTTAAAAATAAGTTAATCGTCTCTCGGTCACTGCTGGGAAAAAAAATCTTGCATACTGCTTTCTTATCTTACTTATGGAAAGCATGAAGAAAGTTTAAAATTCTGATAGAGATTTACAAACCTTTTGGAGCTGAAGGCTTCCCTGTGTAGTTCTTTCATTCTTCTTCTGTCATACTGAAAACTTGCAATTCCAACAGCATTGGAATGAATTTTAGCAGCCCATGTTAAAGGTCAGGTTGGTTCAACTTATTTCAACTATATCCCTTCTTCCCTTCCTGGAGCTCAAGATGATAGAAGAGTCTCTTTTTGCCTCTTAATACGGTAGTCAAGGTAACAACAACAACAACAACAATAATAATAAAGTTGGAAGGGACCTTGGAGGTTATCTAGCCCAACCCGCTGCTCAGGCAGGAAACCGTAGACCATTTCAGACAAATGGCTGTCCAGTCTCTTCTTAAAAACTTCCATTGTTGGAGCATTTGCAACTTCTGGAGGCAGGTGGTTCCACTGGTTAATTGTTCTCGCTGTCATGAAATAACAGAGTTGGAAGGGACCTTAGAGGTCATCTAGTCCAACCCCCTGCTCAGGCAGGAGACCCTATACCATTTCAGACAAATGGCTGTCCAGTCTCTTCTTAAAAACTTCCTGCGTTGGAGCATTCACAGCTTCTGGAGGCAAGCTGATTGATTGCAATCGGTCCAAGGACATTCAGGGAATATGCCAAGCAACTTCAGCCTTGTAGGAAGTGTGTAGCCAGTTTTCCTATCTGGTGAGTGACTTTTCTTCCTTGATTTGTTTCCTCCTCCGTAGTTGTGAGAAAGCTGAACGACCTGTATAAAAGCAGCGTCTCTTCCTGCCATCACCTGAACTTAAGGCTACAGAGGTGGTTCATGGACAAGCAGAAACTCATGGACCGCATCAACAGCATCACGGCTGAAAAGCTCATCTTCAGCCACGCTGTGCAGATGGTAGGTGAGACCTCACCTGGGGTTGCACTGTAGGAGGATGGCGATGTTGGTGGCCGCTGTGGGGCCCAGGTGTGTCTCAAGGTGGGAACTCAAAAGAGTTTTGACCTGAAGGCAATTCGAAGAACCTCAAGTTGTTTCTCCTTCCGAGAGGAACAAGTTAAAGAAACCGTGATAACACGGGCAAAGAATTTTGGACATAACGTAGAATTAGAAAACTGGCAAAGCCTCTGGGAAAGAAATGCCAAAATAACAAAAGCATGCAAAGAAAATTCTATACAAAAATGTTTTACAGATGGCACTTTAACACTGGGGAGGCTAGCAAAAATGTTTAAAAACATTATCTAGCAACTGTTGGAAATGTAGACGAAAAGCAGGCACTTAACTACCATCTTTGGTGGACAAGCCCCAAAGCCCAAAGATTCTGGTCAAGAATAGACATATGGTTAGAGAAAATGACTAAAAAACATACAGATTTTAAGCCAGAATTATTTTTGTTAGGCATAACTGTAGGAAACTATGAGAAAGAGTCTATATATCTAATAGTACATGTATTAACTGCAGCAAAAATTGTATTCACTCAACATTGGAAAAAAATGAAGATTTACCAACTAATTTAATTAAAAAATTTTTTTAGATTGTGCAGAAATGGATAGATTGACATTGAAAATGAAAGAGAAAGAAGATTCAGTAGACTTTAGAACATGGGATACCTTTGATCAATGGCTAGAAAAACGAGGTAGAGAGAAAGGAACTTAACATGTATTAGTAGGCTAAATATTGGAACCCAGATAATATGTTGCTGATAAAATATTAAGCATTTGTGACTATAAAAAAATTATATATATTTCAAAATTTTGTGACTGGCAAAAAGTTAGTGGGAGACTAGTATAGCTGATGAGAGCTAATGAGCTTGAAATAGCTATACTAGTCTCCCACTAACTCTTCGCCAGCCACAAAATTTTGAATTCATAGTGTTCACAGTATGTGACGTCTGCCTGCAAAACATGCTCCTAGATTGGAGCGAAACGCAGAACAGACTGATTTATATTTGGTAGACCGGGTGCCTCGCCCAACAGATAAGATATTTTTCCTTCCCAGGTCCAGGCTGCTGCTTTGGATGAGATGTTTCACCACCGAGAAGACTGCGTGCAAAGATACCAGAAAGCATTGCTCTTGATGGAAGGTCTCTTGAACTTCATCTCTGAGCAAGGAGATGTTGAGAACATCAATAAATGTAAGGAGCACCAAGCAAGAGACTCGTGAGATACCTTTGGAGAGTTTTTTGTTTGGAATCTTGTTGCTTTCTCCAACTTTCTTATCTAATTACTCTCATAATCACAATTGCTTTGACGTCTACTGTTCTGGCCTTTTCACTTATTTGGAGAAGAAAGGATTTTGGGACACAAAACTGGGTATCAACCATCCCATTTGGCACTTTCAACAAAAGAAACTCCCAGCTCTTTAGATGATCAAGAGTCTAGCTTTATTGACTTTTTTTTTTTTAGATTAGCTAACTTTTATTGTCATTTTTTTCCTGTGGGCACAATGACACACGTTAAAAAAAGTGAAATTTAGTTGCTTCCTCTCAAAGTGTACACATACATAACACACATTTAAAACATATTATATACAACATACGTATAGATTTATACCAGGGATAGGCAACCTTGGCTCTTTGATGACTCGTGGACTTCAAGTCCCAGAATTCCTGAGCCAGCATGGCTCAGCTTGGAAACCTCTCCCTTTCCCATCAGCACGGCTGGCTCAGGAATTCTGGGAGTTGAAGTCCACAAGTCATAAAAGAGCCAAGGTTGCCTACCCCTGACCTCCACCCTTACATATAAGTAACATATCAATATTAATCACCCGTCCATCTTGAATACATAACGCAAGGAGGAAGCTTTAAAGTTCACAAGGTTAATACCGTATGGAACAAAGCCGTGACTGAATCTGGATGTTCTGCTTCCATCTTGACACGGCAGAAGCAAAGTCAGTTTGGGGATTTTCCCACCAAAACCCCCATAAGTAACGCCCTTCTGGGCCACCCACAGCTCATAGTTCACCAATTTTCAGTTCTGCTTTGGGAAAAACTGTCTGCTCCAGTCAAACGTTCTTCATAGCCTCTTTCCACCCTTAGTAATTCACCACCCTCCTCCTGCCACTGTTTGGTCAAGCTGTGAGCAAAAGCAGGTGCAGGCAACTTTGGAGTCAAGTCAGGTTTGACATTGGAGTTTAAAGCTTTTTTTTTTTTTAAGATTTTTGGGGTATTTTTCCAGTCCTCGCGAATGTTGATGTGTCTCACCCAACCAATGAATCATTATTCCCCTTTATCCTTTTATCTTTTTAGGTAAAATGTGCATTGAACGCCGGCTGTCCAGCTTGCAATCAGGGATCTGTGCATGACGATAAGCTTTAGTTTTTTCCATGCAGGTAACTGCTTTGGTTCCTAAAAACCCTTGGGAGTTAAACCCTGAAGCCTTTTGAAGAAGTCTCAGATGGGAAGCCATTTTTGGTTTCCCTGGCTGGCAGTGAGACCTTTCCTGGTTAACCCTTCTCTTCCTTTCTCTTTTTCCAGGAGTAGCAGCTCCATCCTGCTCACCTGGGTGCAAACTGGGGACAGGTAGATACAGAAAGACCCTTTTCCAGCTGGTGGAAAGGGGCTGTGGAAACCAAGGACCAAATCTGCTTCGTGTCCACTGGTTTTGTTTTGTTTCTGAAGACGGACCGATGGGGTTATGGCAAGGCCAGCTTGGCCCTCTTAATTTGGAGTTACTTTCGTCTACTGCTGGCAGTGGACACCTGGATGGCTTCTCGTGGTTAGAAGGATGAAGCTCAGCCAGGGAAGAACATCCCTGGTGAAGAGAGCAATTCTTCTACAGATTTTATCTGGTTGCCCGTTTGGGACCTGCCCACCGTTCCCCAATCTCCATGTACTTGGTGTGCTTCAACAGCTCCCACGCTTCGCATCCCTCTTTGCGTGGGAAGAAGGAAGAAGATCTGGAGCTCAGCTTTGCTTGAGCCTGCTTCATCCTCTGGGAAGCTGGAAGTTAGACTTGATGCTCTCCTGTGGTGGATGTGATGGGACAGAGCCATTCTTCCTTCGTCGATGGGGAGGTGGACAAATCCACAGAAGACCGTAGACCTCTTTCAAGCAGTTGGAGCCTCGCAATACAATCTTAAGCTACCGTGTTCCATCTCAAGAAGCCAAAACCGTCTAGGGTAAAGAGATAGCTTCTACACGCGGGCAAGGGGGCATTAAATCAATGCATGGAAACGGCCCCTTCGTCCAATTTAGGTGCCTATGTTGTCAGAAGGCAACTCTTCTGGAGAAACATAGGGTTGTGTTTTTTTTTTTCTCATCCATTGCTTCTCTTTCCTGAAGGACAGGACAAGAGAGGAAAGAAAACACATATGCAATACACACACTAGCTTTGTGAATCAAAGGAGCACTTTAAGGAGTTGCGGAATTCGATGGTGGCGTATTGGACTTTTCGCTTAACAGCTCCTGGGGTGTCTACTATACGGGACTTCTTGACATGTTCTGCTATGTGCTAATTTCATCGTAGAGGATTCCTTTGTGTTGGTTTTTTGTTTTGTTTTGTTTTGTTCAGAAATTGCACTACAAGTATGTGTGGGTGTCTACACACACACACACACACACACACAAGTTGCTAAGATCCAATATGTATTTATGTGTATATAATGTATAGCGTAATCTTACATGTTTTAACTGTACTGTATGTTATTAGAATTGGGGGGGGGGAGAACAGCTATGCCTTTTTCCTGTTCTCTCTGTAATCCAGGTTGCTAACTTGAACGTTTTCTAACATTAGTGATGGTCTCTTTTATTCTCTCATTCTCTCTCTCATCTCTCGCTCTTTCTCTTTCTCTCTCCTCTCTCGCTCTGTCTCTGTGTGTCTCTCTTTCTCTCTGTCTCTCTCATCTCTTGCTCTTTCTCTCTCCCACTCCTCTCTTCGCTCTGTCTCTCTGCCTTTGTCTCTCTCATCTCTCACTTTCTTTCTCTTCCTTTCTCTCTCTCTCATCTCTCTCTCTCCCTCTTCTCTGTCTCTCTGTCTCTCTCATCTCTCTCCTCTCCTCTCTCGCTCTGTCTCTCTCTCTCTCTCATCTCTCTCTTTCTTTTTCTCTCTCCCTCGTTCTCTCTCTCTCTCTGTCTCTCTCTCTCTCTTGCTCTCTCTCTCTCTTGCTCTCTCTCTCATCTCTCGCTCTTTCTCTTTCTCTCTCTCCCTCTCCTCTCTCGCTCTGTCTCTGTGTGTGTCTCTCTCTCTCTTCTTAATGGATATACTATTCAAAGCAGCCTGCTCTTCAGAAGCTCAAGGACAGGATTTGCAATTGCTTGTGTATTTGCAATTTACTGGGTTCTCTCCCCCCCCCGTTTTTTTTTAGTTGCCCATTTTCCTGTTTTAGCATTTAACTTAAAATTTCCCAATCCTCCTGTTTTTAAAGCAATGAAGTAGCTCTCCCACCCCCTCGAAAAAAAATGTTAGGGCATGGCGTGTGTACGTTTCTGCATTTTGGAGTGTGCCTGCGTTTGTCTGAAGGGGTGGGTGGGCTGTTTCATGCACTGTTGAACTTGTGAAGGTGCCACAGCTGCGAGCAAATGCCTCCCCCTGTGAGCTTTGTCTGTGTTGTGTTGTGATGTGTGCATTTGGGTTTGATTTTCTTTTTTTAAACAGAGGGATTCAAAGTTTGGTTCGGTTTTTTTGTCGGTGCAAAGTGAGAACGTGTGCTTGTAAAATACAACCTAGATTTCAGTATTAACGTTCTTTTTTTTCTTTTCTCCCTTTTCTAAAATAAAAGCAAGTCAGGTTTCTTTGCACACAGCCAGTTCAGAATCTATCCCTGATTTTTCTCGTAAGGAACAAGCTTACTGACTTAGAAGCCAGTTCTGAACCTTTAAAAAAAAGAAAAAAAAGGAAATCTACATTTAATGCATTAAAAGATTTTTTTTTAAAAAAAACCCCTTCATTTACATGCAACATTTCCAGCCATCTTTTGTTTATGGCGTTTCTGGCAATTTGATCGTGTTTAAATTAGGTACAATGATGTTTGGTTTCGAGAGAAAGAGGGCTTTCTGGATTAAAAACCATCAATGTTGAATTGTGCCTGAACAAACGAGAAACCAGCAAACATTATTTTGTTGTTGTTAGTTGTACAGTCATGTCCGACCCATCGCGACCCCATGGACAACGTTCCTCCAGGCCTTCCCGTTCTCTGCCATCTTCTGGAGTCCCTTTAAGCTCACGCCTGCTGCTTCAGGGACTCCATCCAGCCACCTCCTTCTCTGTCGTCCCCTTCTTCTATTGCCCTCAATCTTTCCCAGCATTAGGCTCTTCTCCAGGGAGTCCTTCCTTCTCATTAGGTGGCCAAAGTACTTGAGTTTCAACTTCAGGATCTGGCCTTCTAAAGAGCAGTCGGGGTTGATCTCCTCCAGGACTGACCGGTTGGATCGCCTTGCAGTCCAGGGGAACATTATTTTAGCCCTGATGAAATTAGAGCCAGGAGTGGAGATGCACATCTTACATATAAAGTAATAAAGTAATATCTTTTATCTCCCCAAGTTTCCAGCAGTGCTAAACATATCTGGGTTTATCAAGCATCAAGTTATTATCAAGAACTAGCTAGATGTTAGGAATGCAGTTCAGACATTCTTCGGTATATCACCTCAAGGACAAACCACAGATTGAGAATTTAAGAATAGGAATTCTTCTGGCTAGTCCATAAGAAGAATATTCAGCTTTGGAAAAACCTCTCGTGTGGCGTGTTAGTTTGCTGGGCTCCAGAAAATTCCAACTTCTCTAGGTGTGCAAAACAGAAAAGTTAGAAATTAGGAAGATACAGTCATGAAAAGCTCCAAAATGGAGTTGGAGAGAAGGGATATTCTCACATCTGCCCCTGAGATGGGGTGTGTGTGTGTGTGTGTGTAAGAAAGCAAATAGTGTCCTCTATTTGCACATTACTTATCCCACAGTCTGATCTTATCCCATTGTGTTTGTAATACTTGGTTGTGACTTTTCTATTACGTATCTGTTACAACATGGCTTGTAGCTGCTCTCTTTCTCTCTCTCTTTCTCTCTTTCTTTCCCCTTCTTCTTTCCCTCTCCCTCTGTCTCTTAATTTTTTTCTCTACCAATCGGCATCCCAGGCAATCAACTGTGAAAGCAATTTTATCTGTTTCAGCCCCTCAAACATCCCCCCTCCCAAAAAACACTCATATTAATGCCACCTACTCACAAAATTTGAGGCTTACCCCAACCCTTTTCATGACTCTGAACCAAAACAGAGTGGGGAAATAAAGATTCCAGTTATCTTAAGCCATCTTCTCCTCTGGAAGACTTTTATTTTTTTTATTACAGATGTTTCTTCCATAAATTTTAAAAAAAGTCTATAAAGAAAACAGAGAAGAGGGGAAAACAAAAGAAAAACAAAAGAGAGGACAATAACTAAAGGAACGAAAGCAGATCACTTCCTCTCTACTGTTCAAAACATCCTAACAGACCCAACATCTTCCCTTCTGAATTATTCCAGAAATCCCTTCTGCTCCTTAATTTTTTTCCCCAAAGTTGAAACTGGATCGGTCACTGGGACCAGTGGTTTTATTCTTCCGAGTTTTTGGACTCATTCTGGAGCCCATTTTCAGGGAATTATTCTCTACTGGCTGATCGGTGTATTGATGGCTTGGCAATTGACTGCCAATCACTTGGATAAGCTGGTGGTAAATCGGCCTGCCTGTTGATTGACAAGGGATTGTACCTGCTCGGCCAACAATTTTCGCAGCTGCAAAATTGAATGTGTGTCCTTGTTCATTGCAACGTGCCTCTACCAATGAGTTTGGGTCTCCTGAAGGCAAATGCCTTCATTTCGTAATCCGTTGAGTGTCCTTTATCTGCTTTTAAAATAATAACGTCCTGATCGTGTTTTAGGACTTTCGAGATACGTTGCTCCATTGGGCTGAATGTGTGTTGCTAGATTTGGGCATGATCAAATCTAGAATCTAGAAAAACTTGGCATGTTTTTCTGGCTTTTCTATCTCTTACTTTGTTGAATATGGATCCCCCCCCCCCAATCATTCAATCCATCAATCCTCATTTCGCTTTTTTCTTCATTTAGCAAAAGTCCAGTCGAGGTGTCCAGTCTTTTAAAAATGCATGTCGTGTTTTCTCCTTGATCAAATCAGGTCACGTTTTTGCGTATCTCAACTGTTTTTCTTCCTTAAGTCTTGTTTAAACACCAGAGGGGATCGCTGGATCATCTAAACTTTTAAAGAGATTCTGTTCCTGCTGCTATGGGACAAAGACGCCATGCCTGTTGCACGAGAAACATGGTTTGAAAAAGTCTTTGCCAGGTTGCCAGTTTTTGCTTTTGAGGCTGTAAATTTCCAATTTATCTCCCCACTTTGTTAAACCACTTGGTTTACTCAGCTAACTTTCCTGCTATCCTTAGTGACTTGAATGCATCTTAGCTGTCCACATCATTCAGGAGAGAGAAAAAGAAAAGAAAGAAAGAAAGAATGAATTACTGACCTTCATCTTTCTCACAAGTACAATATTTGCTCAATACTTGAAATTTAACCACTGTGCTTGGATTAAAGAAAACAAATAGAGAAACAAGGCATTTCTTAACGCCATATTGGTGACTTTGTTATTATTTTGCCCTTTGGGGTTTTCAAACTAACTGCATGTAGCATGAGACATTGTTGACTTTTTTTGTTCGTTTTGTTTGGTGAGGAAAGTAGTTATTTATTGATCTGTACACATCAGGAATGGGGAAAAGTTTAAAACGGGGGGGGGGGGGGGAGGAATTAGGATGGAAGGGGCTTCTTTCATCCACTTCCTTTCCTCTACGGGTTTGTCACAGATTCAGCATTTTGTACGTAGCGTCTGAATTTATATCCCAACTGACCTTCAGCATCATCGCCACTCTGTTCATGTTCATGAGAAAGTACGTTTGATTGATACTTGGCCTTTTATTATTATTTTTGTTGCTGTTGTTGTTGGAAAAGTGTTACGTGACTTGGCACATGGGTGTATTCTTGCTTTCCGTTGTATGACGCCAACTTCAGGAAAATAAAATTTTGATTTTTCATCCTTGGGGTGCTTTGGTCTCCCCCCCCCCTCTCCAGGATGGACCTCTAGTTCAATAGCCATGTTCTGCTGAGATTCTCCTCATGGTTGTCCCAAAGATGCTTTTTCAAAAGGCAACTGGGCTTTGTTTTTCCTTGAAGACCTTTTGCTTCTCATCCAAGAAGCTTCTTCAGTTCTGGCTTCTCACCCAAAGGTGCTTTTTTTTCAAGAGGCACTTTCTTGTTTTTTTCTTTGAAGATGTTTTGCTTCTCATACAAGAAGCTTCTTCAGAAAGAATAGAATAGAAAAGAATAGAATAGAATAGAATTCGGAATAGAATAGAATTCAGAAAGAATAGAGAATGGAATGGATGGAATAGAATAGAATAGATTGTAGAATAGAATAGAATAGAATAGAATAGAATAGAATAGAATAGAATAGAATAGAGGATGGAATGGAATAGAATAGAATAGATTGTAGAATAGAATAGAATAGAATAGAATAGAGGATGGAATGGAATGGAATAGAATAGAATAGATTGTAGAATAGAATAGAATAGAATAGAATAGAATAGAGGATGGAATGGAATAGAATAGAATAGATTGTAGAATAGAATAGAATAGAATAGAATAGAATAGAATAGAATAGAGGATGGAATGGAATAGAATAGAATAGAATAGAACAGATTGTAGATAGAATAAAACAAAACAATAGGAATAGAATAGAGCAGAATAGAATATACAGATTGTAGAATAGAATAGAAATACAGAATAGAATAAAATAAAATAGAATAGAGGATGGGGTGGAATAGAATATAGAAAAGATTGTAGATAGGCTAGAACAAAACAGAATAGGATTAGAATAGAGCAGAATAGAATAGAATAGAATGAACAGATTATGGAATGGAATGGAATAGAATAGAAATACGGAATAGAATAGATTGTAGAATGGAATGGAATGGAATGGAATAGAATAGAATAGAAGGATGGGATGGGATGCGACTGAACAGAACAGAGTCCAAAATTTCTGTTGTTAAGTGAGACATTTTGTTAAATGAATTTTGCCCCACTTTACGACCTTGTAGTTGCCACCGTTTTTAAGTGAATCGCTGCAGCTGTTCAGTTAGGGTGTTAAGAGAATCCGGCTTCCCCCTTTGGCTTTGCTTGTCAGAATGTCGCAAAAGGGGATCAAGTGACCCCAGGGGGACCCAGCGACCGTCAACCCAATTCTCTACGTTGGAGGTTCCCCCCAAGCCCTGAACCTTTCACCCTAAAAGGGCTTGGCGTTCCCCAACGCGGTCCAGCCCCCAGAACAACCAAACCCGAGATGCGAAGTCAGCTGGCTGCTCTGACGCCACGCCAAAGCGCTTCGTTCTCCCAGCCAGCTTAGTTCACACGAAGCAAGGCTGGGTTTGCAACCGACCCGGTTGAATTTGCAAGCCAAGCGACCAGCGCTTTTGAGCCAGCCTGGGTGGGTTAACCCAAGTTGAGTTTCCCTTCCGACCCCGCTGTGTGCCAAAGATTGTGCCCCGTTCGCACACAACCGCAGAATCCGTGTAAGGCGCGGGCTGCCACTCCACACGCGCGCGCGCACACACACACACACACGGGCTGCCACTCCCCACACACACGGGTTGCCACTCCCCCCCCCACACACATACACGGGCTGCCACTCCATACACACACGGGCTGCCACTCCACACACACACACACACACACACGGGCTGCCACTCCACACACACACATACACACACGGGCTGCCACTACACACACACACACACGGGCTGCCACTTCACACACACACACACACACACACGGGCTGCCACTCCACACACACACACACACACACACACACACACACACGGGCTGCCACTCCACACACACACACACACACACACATACACGGGCTGCCACTCCATACACACACATACACACACGGGCTGCCACTCCACACACACACACACACACACACACACACGGGCTGCCACTTCACACACACACACACACACACACACGGGCTGCCACTACACACACACACACACACACACACACACACAAAGCCTCTTTGCAAAGCGAGTGCAATCAAACTCCAATCGCCAAAGGGGTGAGATGGGTGGGAATGGGGCTGGAGACACGGGTGCCGCCCCCCCCTCGACGCGCACCTATTCAGACAACGCCTTTGGCCAGCAAGCGCGCCCGGTGCTTTTTTTTTTTTTTTTTGCAAAGCAAAAAAAAAAAAAACGCGCAACGCCGCGCACGGCCGGCCGATGCACCCGGTCCCTCTTCGCCTGCCGTACGCCATCCCATAATAACCCCCCTCTTTTCCTTTCCTCCCTCCCCTCTTCCTTCCTCCTCTGCTCCGCTTTCCCACGTGGTCCCGGGTCGGGACGCGGGGATTGCGTTGCACGTCGGAGCTGGCGGCTTTTGCGAGACGGGTCTCTCCTGGCTCGGCTCCTCTCCGGCGCTTGCTGGAATGAGGTGGCTGCTTGGGGGGGAACGGGGGATCTGGGGTTCTTTCTGGGTCGCCGCCGGGGCATGGAGAAGCGCCCCCCGGGATCGGCGGAGGCGCCCGCGTCCTGGCTTTCTCGGGCAAAGCAGCCGATTCTTGCTGGAGTCCTGGAAATCTAGCCGGTGGGTTGGCGAAGCCCGGAGGAGAGCCGCGTGTCTTTGGCGCTCCAGCGCACGTCGGAATGTGGGTATCCGTAAAAAGGAAGGCAGGCGCTAGGGAGGGGGGTCTTGTAGCCGGTCTTGGCAAAGGGTCTGCCTGCCTTTCAGCTCCAGGTTTTCTTTCTTTCCTTCCTTTCTCTCTCCCCCTCCCTCCCATCTTTCTTCCTTCCTTCCTTCCTTTCCCCCCTCCCTCCCATCTTTCGTTCTTCCTTCCTTCCTTCCTTCCTTCCTTCCTTCCTTCCTTCCTTCCTTCCTTCCTTCCTTCCTTCCTCTCCCTCCCATCTTTCTCTTTCCTTCCTTCCCCTACCTTCTTACCTTCTCTCTCTTCCTTGCTCCCTCTCATCCCTTCCTTCTTTCCTTCCTTTCTTCCTTACCTCCCTCCCTTTCTTTCTCCTCCCTCTCTCTCTTCCTTGCTCCCTCCCATCCCTCCCTCCTTTTCTTTTTCCTCCCTCCCTCCCATCCCTCCCTTTTTTCCTTCCTTTCTTCCTTACCTCCCTCTTTTTCTTTCCCCTCCCTCCCATCACTTCCTTCCTTTCTTCCTTCCCCTCCCTCTCCCTCTCTCTCTCTTCCTTGCTCCCTCCCATCCCTCCCTCCTTTTCTTTTTCCTCCCTCCCTCCCATCCCTCCCTTTTTTCCTTCCTTTCTTCCTTACCTCCCTCTTTTTCTTTCCCCTCCCTCCCATCACTTCCTTCCTTTCTTCCTTCCCCTCCCTCTCCCTCTCTCTCTCTTCCTTGCTCCCTCCCTCCCATCCATCCCTCCATCTCTCCATCTCTGGACAGAAACACTTTCAGGATTTCCTTCCCCTGCTTTATTTTCAACTGTTCTTTCCTGCAAAAGTACCGTTTGCTTTTCAGCTCTAAACAGGGACATTTATTTTATTCGCGTTTGCATTTATACTGGACAGCCCGAATGGTTGAGGGGCTCTTGCTTGAGCAGGGGGTTGGACTAGAAGACCTCAAAGGTCCCTTCAATCCTTGTTATTTTATATTCTATACAAGCAACGTAGAGACAGAAGCAGGGGCTGCAGAGCAGTTTAAAATCCATCCTTATATGTGGGTTCTCTCTTTCTGCCCTTACGTATCTAACCTGCATTGCAACTGTACATAACTACCATTGCCATTGTACATAACTACCATTGCCATTGTACATAACCACCATTGCCATTGTACATAACTACCATTGCTACTATACCTAACTAGCCTCGCAATTGTCCTTAACTAGCCTTGCAACTTTACCTAGCTAGCGTTGCACTGTACCTCGCTGGCATTGCACCTATATCTATAGCATTGCACCTATATCTAATTAGCATTACACCTGTCTCTAACTAGCATTGCAGCTATCCCCGACTAGCATTGCAACTGTCGTTGACTACCATGCCCAACTAGCATCGCAACTAAGCAGCTCTTCCTCCATTAATCTCTGGGTCCTTGTGGCGTTTGGTGTGGTCTCTTCCAGTGTCTTGCCATGGCTGAGCAGCTGGGAAGTCTGGAAAACAGCCTGGCTAAGCGGCCGAGGGACGGGGACGGCAGGCAGGAGGAGGAGACGGAGCCTGGGAAGCAGGAGGAGAATGGACACGAGGTCAAAAGGTTCAAGGACAATGAGGAAGAGGTCAAGGACGAAGCAAGGAAGTTCCCGAAGAAGAAAGTTGTGCTGTTGCTGGTGTATTGTGGGAAGGGCTACCATGGAATGCAGGTCAGCGCCTGGATATAACGGCATGTGGGAAAGAGAGGCAGTGGCCCCCAATCTTTGCAACTTACCAGCCTGGCTGGGGAGGGGGGGAAGAGGGGAACCACGCCCCATGAGTATGGGGATGGTGGGCACTTATAGCTCAATTCGCAAGAGTGGCAAGCTGGCACGCGTGCATATGCATGCGCAGCTTGGCTGCAAAGCCTCCCACCGCTTGCATGAGTTGAAGTGTGCTTTTGTGTGCACCCCAGTCCATCTCTCACCCAGCCCGGTTCCAAATAGGCTGTGGACTGGTAAGGGGTTGTGGCTCAGGGTTTGGGGACCCCTGGCCTAGGGCACGGTCACAAAAGAGACGCATAATGGGTGGAGAAAGAGACTCAGAAGGGACTCTCCCCACTAGCTTCTTGGGGATGTAAAGATGAGGTTAAAATTCTGGCTGGGGAATTCTGGGAGCTGAAGTCCAGACCTCTTGAAGTGGCCAAGGTTGAAAAAAATGGAAGAGAAGGATGAGGGGAGACATGATAGCAATGTTCCAATATCTCAGGGGCTGCCCCAAAGAAGAAGGAGTCAAGCTATTCTCCAAAGCTCCTGAAGGCAGGACAAGAAGCAACGGATGGAAACTCATCAAGGAGAGAAGCAACCTGGAATTAAGGAGAAACTTCCTGACAGTCAGAACAATTAACCAGTGGAACAGCCTGCCTCCAGAAGCGGTGAATGCTCCAACACTGGAAGTTTTTAAGAAGAGACTGGACAGCCATTTGTCTGAAATGGTATAGGGTTTCCTGCCTGAGCAGGGGGTTGGACTAGATCAGTTGTTCTTAACCTTTTTGAACTAATCGCCCCCTTGAGCCAATGAGGAAGTTGTCATCGCCCCCCCCTCCCCCAACATAACCTCTCAATCACAACATAGGAAATAATTCTTCAATTTATGCAAACACTTTGTTTTCTTTAAAATTGTCATCAGGACGTATCGATGCAAATAATTTATTTCCAGTCTTTTCCCCCATATCTCCCATATTCTGGCTAATGGCGTGCCACTGTATGGGTAGAGGCTGCTGCGCAACACGCATGAAGATAAGCGATGTGTATTCACATATGTACTGAAGCTAGTTGGAGGAACATTTGAAAACACAATTCAATCCACTAATAGCGAGAGATCTGATATTTTTGTACGACAGACAGCCATTCGCTGTATGAAAAAGTCTCAAAAGTGTCCCCAAAACTTCTCGCTCCATCGCCCCCATATCGCCCCCTTTTCGTTCCTTTGCTCCTCTGAAAAATGAAATCGCCCAGGTTAAGAAACACTGGACTAGATGACTCCAAGGTCCCTTCCAGCTCTTTATTTTGTTCTCTGCAGATGTTTGAATGTTCTATCTATAGACCTGCTAAAGTCCTTGTTTGGATGAAGATGAGCTGGTTCAGCTGAGGTTAGATTCTCTCAGATGGTCTGATAGATCAGGGGTCTTCAAACTTGGCCCTTTGATGACTTGTGGACTTAAAACTCCAAGAATTCCTCAGCTAGGCACGCGCCTGCAGAGCACTTCATTCTCCGGGCTCAGATGAATTGAATACATTCATTTCTCTCTCTCCCACCCCCCCTCAGCGCAACGTGAAAACGTCCCAGTACAGGACAATTGAGGATGACCTAGTATCAGCCCTCATCAAATCTGGATGTATTCCAGAAAATCACGGAGAAGACATGAAGAAAATGTCGTTCCAGAGATGTGCCAGGACCGATAAGGTAGTTCTTGACTTAACGACCATCTGTTTAACGACGGGGAATTACGATTGTGCCGAAAGGGTAATAACCAGGTTTTGAAAAAGCAGTTTTTGGACTTAATTTGAACGTTTAACATTTTCAAGTCTGTGAATTCTAAATTGAGTTGCAAACAAACATCCTTTGAAACGTGACTCGCTGGCATTTTTGTCAAATTCTGTCCAGTTCCGTTTAAATCATTCCTCGTTTTTATTTGATTTCTTTTTTTTCTTTCTTTTTTTTTGGGGGGGGGGAAATTCAGGGCGTGTCTGCGGCTGGACAGATCGTTTCCTTAAAGGTCTGGCTGATCGAAGATATTTTACAGAAGATTAACGAGCATCTTCCTTCTCATATAAGAATTTTAGGTAAGAGAGTACCGCTTTAGAATTATATCATAGGCACAAGAAGCTTGGGGGTTTCTCATTTCAAGTAAAAGAGGGTCTTGCCCCCCATTTTCAAACCTTGTGTAACAGGGAAAAAATCTTGCACAGCTAAAAAGACCAGAAACAACATGTTTTTCTGCACCGGTGGAAATATTTAACTTATGACGTTAAATGTGGTTTTGTTTTGTTTTTTAGTTAAGCTTGTGCATACAGTCTGGGACCCTCCAGATATAGATAGCCCTCTGCAGGTAGTCCTCAACTTACGAACACAATTGAGCCCAAAATCTGGGTTGTTAAGTGAGACATTTCTTAATCGAGTTTGCGACCTTCCTTGCCGAAGTTAAGTGAATCCCTGCAGTTTTTAAGTCAGTAATCTGGTTGTTAAGCGAATCTGCCTTCTCCCATTGTCTTGTAAGGAGGTTGCAAAAGGGAATCGCGTGACCCCAGGGACGCTGCGACCGTCGTAAATAAGAGTCAGTTAAGTATCTGAATTTTGATCAGGTGACCATGGAGGGATGCTGCAATGGATGTTAAGTGTGAAGAACAATCCTAAGTCGCCTTTTTCACTGCCGTAGAAACTTTGAACGGTTACTAAAAAAAAAATGGTTGTAATTTGAGGACCGCCTATAGTTACAGAACCAACTGTCAGGCCCCCAAAACTAAGAAAGACCTGCAGAGTTACTTCTAAGCAATTTGCTTTATTGGTCCTCGTTTAGAATAGATAGAATTCTTTATTTGGAGACAAAAGTCTTGCTGAATCTTGCCAGACGGTCGTAAATAGGAACCGATTACCAAGGGTCTGAATTTTGATCCCGTGACCGTGGGGATGCTGTAACGGTCGTAAGCGGTCCTCAGTTGCTTTCTTCAGTGCTCTTGTAACTCTGAACGGTCACTAAATGAACTGTTGAAAGTTGAGGACTACCTGGGTTATGGCCACAACATATATGAGAATTTCCATTTCTACGCAAGGCAAGCTGTGACGCCGTTTCCCTCCAATTTGCATGCTTGTCAAAATGGATCCTTGCCGTTGTTAAGGGAATTACACCGTCTTTAAATGAATCAGGCTCCTCCCACTGATTTTGCGGGTTGGAAGCTGGCTGGGAAGGTTGCAGACGGTCCTGCACCTGTTGTAAATGCACGGTGGTTCCCCAGCATCCAGATTTGGATCAGATCAAATTCAGATCAATCCAAGATCCCAAAGATGCTTTTTCAGGAGGCAACTGGACTTTTTTGTTTTTCTTTGAAGACGTTTCGGTTCTAATTCCAAGAAGCTTCTTCAGCTCTGACTGGATGGTGGGGAATGGAAGGATATATACTCCTTGCAAGCCACTGGTCATTTGCATTCTTTTAGAGAGTCATTAAGGCCATTTGGAGGTTTACCTGTGTCCTCAGGATCACCTGAGTGGTGCAAATGGGTGTGGACCCTTTTTGGAACTGCTGAAAGGACGGTGTTGTGGAAGCTATGCTTTCTGCAGGATGTAGCTTGCCCCTTGTCCTTTATTGTTGAAGACAGGCTCAGGCTGTTGGGGATGAGTCTGTGTTGTTTGCATCTCAAACTGAAGCGCAGATGGTTCCTATAGTCTGCAATATTTTTTTTTCTGCAAATCCATTCCTGCTCCTGCACCATCCGAAGGGCGTTCATCCCAAAGTGCATAGCTGTGGAGACTCTGAGGATACAGACAAATCTCCAAATGGCCTCAGTGACTCTCTAAAAGAAGGCAAATGACTGACTGTCTGCAAGGAGTATAAATCCTTCCACTCCCCACCATCCAGTCAGAGTTGAAGAAGCTTCTTGGAATTAGAAGTGAAACGTCTTCAAAGAAAAACAAGAAAGTCCATTTGCCTCCTGACAAAAAAAAGCACCTTTGGGACTGAGAACCTCCATACACATCATCCCAAGAGCTTCTACTTTAAGGAAACGACTTTTAATCAGGTTTGGGAATTCCTATGGGTTCGGCATTTAACCCATTATCAAAGGACCCATACTGGGGTGTGTATAAGTTCTTCTTTTCGGGATTCTGCCCAGCTGTGAGAAAAGGTTGACCCAAAGTTAACATTGCCTAAAGTTTTGTCTGTTTAAAAAAAACAAAAAAACAGGGCTCAAAAGGGTGACCGGGAAATTCAATTCCAAGAACAGATGTGATGCCCGGACCTATTCATACATGCTGCCAACGTTTGCCTTCGCCCACAAGGATGATGCTCCTCAGGATGAAACCTACCGCTTGAGTGCTGAGACTTTGGAGGCCGTCAACCACCTCCTGGCTTGCTACAAAGGCACCCACAACTTCCATAACTTCACCTCCCAGAAGGGCCCCAGGGATCCCAGCGCCAAACGCTACATCATGGAGATGTTTTGCGAAGAGCCCTTCGTCAGGAACGGGATGGAGTTTGCGGTGGTGAAGGTGAAAGGACAAAGCTTCATGATGCACCAGATCCGCAAAATGATCGGCTTGGTGATCGCCATTGTGAAGGGCCACGCCACCCTATCCATCCTGGAGCAGAGCTGGGGAGAGGAGAGAGTGGACATCCCCAAAGCTCCTGGACTGGGTCTGATTTTGGAACGGGTTCACTTTGAAAGCTACAATCAACGGTTTGGGGATGATGGCCTCCATGAAGCCCTGGAGTGGGCAGAAGAAGAGGAGAAGATCATGGCTTTCAAAGAGCAGCACATCTACCCCACCATTATCAATACGGAGAAGGAAGAAAGGTCCATGATGAACTGGCTGGAGACGCTCTTCAACCATCAGTTTGATTCCACCATCTCAAAGTTGCAGGAAGACGCCCGAGATGCTAAGGTAAGGGGAAATAATTTTGGCTCCCCAGCTCTAGAACCAGGGGAGATTCAGTGGCGATGGGGCTGGACTAGAAGTGGAGAGACTGTTAAGGACCCGCTTCAAAACCTCTTCCCAAGAAAGCAGAACACGTGCAACAGATTCATCCCAAAAGGAACTTTTATTAGGAGAAGCTGACAGCAGGCATAGAAAGCAGGATCTGAGGGTTTCCCGCTCAAATCAATAGGTTAAAGGAGCAAAAAGCAAACCCCACCCCAATAGTTCATCCGGTCAGTTCAAACGGACCAATCCTCAGGTGTTAAATCCGTGGCGGGAACGAGTCTTACCATTCCCAAGGCTGTGCATCTTCTCATCCGCAGGGGGGGGATAAGCCAGGTGGCCGGAAGCACATTCCTTTCTCATCCCCAGGTTGAAATCAAGGGGAGAATACTTCAAAGAGTAAGCAGATACAGGAAGCGGAGAGGATAAACAAAAGAACAATATACATACATTTCCCCAAAGGTCTTCCCCCTCCCTCCAGGAGTGTGGCCAAATCCGTAGAAGGGAATGAGGAAGAAAAAGAAAACAAAATAATTTTGGGTATTTCTCAGCCCACAGATTTATCATGGGGGGGGGGAAATAACACAATGGGAGATGCCAGTGGAGATTCCATGGGGTCCTTGAAGAAACCAGACCATAAATCTAAGAATTTTCCAAACGTGCTTTCAAAAAGGTGACTGGACTTCCTTGAGTTTCCGTTGAGGAAAGTCCAGTTGCCTTTTTGGAAGCACTTTTGAGACCACCCTGGCCTGAGTTGACGGAGATCCTCCATAGACAGAAAACTAAGACATAAGCAAGGTTGTGACTTCCAAGCACGATATTGCAGATTGTAACCATTGCCTTACGTGGGGGTTTTCTTTGGGAAGAATTAAAGTCTCAAAGATGTTTGTTTTTAGTTTTTTCCAAAAGGCAACTGGACTTTCTTGGGATTTTTTTTCCTTTGAAAACATTTTGCTTTTCAACCAAGAAGCTTCCGTTCTTGGATCAGTTCTTGCTTCAGTTTATTTATTTATTTATTTATGAGACTTATATACCGCTTTAAGTGCAAGCACACTCTAAGCGGTATACACCAATAAGCAATGTATATATATTTCATTGCCCCCAACAATCTGGGTCCTCATTTTACCTACCCCGGAAGGATGGAAGGCTGAGTCAACCTTGAGCCGGTGAGATTTGAACCGCTGACCTGCTGAACACAGTCAGCTAAAGTGGCCTGCAGTACTGCACTCTTAACTGCTGCGCCACCTCGGCTCGTTCTTGGATCAGAAGTGAAACATTTTCTTTTTTTTTTTTAATATTTTTTATTGAATAACAAAAATTAAAAACATTGAACATGGTAAATCAGATTTGACATACATCACAGTTCATATTCACAATTAACTACTAATATAAGAAAAAAAAACCTTTACAGTAACATCACTCTAATCTCAATCTTAACTTATCTCATTTCAATGACTTCCATATTTTTTCCCCCATCATCTATAAAATTTATTCCAAATTTGGTAAAAATCCATTTCATCCTGATTTTTGAGTCTCTTAGTTAACCTATCTAATTCTGCGCAGTGCATAATTTTATGAATTAAGATTTCCTCACTAGGTATAGCCGTAGCTTTCCAATTTTGAGCGAAAACAATTCTTAGAAGTGAAACATTTTCAAGGGGAAAAAAAACCCCAAGAAAATCCAGTTGCCCTTTGGGGAATAAACCAATCATGACTTGGATGATTGAGAATCTCCATTGAAGAATTAAAGTGTTTTGCTTCTTTCAGTCTGATCCTGAAGGTAGCGACGGATGTGAAGACAACTCCGATTGAGGATTTCAGGCACATGTTGGTACCATGGATTAAAGTCCTTTTGAACAGAAGATCAAGCTTTTCTCAATGATGGATGTCCCTTAGTCTTGAACAGAGATGAAGAAGGGCAAAAGTGATGCCTTTTCGGCCCTCTTTGCAGCAACGGAACGAGAGACATGCTAGCGAGAACAAACACTGCTTTAATTATGCTCAATAAAAATATTTCCTTTTTTTTTTTTTTTTTAAAAAAAAAGAAGTTTGCTAAATTATGGCTAAAATGGAGAAAAATCATTATCAAGACTCTTACGGATAAGTGAAAGCTGTTAAGGATGCTGTTCCCTTTTGATTTTTTCCAAACAGCCAACATTAATTATTCCTTTGGAAAGCTTTCTGTGATTATTGGCTCAGCCAAGTAGTAAGGACTTTGGAAACTCTTTCTTCCTTTTGTAAAAACAATATATTTTTATTTTTTATTTCCACTTTCTCATAGACCAAATAATGTGGTGGTTGAAACAAACTCTGGGTTGGAACATCTGAGTTTCATCTCCATTTTTTTAGAAAACTGTCTATTTCAGGGTTTTTTTAATGCTCCTTTTGAAAATAATAATAAAGGCTTCTTATGACATGTACAAAGGTTTTTTTAAAAAATATTTCTAATCTAGGTTGCATATAATGCTAATATAATTTGATCTGGGGGGAGATTAGAGAACATTATAAGTTTTGGAAGCCATCAAGAAAAACAAATCAGAATGTAGTTTTGTGGCTTACTAGTTGCTGTATTTGTTTAGTGACGATTCAGTTACAACGGTACTGAAAAAAGTGACTTAATAGTTGCAAGTCAAGGATGCATATATGGATCACTATGAATTCCCTAATAAAAATTAAAACTGCAAAAAGGATCAGCCTAGCTGCAAATAAATGGCTATTTATTATTTATTCGATGAACCAGGGTTAAATAAACTTTAACCTGTTGGGGTTTTCATCCAATTATTATGTGAGTATATTTTGATGAGCAAAATGCATGACTGTAGGAGAGCCAAATTGTTGGAAAACTGGAAAAATAATTTTATAATAATGATCCAGTTTAGAAATACACTTTTATCTGCAGAACAAAATCTACAATTCCCGTGATAGAATCAACCTTGTTTGTTAAAACAGTTTTAAAATAAAAAATAGATCTCTATATCAGCCTTTGTTAATTGTTACTGTTGTGCCAGCTTGAAAAATCAAAATTTCACATTCCTGCAGCTCTTATTTTTAAATAAGTCAATAGTCAAATGGTCTCAATAATCTCATTGATTAGGAGAGGCGAATGTGTCAGCTTTGCCTTTTCTTTCCATTGTTATTTTGTCCCTTGCTGGCTTCCGTAGCGGGAATCCGCTCTTCCTAGTTTCCCTCTTCCGCTTACGAAAACCCCCGTTCATTGCGCCTGCGCTGATGGAGCTCTACATTGGCATCGACCAATAGAATCTTCCCCCCCTCATGAAGAGCTCGGAATGGTATGATCTGGAGAGGGGGATTCTAAAATGGTGCCGCCCAGCGCAGAATGCAGTAAACGTGTGTTTTGAGCAACGTGGAAGAAGGAAAAAAATGGATAAAACTAGTAAGTAGATTAAATTCATTTTTTTAAAAAAAAAGGATTAAATTCATTTTAAAAAAACAATAGGAAAGGGCATTTTTCTGCCTGGTGGGAACTTTAAATATATAAATATAAATGAATTTTCCAGCCAGTGCAATGGAGAACTGATTAGTTTTTAAATGAATGGGTTTATAGAGTGTGAGTTTTATGTATTTTATGATGGTTTTTAACGTGCTTGTTAATCGTTTCTTGCTTGTTTTTCAACAGTTTTACGGTGCTTTGGAGGTTGTTTTTTTATAGTTTTAATTACTTGCAAGCCTCCTAGAGTCCTCTGGAGGAGAGGCGTGGTTATATAAATTAATTAATAAATAATTTTAATTCCATCATGGGCTCAACACAGTTCTCTCTGTGTTTTGCGGATTATGGATCCGAGGGTGTGAAATTGGAATAATTAATAAATAATAGCTTAATTGCATCAAGAGCTCATTTGTTGAGAGAGAGAGATTTAGGAATGGTGTAATAATTAGAATATTAATTGCAGCTCTTGCTTTTCCTCAGCCTTACTCCAGAGTCTCCACAACCCATGGAGTGCCCTGGCATTGCCTGAGGACACAGTGAAAGTGTTCAACTGGATGTCCAGAAGGGTGCTTGCTCCCCTTTGAGGCCTACAGTTGGAACAAACATCCCCTATTGTTACCTGTTGATTGCTTGAGGAGCAGTAAATTATCTCATATCCGGCTTGCTAAATGTATAATTAGGAATTTCTGTTTGAATTCTTTTTCCTTTTTAGGCACTTTGATTCTAACTGTGATACAATGGACAGTGACGTCTAAATGCCAGTCACATCTTCTACTTAACAAGCGCGGTTGATCTCCGGAACAGATCCCAGCAGTGTATAACGTATCGATCTTGAGATCTTCACAAGAAGACAAATACCAAGGTTCTCTCCTTTGGAATATGAGCAGAATGAGTTAGTCACTTGGATTAACTGGCTGGTTAAACATTGGAAGGAATCGGCCTGTGTTGGTGGCATTGAGTGGTTGGAATAATGCCATTAAGAAGCCTAGCTGTTTGATAAGACCCACATAAAAAGCAACGTGGTTTTCCTTAAATCCCACGTTTTAAAACAAAGTTAACGCTGGCTGGGGCATGCATAATCCAAATCCAAGCTGTATCAGGGTTTAGCATGACATAGGATCTCAGCCGCTTGACTAAAGAGAGAGGGGATCAGATTTAAGGTTAAATTGTTCTATCTACTCTATCTAAAAGTTTCTTTTGGTTCTTGCACAAGACTCCAGATGGTCTCCCTGTTAAAATTCTACCTTGCTCGAGACAGAATTTTAGAGGTCTGCAAAAGTGACTTTAGAGCAGGGGTGTCAAACTCGCAACATCACGTGACGTGTTGCGACTTTTTTGCCATTGCCAGAAATGGGGTGGGCGCGGTTTCGCTAGGATGCATCCAGCCTGCGGGCTGGCAGTTTTGACATTCCTGCTTTAGAGTATGTCTAATTTAAACTCTCATCTGTCCAGATTTGTAATCTGTAACTGCAGTGAAATAAACTGGATTCTAACAGGGTGATTGTGCCTGAACTTCTTTGAAACTGTTTTAAATGTTGCCAACGGGCACATACTCAATAGAAAGCCTCGGTTCGTGTGAGAAGTTGATAACAGTCTTGGAGTCGCCGTCTAAACCTCCGGGTTGAAAGGATTAGTGGATGGCATCACCTTTGCCTGGGGGATGTCTGTGGGGGACTCTTTTCATGAACTTGTAAGGAGCTGGAGTGAGTGACAGGAGCTCACCCTGACACACAGCAGCTCTCGGGTTTCAAATCCAGCCTTGCTAACCTCCAACCCAGTGTTCTAACTATGTGAGCCATGGCGTGCCAATCTATAATGGTGAGAAAGGTGGAAAAAGGAGGTTATAGCCAACAGCAAGATGGACAGACTCAGTTACTGGAATGATGGAAGGACTAAAGGATCAAGTGAGAGATTGTCTGGGAGAAAATCTATGAGGTGACTAGGAAATGAAAACTAGGAATCGATGGCACACAATAAATCAACTCCGTAGTTGCAGTGTACATGTCTTGCAGATTTGAAATTTTCCTGCTTTGAGTCCAATTTCTGCAAAGCAAAAGCCCATATGCAAACAATAAAGAATACCCCCCCCCTCGTATTAGCCACCCAGAGTCGCTCTGCAGAGTGGGATGAGCAGCATAAAAACTTAATAAATATTGCAAGATCCAATCTGGGTCGGTCACCGAGACCAGAGGTTTAGCCTTCCTAAATACTCAATTTAGTCTTAATAAATACTGTCCACTATAAAGTCAGGGCAGCCAGCTTATCTCTTTCCATGTGAAATTAAAAAAAAAAAGTTCATTTTTCTATTGCATGCTTTTGCAGTGGAACCCCGCTGAATGCATTCAAGAATGCACGAATAGAACGCATGCATCCTTAGAGTACAGCACATCTCTCCTTAGGAGAATCCTAAAACCCCATTTGTTTATTTGGAAAAATCCACCTCCAAAATGCAGGACCCGTGTCTCTTTAATTAGCAACGCTTCCACATTGCGCATGCGGAGTACGGCCTTCTTTCCTTTCTCCTCCCCCCCTTCCCATTTCGTCTCTACGCCAGGCGGAGTCTCTTCCCGCATGCGCACTCCTTTCTTCCCAGCCGCTACGTTATTGCAAGGAGGAAAAAAAAAAAACACGTCGTTTTCGTGGGGGGCTTCTTTTTTGTCCCTTGCCGGCGCTCGTCCGCGCGGCGCATGCGCCCTTTTTTGTTGTCTTCCTCAGGCTCCTCCCTTGTCCCCCCCTCTCCCCCGCCCGCAATCCGTTTCCTGTCAGGAGCGGATGGCCGAGGCTGGGCCCGGCTCGGAGCGGGCCGTCTTCGCTGAAGCAGCGGCGGACGCTTCGCTCGCGCGCTCCGGCTTCCTGAGAGCCGACGCGGGAGGGGAAGGAAAGGTAACCAAGGAGGGCAGCGGCGGCGCGGGTGGGAGGTTAGGCGGCTTAGGCCGCTCGGAAAGAACGTTACGGTCCCGCTCCCCCCCCCTTCCCGCATCCAGGCGTCGCGCGCGCCTGCGAAGGGAGGAATAACGGGAAGCGGCAAAGGCCAAAAAGGTGACGTGCGGGGAAGGCGAACGCTTTTTTTTTTCTTTTTTTCCCCTAGCTATGGAAGGCTTTGAGACCTGCTGCCTTTCTGGGCTTTTTTCCCCTCATCTTTTTTTTCCTCTTTAGCAGCGAGGCTGAAGGGCCACGACTAACGGTCCCCTGGCCTCACCGGCTGCCGAGGCCCGTTAAAGGCGTCTGGAGGCAACAGCTAGGATGCCCTCGGTTGATTTAAGTCCATGCGGGCCGTCCCAGAGCTGAGCATCGGCCGCAGTCAAAGGGAATAAAATGAGAATGAAGATTCAGTGAAGGGGGAGAAAACAGCCGAGAGGGAGTCAAATGGAATAAAATGGAATGGAATAAAATGAGAATGAAGATTCAGTGAAGGGGGAGAAAACAGCCGGGGGGGGGGAGATGAAACGGGATGAAATGTGGCAGTAAAATGGAATAAAATGAGAATTAAGATTCAATGAAGGGGGAGAAAACAGCAAGTAAGATAGAGTGAAGGTTTAAAAAAAAAAAGGAAAATCGAATAGTGTGAGGTAAAACAAGAACTTTTATTCAGTCAGTGGGCCGTAATCAAAGAAGAGCGTCATCCACAGGATAATGGAGCAAAAGAGGATTCGGTGAAGTTGGATAAAACAGTTAACCGTGAGATAAAATAGGATAAAATGTAGTTGGTGAGACAAAGTGAAGGTAAAAGAGGAAGATCGAGGAGGAGAAGATCAAGGAGGAGGAGGAGGAGGAGAAGATCAAGGAGGAGGAGGAGGAGGAGGAGGAGGAGGAGGAGGAGAAGAAGAAGAAGAAGAGGAGAAGAAGAAGAGGAAGAGAAGAAGAAGAAGAAGAAGAAGAAGAAGAAGAGAAGAAGAGGAGGAGGAAGAGAAGAAGAAGAAGAAGAAGAAGAAGAGGAGAAGAAGGAGAAGGAGAAGGAGAAGGAGAAGAAGAAGAAGAAGAAGAAGAAGTCAATGGACCATATCACAACTCAGCATCAGGCAGAGTAAAACAGAATAAAATGAGCTAAGATACAGTGATGTGATAAAATAGCTACAAGGAGATAAAATAGGATAAAATGTAGTAAAGTGTAAGTGTAGTAAAGTAAAGTGTAGTAAGATAAAGTGAAGATAAAAGAGTGAGTTAACATCGTATAAGGTGAAATAAAAGAAGAGAACTTTATTAATCAAGTCAATTGACTGTATCCAACTAACACAAACATGCAAATAGGTAAAAAGAAAATGAAACTTCAGACTAGATCATCACTCTTGCACTTAACTCACATCTGATCAAGGTGTTCTGTCCTCTTTGAGCTGGCCTTTGATACGAAAAGTATAGTAATTGATGTGCAGGTTTGTTCTTTGCAAGAACTGTTTTTCGTAGTGCCCCAATACTTTTTAGTTTTTAAATAAGGGTCTAAATAAGCCACCCTTTCTGGAGAGTGCAATTTGCAATCCACAAGAATGTGTCCAGGGGCTTCAATGGCTGGAAGGTTACTTTAATAAAATGTTTCTATTTATTTATTTGACTGGGAAGAGATGTTTTCAGTTAGGAAGATGGGTGCTGTCAAATTAGATTTGATTCATGGTGATTTTTTGGACAAATGCGTACCAGTCCAAGATTCTGTCTATACTTTTTGTTATTAGCCTCTACTGTTTTCCTCAGCCTTCTCAAGTATAATCATTCTTAAAATCCAAAAAGCTATTCATAAAGGCGTTTCCCTTTCTTTTCCCCTCTTCATCTCTCTTTGTGGATTATAAACTTTCGTACGGAATCGGAGAAAGGGATGGTCAGTTGCCCTAACAAGGAATTTGGCTTAAGTTTCCCCCAATTAATGGAACTTTGTCTATCTTCTTCTTTTAGACTTAGAGACTGCTGTCAGCGCGATAATGCACCATGGGAGTGGTCCGCAAAATGCACAGCGCCAGCTCCAGAGGTCCCGATCCTTCACTGGCAGCGAGAGCGAAGATCAGCAGGCCACCTTGCCACACTCTCCGGCCCCTTCCTTTGCTCCTTCGGCCAGCCCTTCGGCGCCTCAGTCTCCCAGCTACCAGATCCAGCAGTTTATCATGAGCCGAAGCCCGGTAGCGGGGCAAAACGTGAACATCACCTTGCAGAATGTGGGACCTGTTTCTACCACCAACCAGCAGATCACCCTCACCCCGTTGCCCATCCCGAGCCCGACTTCCCCTAGTTTTCAGTTCAGTCCTCAACAAAGACGGTTTGAGCATGGCTCCCCCTCCTACATCCAGGTCACCTCTCCGTTGCCACCTCAGGTTCAGTCGCAGAGCCCCACGCAGCCTGTTCAGACCATTTCAAGTGTTCGAGCAGGCACCCCAGGCCCCAGCTTGGGCATGTGCAGCCAGAGCCCCACGCGGGGCTTCGTGGACGCCAGCGTGTTGGTGAGGCAGATCAGCCTGAGCCCTTCGAACGGCGGACACTTTGTGTATCAAGAGGGGTCCGGCCTCGCTCAGATAGCTCAAAGCACCACGGGCCAAGTCCAGCTTTCCTCCTCCGGCGCCTCGGTGACAGCTCGAGAGCGCAAGCTCTCCCAGCCCCATTCTCAGACTGGAGGCACCATCCATCATCTTGGACCTCAGAGCCCTGTGGCTAGCGGAGGAAATATCCAAGCTTTACCTAACCCTGGTCACATCGCCACTAACAACCTGCCGCCCCAGATCAGCAATATTATCCAAGGAATGCAGCAGCAGCAGCAGCAAGGACAGCCTTTGAACAGACCTTTGGGATTTGATAGGACTTCTGCTGGATTAATCGCCGGGGTCGGAGGCCCTGCTTTCAGCATCACCTCCCCACCGCCTCCCACAAGTCCTTCCCGGGCGAGCGTCCCTCAAGGGCTCACCGGCCTCCCGCTGGGCCCCTCGGTCTGCGCCGTGGTGAAAAAGGCCAAAAAAGTGGAGGAAGTCCCCCCCGCCACGCCGGAAGCCGCCCAGATGAGGAAGCAGTGTCTGGAGCATCACCTCAAGCAGATGGAGACTTTGAAAGAGGCTTTCAAAGAGTACTTGGTTGAGTTGTTTTTCTTGCAACACCTGCAAGGGAATATGATGGACTTCTTGGCCTTCAGGAAGAAGCACTGCCTGCCCTTGCAAGCCTACCTTCGTCAGAACGACTTGGATCTGGACGAGGAGGAGGAAGAGGAGGAGCAGTCTGAGGTCATCAACGATGAGGTAGGAACTCTCTTTGCCCACCTTGGCTAGAACTTGAGTACGTTAGCAAAGGCAGTGGCTCTCCCTCCTTAAACGAAGTTGAGTTGGGATTTTTGTCAGGGAGCAACACTTGAGGAAGACTTAGATCAGTGTTTCTCAACCTTGGCCATTTTAAGATGTGTGGACTTCAACTCCCAAAATTCCCCAGCCAGCATGGCTGGCTAGGGAATCCTGGGAGCTGAAGTCCACATATCTTAAAATGGCCAAGGTTGAGAAACACTGGACTAGATTGTCTGGTTGGTCCGACAGTTCATGCATCAGTCTGCAAAACTCATGCTGAATTATTGTGTCAGCCCCCTGCGCTAACACAAGTAAGGGATGCAGGACGTTCCTTTTGGATTGGGGTAAAATGCAGGGGTATCTTTTCATTCATCTTTGAAAGCTCATTGTAAAATGGGGAAGTGGAATTTCCAAGGCAATGGAAAAGTTTGATTGCTTCTTCAAAGAAACCACAGACTCCGAATCGTACCTTGCAGGCGTTAGAACTGAGCGTGAAGTTGTGTTAAGTCTTGGGTTTTGCTTTACTCTGTCACCTCACTCTATGACCTGAGATGTTCTCCTAGTTATATCTCAAAACGTATTATCAGAAAAGACTGTTTTAATAAGGAATCAGACCATTTATTTCTACTCGTATAGAGAAAAGGGGGCAGGAACTTGATCCAGTTCTATGCCTCTTTTTACACATTTGCTGTGGAAGACAAAAAATATATTAAAGGTCACGGATAGAAGCTAGGTGTAGTGTTTGGATCCTGATTCATGTCCCTTCATTATGTTTTTTAAAAGTTGCAGATTGGTTACCCCAATCCAGTATTTTCTTTGATCCTCTTGCTGAAAATGTCCAGTCTCTAGCTTTTTTTTTCTGAAAATGAAAAAGTTCCGATGTAATGCTTTGCATTTGAATTTAGTGAGACTTGTTAGATAATTGTATACAGAATTGCAATCTAAAGTAGTTACAATTGAGAATTGCAACCTAAAGTTAAAAACATGTCGCCAACATTTTATAAACTGGTGTTTGTTTATCTACTCTTATTTATTTATAAAACTGCATAAACTTTGCCAATCTTTTATTCTAAACCGTGAGTACTCTTTATACAAATCCACAACTTTTTTGAGAGAGAAAGAAAAAAATCTTTCATTGGAATTTTATTAATAGTTTATGTTCTACAATTCCAGTTTGAAATGTCATTTGTTTAACAGAAAGTTACTTTCTGAGATTATTTTTGAAGCTTCGTAAATTGACTCAGTCGCTGTTTAGCTTTGTTAAAAATATAGAATATATAGGTTTTGATTTGTAGTTACAGTTTCCTGAGAGAGGTTTAAATTACGGCAGATTTGGTTTTAATAAAAAATAGTGAAGTATAATTGTACTGTTAGTAACTTAATAGAATGTTTACCTCCGTCATAGCGATAATGGCTGTGTTCCTAAAAAACTAGGGGTATTGAATGGAGAGCAGGCTTTCAAATTAGATGGATTGCTCATAAGGCATAATAAATATTCAGAAGGTAGTAAGTGCTGCATCTCCATCACACAGGAAATTAATTATTTTGTGCTGCTGAATTAATCCTAATAAAGCCAGGAGAAGCTATCACATTGATGTAATGTCCCTTTGTTTGATTTTAAACGTTTCATATTTAGGCAAAGTCTGCATGTTTTAAAAGCAGGTATTATTGAGAAAGTCCTGTAAAAATATGTTCACCTGAGAAAGGTGAAGCGCAGCAAAAGAAATTCCATAGTTTTTCTGGACAAAATTAATGATACTCTTTTCTGTTCATTGTGATAGTTTAAAAGATGGGCTTTTAACTGTCTCTCTCATCTTTTTTAAATGGTCCCTTAGATTGATGCAATTGTTGGATTTTTGTGACACACAGGCTTTGGCTTCCAGTTTTTAAGCTGCAAGTAATCTTTATTTGATGTAGTTGTTGTTTAGTGGGACTGAGCAAATGTTTCTGGTCTCCATGATCCTCACTGAGATATCCAGCTAAATGTCTCTTACACGTTTATGATCATTTTGGAAAATTGGTTAGTAGGGTCAGTAAGGGGGGAGCCAAAAAACAGTCTAAACGGATTCAGGGAAGAAAGAAGAGCATATTTATAGCTCAGGGTTGAACTGTGGGGTCCTTGGTGCTCTCTGAGCTTGGCTGTTTTCTTGCAGACGTTTTATGACCCAACCAGGAAACAATATCAGGACTAGAAAAGAGTGGGGTTCGCTCTCTTTTTTTTATACTAGTGGCTTGCACCATGAGTATTGGTGGGAATGTCCTTGGTGGCTGTTGTTTACCAACAATTAAGCAGTTAAACAATACTCCAATCAGGGAACTATCAATCTAGACCAGGGATAGGCAACCTTGGCTCTTTGATGACTCGTGGACCTCAACTCCCAGAATTCCTGAGCCAGCCATGCTGAGGGGAAAGAGAGAGGTTTCCAAGCTGAGCCATGCTGGTTCGGGAATTCTGGGAGTTGAAGTCCACCAGTCATCAAAGAGCCAAGGTTGCCTACCCCTGACCTAGACAAACAATCCAACAGTCAACAACAGCCTAACGAAGGAGCCGCCAAGAATATTCCCACCAACACTAGTCTGTAAAAAGCAAGTGAATCCCCACTGCCTTGTAACACTGATGACGTCACCTAATCAGGTCGTGAAATGTCTGCAAGCTCAGAACATGAAGGACCCCACAGGATTTAGGAAAAGCTTTCACAAAAGCCACGGAAAACCAACTTGTCCAACCAGCAAATGACAGCGTGTTGACCTCTAAGGTTTTCCAATGTCTCTTTCCTTCCTTTGTATATTGTAACGTCCTTCTCTTCTTCACCATCTTCTGCTAAGCTAAAGCAGCGCACCTCATTGCTCGTCTAGATGGGGCTGACCATTATGGGAATGGTGGTGGTTGGTGGGAGAACGGGAGGTGTGCCCTCATTGCTTAATCAATGTCTGGGGCTCTTCTGTCTCCTGTCTGTCGTGCTACTTTTGTCATTACGTTAGAAAGCCAAGATCTCAAACTTTTAACCCACGCTAACGTCTACATGCGATTTCAATGTAGACTTTTGCATGGCCAGAGGGAAATTACCTGCTGCTAGCTTGTCCCTCACTCTGTTTTGATATATAACCAAAACAACAACAATAACACACCACCCACCAGAACTCTTTAAACAAAAATAATCGGAGCGAAACGAAGTTACGCCTTTTGTTCTGAGCCCCATTTGCGGTAATGCAACGCGGGATGCGTTGATCAGATTTTTCTTCTTTTGGGGAAGAGAAAAAAGAGACTGAAAGAGAAAAAAAAAATGATTTCCCCTTTTGTTTCCCCCCTCCCAAAATATCTCCTCTCAGGTAAAGGTTGTGACAGGAAAGGATGGGCAGACTGGTACTCCTGTTGCTATAGCAACCCAGCTTCCTCCAAATGTTTCTGCTGCTTTTTCAATTCAGCAGCAACCATTTCAGGTACTTTTTTCAATGGATTTCAAAAAAAATAAAAAAAAAATCTTAAGTTTCATCCCAGATGATGATGATGATGATGATAATACTGATGATCATTATTTTTGCTCAGTCAGATTTGATAATTGAAAGTGAAGTCTGGTGTTTTTTTTTCCCCCCCTTCTCCCACCCCATCAGCCCATCCCTTCTCATTTTAGAAAAAAATGAGCAGTAAAACATTTAAACTTTTCCAATGCATGAGTGTTCGTGGGATACCCAGAAAGGTTATTTATTTATTTATTTATTTATTTATTTATTTACCTTGTCTCGAAGTTGCTGGCTGATTTCATTAACTTTTCAGCTTTTAACGTGTTCCACTTGGTTTGCTTGTCCTTTGGTTCCTTTGTATGTACTATCTGGTAACTGTGGTTCTCTCTCTCTCTCTCTCTCTCTCTCTCTCTCTCTCTCTCTCTCTCTGTGTGTGTGTGTGTGTGTCTCTGACTGTGGAATCTTTCTACAAATTCTTTTTGGGGGGTCCGGTGGTGGTCCTCAAATGCTAACCTTCAAAAATGATAAGTTTGCAATCCTGCCTCCCTTCTTTCTGGTTCAGGTTGAGCTAGCCCATTTTATAAAGTCCAGCAGCATGCTAATTTATGGCCCAGTGTATGCATTACAGGATTGCTGGATTAACTGTAAGTGCGATGAAGCGAGCATGGGGTCTGTGGCATGTGAATCCATAATACCTTGATTCGGTACTAATGACAAACCATGGTTGAGTCTTATAAAAAGGAGCCTTTGCAGATCTAGGACTAGGCGTTCTTTCTTCCTGCAGACAGGAGATGGATAGCTTTGGCATTTAGGTTTTAGACAATGAAGCTCTCAAACCTTGTTTGCTCTTAGGCGGGAAAAAAAATGGGATCCCCAAAAAAACCCGTTTTGGATAAATAGATGCTTGCATCTCAAATTTTATTTTAAAAAGAGACACCTAGACATTTTGAAAATGTCACGGTGGGGAATCCAGTGTGACTTGGCACCAGGTTTTGGTTTTCATCTGTTTGCTTTCGTAGTTTTACTTATTTTCTTATTTACTTATTTTCTTATTTACTTATTTTCATTTTTGTATCTTACTTAACTTCATTTTTGATTGGGAGCCACCCAGAGTTTGTTATAAGATGGGCAGCTATGTAAATGTCTTAAATCAATACGGGATAGCCAGTAGATTATTGATCAATAAATAAGATCAATAGAAATGTCAGGGGATATTGCCTTTCTCTGTTCTGCTTGTTTACTTAGAGTAGTCCCATGGTGGCGAACCTATGGCACGTGTGCCACAGGTGGCACACAGAGGCCTCTCTGTGGACACGCGCGCCATCGCCTCAGTCCTAGGCCTTCAGCTGGGTTTTATAAAACCTTTTCGCTTTAGGCCTCCGCCACCGTGTGCAAAAAAATAAAATAAAAATTCAATCAATCAATCAATTTCAACTTCTCGTGGGGAAAAAAAAGATCTTGCAAAGTTGGAATTGATTGATTGAACTTTTTAGTCCCACCCAGTCTGCCGTTACCATCGCAGCCACGCCCACCCAATTGGCCACGCCCACCCAATGGGCCACGCCCACGCGGCACCCGACGATACATAAGTGGTTTTTGGGTTGCAGTTTGAGCACTCGGACTCTAAAAGGTTTTACAATTCAGAAGCATCAGAGCTCTGGTGAGTGTAGAAATCGTTAGCCAGGGAAAAGAGAGATGAGATATGCTTTCCCATTCATTCATTCCTTTATGAAAAATTATATTGGTTTTCAACGTGTCTGAAATAGGCTTAATAGGAACTCTGGAGATCAAGAATCCAATCCTTTGGTGAATGTCAATTTTTCCAGTGCATAATTCAGCCTGACTATGGCTGTTGTAGGGCTGAATAAAACGTTGGTTGACCCCAGGGCTGCCCAGAGTCATTATGAATGGATTAGCTTGGAAATAAGCTAAATAAGTAAGTTTACAAAGCAGCCCAGAGAGTCTTATTACTTACTACAATATTTGTAAGCCTCGTTATCAGGAGCAGCTTTTCCAAGTTCTTTACTGTGTCCTTACTGGTTCAGTAAAGACAAATGTCCCTGCAGAAAATATCCAGGTCTTTTTATTTGAGGGAATTTGGGAGCGAACTTGACACCACGAACTTGACGGGGTTTAGATACTGAACGATTCGAAAGAAGTGCTTGTTCCCTCCAAGCGAGATTATTGATTTTATTTTGTTTATCAAATTTATATAGCTACCTATCTGACCCCAGGCACCTCAGGGTGGGGCACAACAACAGATAAAAAAAAATGAGGGTTAAAAAAAAAAGCAAATACAGATGTAAAAGACTATATTAGTAAACATCCTCTTTACTATAAATATGTCTTTAAACGATAATTAGTCAGAGTAGTAGAAGAAGAATAGAATATTGAGCTGGAAGGGACCTCAGAGGCCTTCTAGTCCAGCCCCCTGCTCAAGCAGGAGAGTAATTTGTAATTTGTAGAGTAAGAGAGAGTTCAAGGTGGGATCATTAGATGGTTAAGCAGATGCTCCATGCTTAATCCGCAAAACCTCTCTTTCTTGGGTAGCAGAGTGGGGGAAACGGCTGCCTTAGCAGTCCGTAAAGCTGGGGTCTTCAAACTTGGCCCTTTTATGACTTGTGGACTTCAACTCCCAGAATTCCTCAGCCAGCGTGCCTTTTATGACTTGTGGACTTCAACTCCCAGAATTCCTCAGCCAACGTGCCTTTTATGACTTGTGGACTTCAACTCCTAGAATTCCTCAGCCAGCATGCCTGGCTGAGGAATTCTGGGAGTTGAAGTCCACAAGTCATAAAAGGGCCAAGTGTGAAGACCCCTGCTGTAAAGTATTAAGCAGAATCTTTTTACTGATTGTTGGGGGGGAAAATGAAGATGCGAGACAGAATGGGCATTTAATCTCATTTCACGGACACATCTCTCTCTCTCTTCTAATATGTAATCCCACGCCCGTTACAAAAATAGTGATGTTCATTGCCAAATCAGTGACAAGCTATGTGGGCTTCCTGGCTGTAGATATAAGAGTCCAAATGTCAGCAGCTTAGAAGAAAAACAAGGCAGAAATTTGCATCGGGAACTGGAGGGAGCCCTACGTAGGTTGAATTATTTTCAGTCATTTTCAGTCACACCGTAACGGCAACATCTTTCTTATTTAGAGAGAAATTGAGAATTGGCAGGTACCATCCCGTTGCACGATTGTAGATGAGAGAAACAGGAGACAAAACAACAACATTGGATTTTGGAGAAAGCCACCCATGCAATCTGGCAAGCACCCAGCGAGCTCTCAATAGATCTGTTTGTAATGCAAAATACGGGATCAATTGATTAGACCGGGATGGTAGAAATACAAGGGCGAGAGGTTTGAGTTGCGAGAGAGAAAGCTCTTAGCCTATTATATTATTAGGAAAGAGAGACCCAGCCAAGTGGCACATCGCTCTGCTTTCTTTCGGCAGCTTTTATCTTTGTGATCGAAAGGGTCTTTACCAAACGAATACAAAGGCAGACCGTTGGAAATCAAAATAAGCTCACATTCCTTCACTGTCGGCTTTTTAAAAACAAGGGTGAACTGCCTTTTTTTTTTAAAAAAAAAACCTGTCTCCCACTCACAGACTGTTCTGTTTTACAATAGCAGGTGCATGCAGGGACTCCAGTAACTGGAACGGTGAATGCCATAGAAATTGAAGCCTTTAAAAGACAACAAGCACTTACATCAGCAGGTATGGCCTCCTCCTCCCCCCCCTCCTCCTTTTGCAGAACTTTCCCAGTCTCTTTAGGGTCTCGGCCCAAAGACGGCGTCGATTCGCACTTGTATTAAAACCGCCGCTCCTCAGCTCAATCCTTTGGCCAGGCTCTTGCGATGGAAAGATCCCATCCTGTCAGCGGCCGTATTTGGAGGAACAACATCTTTCAACCGCGCTCTCCTTTCCTAGTCTAGATTTAAAACAAAACAAAAAAAAACCCCCAGCCACATCGAAGTACAGGTGGTCCCCGGCTTAACGACCACGAGCGAACCCCAGATTTAGGTCGCTAAGCGAAATATCCGTTAAGCCGAGTTCTGCCCCATTTTTACGGCCTTCCTTGCCACCCTTGTTAAGCAGATCCCTACAGTCGTTAAGTTAGTAAACAATGGTTAAGTGAATCTGGCTTCCCCCCGTTGCTTGTCAGAAACCGTCATAAGTACGAACCCAGTTGCCAAGCGTCTGAATCTCGATCACATGACCCTGGGGCAGTGTTTCTCAACCTTGGCGACTTTACGATGTGTGGACTTCAGCTCCCAAAATTCTCCAGCTAGCAACACAAGGTTGAGAAACACTGCCCTGGGGGGGGGGGGTGCCGCAATGGCCGCAAGTGTGAAAAACGGTCCTAAGTCCCCCCCTTTTTTTAGCGCCCTTGTAACTTTGAACGGCCACTAAGCAAACCGTCGTAAGTCGAGGACTACCTGCGTTGCTAAAGTATCTTTTAGGGCCAAACCCTCTCCTGGTAGGCTGGTTGATAGCGACGTCCGGAACTCCCGGGGAGCAGCGTTGCAAACCGTATAACCTGACACACACACACACACACACACACACACACACACACACACACACCGCCTCCTTGTGCATTTTATCCTGCCATAAATGGAAATTTGAATATCACCAGATTCGTCTAAGAGAGCCCTAATTGAAGTGGGCCGTCACGGGATGGTTTTTCAGCATCCAGGCGTGGCCTCGGGAGTCCCTCTTCAACAGCTCATGCCAACTGCACAAGGTACTGTGTGGCCACCTGCCAGCCGCCCGTTAATTTAGCAAAAGGGCGGGGCGAGGGAAGCAGAAGCCCGCTTGAATTAAATTTTCTTTTCTTTTTTGGAGCGCTCTGGTTCTGCCCCCCACCCCACCCCTCACCCCCGTGCAAATTAACCTTTGGCGTGAAGTGGCTTGCTCGTGTCAAAAAGAGGCCGGGAAACGTTGCATGCGGGCATGGGGAGGGGGAAAACCCAACCACTCAAGCGTGACGAAGCCAAAATAATTAGTCCTGGAACCCCGATGGTTCTTTCCCCCCCCCTTTTTTTTTTCTCTTAGTGCTTCCATTTCTCTTTCGCGTTCGATTTTTGGTTTTGGTTTCCTAACTACCTATCGACACTTCTTAAGGACGTTTATTTAGCCATTTAGTTCATCTTGAGGTTTGCTTCCCGCCGGTCGATTCACTAGGCCAGTGTTTCCCAAACTTGACCATTTTAAGGCATGAGGACTTCAACTCCCAGAATTCCACTAGGCCAAATCTTCAGATTGTGCCGGTGGTTTCTCTTGCCGGGATTCCCCAGTGACTCTGAATTTGCCGGTTCACAAAGAGGGTGGTTTATTTAACTGACCCAATTTTATATATATTTACGGTTTATTTACTGGAGTGGCCAAGTAAGTAATTCAGTGGACGTTTCGCGTCTTCATCGTGCCCCGGCGTGCTGCCATTGTACGTTTTTGAGCCTGGTCCCCTTAATTTTTATTTTATTTATTTATTTTTTTGCTTTGCAGGTGGAATGCCTCCTACCCCTCAGACTGTGCAGCTGACGGGTCAGAAGCAGAGCCAGCAGCAGTACGATCCTTCCAAAGGTCCCCCGGTGCAGAATGCAGCCAGTCTCCACACGCCACCGCCTCAGCTGCCCGGTAGACTGCAGTCAAGCAACGTGCCCATCACCTCTCTTCCACCAACGCTGCAGCTGGCGCCCCAAGCAACTCAGATGAATGACCTGCCGGTGCAGCAAGCGGCAATTCACGTGAAGGCTCAGCCCCAAAGCGTTACGGTCACTGCTGCTGCGGCGGCTGTGTCCCATGGCCAGGTTCAAGCAACATCTCAGCCACAATTGCAGCCGACAGCGCATGGGCCGGGACAGATGGCCCCCTCCGACGTGGTGCCCTCTCAAACTCCAACCCCACAGCAGGTAGGTAGATCCAGTTACTTGGCATTTTAGTCAGGGATGAGAGTCCATTCTAAAGGGTAAAAGGTTTCCTCTGCAACATTCTTTTTTTTTTTTTTAAAGACAGAAATATATGAATGACCTTGCAAGATAAAATCTAAAGGGCATAGGGGCAGCACTAAAGGCAAAACTTAGCTAGCATTCTTGATTCTCAGTCAATTATCCTGTTTTTAAGAGGCATTCTAAATGCGAGTGGTCTATGCACGTGTATTTATTTCTGCAGCCTACAGTTGTGTGATCATGCACATTTTTCTGTTCGTAACTAGAGACCTCATTGTGTATGAAAACTAACAGGCTCAGACCAGGGGTCCCCAACCCCCGGTCCGTGGACCAGTACCGGGCCATGGCATACCAGCAACCAGTCCGCACAAACAAGCAAAGCGCCATCCGTGGGATGCAGGCAGCACACAAAACCACACACCCTCCAGTCCACGGAAAAACCTCTTTCCACGGAACCGGTCCCTGGTGCCCCAAAGGTTGGGGATCTCTGGCTTAGACTATCTACAGTTCAGATCCAAGACCAGAGCATTAATGCTTCTTTTCAACAAGGGTGAATTGGTGTATATATTTTTCTGTTTGACTGCTTCTCTAAAACAGAATATGGTTTATCCCTCGAAGCCGTTTGCTATTCTAAACTGGTATCCTAATTTATGCGTGTTGTTTGTAGATCACAACTCTGGCTCGTCCCTCCTCCGACTCTAACCAAAACTCCCAGCGTATTTCAGCAAGTGTGGTTCCTCCTACCTCAAGCAACCCGCCAACTTCTGTTGCCAATTCTACGCCACAAACTACGCACTCAGCCCAAGCCAACCGATCCTCGCCTGGGGCAAATAAATCAGCCTCTCCTGTTGCCGCCAAACCCCCAGGATTGGCAGTGGCAGCAGCACCCAAAACTCAGAACACAGCACAAACCACCACAGCAGCCCTGCCCCAGGACAGCGCGCACGAGAAGTTGGCTGAGCAAGTGAAGTTGGTGAGAGTTTTTCTTTCCCTTCTGATGCCAAAAAAAAAGGTCACGCTTACGACCGTTGCAGCATCCCCGTGGTCAAAATTCAGATGCTGGTGAACTGACTCATGTTTATGATCATGAGCCGTGGTGGCGCAGTGGTTAGAATGCGGTACTGCAGGCGAACTCTGCCAGCTGCTAGCAGTTCGATCCTCACCAGCTCAAGGTTGTCTCAGCCTTCCATCCTTCTGAGGTTGATAAAATGAGGACCCAGATTGTTGAGGGGTAATAGGCTGACTTTGTAAACTGCTTAGAGAGGGCTGTAAAGCACTGTGAAGTCTAAGTCTAAGGGTCATTGCTAGTGCTATCCTTCCTTCCTTCCTTCCTTCCTTCCTTCCTTCCTTCCTTCCTTCCTTCCTTCCTTCCTTCCTTCCTTCCTTCCTTCCTTCCTTCCTTCCTTCCTTCCATTATGTGCAGTGGTTAGAATGCAGTATTGCAGACTAATTCTGCCACCTGCCAGCAGTTCGATCTTGACCGGCTCAAGGTTGACTCAGCCTTCCATCCTTCCGAGTTCGATAAAATGAGGACTCAGATTATTGGGGGGCAACAGGCTGACTCTATAAACCGCTTAGAGAGGGCTGTAAAGCACCGTGAAGCGGTATATAAGTCTAAGTGCTGTTGCTAGTGCTATTAACTGATAAATAGCTGTATGCCAACCATCTGGCCATTTCAGTCCATACTCTGGAAGGTGATGTCCACGTTCCAGGTTTAAGGTTTAACAGAATAACAGAGTTGGAAAGGGACCTTGAAGGTCTTCTAGTCCAGGGCTTTTCAACCAGTGGTACGGGTACCACCTGTGGTACATTGGCACCTGGCAGGTGGTATGCGACCATCCTAGAAAAGTGGTAGTGAGGGAGGGGAAGGAGCTGAACTGGTGGCAGCACCGCACAAGCCTGAGCAAGAGACGGCTGGAGCTGCAGGGCTGTCAGGGCTCAGCGGAAGCGCCAGGATCAGTACCGCTTTCCAGCTGATCGGCGCTTCTTCGGGGCTGTCAGGGCTCAGCGGAAGTGCCAGGATCAGCGCCAGGCTCCAGCTGGAGCTCGGTGCTGATCCTGGCCCTTTCGCTGAGCCCAGAAGAAGCACCAATCAGCTGGAAAGCAGCACTGATCCTGGCGCTTCTGCTGAGCCCAGAAGAAGCGCCGATCAGCTGGAATGTTGCAGCATCTCCAGGATCTTGTGACTTACATTCAGAAGCTTGGCAACTGATTCATATTTATGACGGTCACAGTGTCCCAGACCAAAACCTGCTGCAACCACCCAACAGACGGGGTGGAACAAAAACCAAATACCCCTACCCCACCCCTGCTGCCAATCCTCAACAGAAATGCTCACAACAATGAAAACCTCGGACAGGAGGAAGAACACGGCCGGGCGGGCAGGCAGGTGTCTTGCTCGGATGTGGCTTGGGGGGCATTTTTTTCAGTGCCATTGTAACTTTGAACAGTCACTAAGCGAACTGTTGTAAGTCGAGGACTACCTGTACTTTATTACTTTTTTACTCTTTTTTGGGGGGTCATCAAGTTTTTGACACCTTGCTGGTGGTACTCGGATGTTGCCATATCCTAAAAGTGGTACAGTGGGTGAAAAGGTTGAAAAGCCCTATTCTAGTCTAAACAGTAAACCCAACACCATTTCAGGCAAATGGTTAGTGGGTTTTATTCATCAGTCAATGGGTATCAGATCGTATCCTTTGTTTTTAATGAAACGAAATGTACATTTGTGCAAATATCTTTGGAAGTAAAATCCATTAAATTCCATATACATTAATCTCCCCAATACATAGGATTGTAGCCAAAAATCCACTTAAAATTAGGATATGGCATCAAAAATATTGAGGAATTCCAAAACAAGTACTTCTGAAAGAATAATGCATGACCAAGATAACCATCATGTTGTCTAATGGTTTCCTGATCTTAAAAGCCTCAGGTGTTGAAGCACCCACAACCTCTGCATGAATTAATTGTTTTCACTGTCAGGAAATTTCTCCTTAGCTCTAGGTTGCTCCTCTCTTTGATGAATTTCATCCATTGTTTCTTGGGCTCAATTGTGGCCGTACATCGGGGACTCTGAGTAATGAATTCTTGGACTAAAGCTCCCTGCTTCTTTTGATGTCACGAGAAACCCTAGCCACCAACTTAATGTTCTCCCTTGCTTGCTTCCACCAGGAAAACCATGTTCACCAACGCATCGCGGAGCTGAGAAAGGAAGGTTTATGGTCTCTGAGACGATTACCGAAACTTCAGGAAGCCCTCAGGCCCAAATCTCAGTGGGATTATCTCCTGGAGGAGATGCAGTGGATGGCAACAGATTTTGCCCAAGAAAGACGATGGAAGATGGCCACTGCCAAGAAGGTCTGGATGATAGTTATTTGTCATTCCTTCGCAAAGCCCGGAATGAAGAAACATGAAAGAAACCAGAGTCCTCACTATAATAATCCTAGTTTTGTGCTTCAAACAAATGGGGGGTGCTAGTTTAGCTAGCCACAAACTGTTGAATAATGGCACACCAAAGTGGAAGAGGTTGATATGAGATGGAGTGGGTTGATGTAAGGCAGTGGTTCTCAACCTGTGGGTCGGGACCCCATTTGGGCTCGAACGACCATTTCACGGGGGTCGCCAAACAACGCAGTCCGCCATTTTTTCCCCCCTTTTCCTTAGCTGTGCTACTCCCTTTTCTTCTATTGGCTTTTGAAAGCCAATAGAAGAGACTCTCTTGAATAGAGTCTAATTCTATTGGCTTTCAAAAGCCAATAGGAATTGTCCAGGCTGTCTCTGCCCTGCTGAGCCCGCCAAAAGTCCCATTCTGCAAACGGTGCTGCACCAGTTGAGTAGTTCTCGACTTACGACCGGTTGGAGGTCGCGGCATTAAAAAGGTTGAGAACCATTGATGTAAGTTTTGTACGCAAGACTACTTAACACAAGAGGTATCTGTGTGTAAGTCAGGATACGGTTAGGAGAAGCTTTCATGATCCCAATGCTTCTTTTGTGAGCTGTTTCTGCTGATGTTCTCCAGGATGCTGACTTCTTCTGCAGCTCCTGAGCAAACCCATTTGTACATTTTATTTCCTGCATTTATGGATCAAATACATCCATTCGGTTTATTCCCAGTCTTTTTGTTCCGGTGAATTGTCAAGAGAACTAACACAACACAAGCATTGGTATTCAGTTTAATATTTTAAAACTAAAATTCAGATAATAATTTCAAAAGGTTCCTGATAAGATGCAGACTAGAGAGGCATCTTTACAAATTTAGAAAATCTGGCTGAGGAATTCTGGGAGTTGAAGTCCATGTGAGTTGAAGTCCATGTGTCTTAAAAGTTGCCAAGGTTGAAAAATTCTAGTTTAGATGTATTGCTGCTGCCATTCCCAGAATTTCTTAGCTAGGAAGAGTCACGGGAGCTGAGGAATTCTGTGAATTAAAAGTTCAGGCAGATCCTGCGTGCTGGTTTGAAGTCAGGATCATTTAAACTTTTATATACGGGAGCTTTCAAAAAGTTAATTGCAAAAAAAAAGCTAGCCTTTTCAGACATATGGCATACGGCATAATAGAATGCAATATTAATGCACGAAAAATTCACAAAAAGCAGTGTTTAAAATGTCAAATATTTTTTGGCTGTTGAAAATAGCTGTTAAAAGCCAGAGCTGTAATAAATTGGTGGAAGACCCCACTCTCTAGCAATTCTCGTTTTAAATGTTTACATTAGATGGTCAGGACAGTGGCTCGCTACCACGAAGAGAAGCACTTCAATGCAGAGAGGGCTAAGAAGGAAGAGAAGATCAAACTAAGGCGCATCGCTGCTACAATTGCCAGAGAAATAGAATATTTCTGGTCGAATATCGAACAGGTAATCCTTCTCTTTCTTTGCCAGTCGCTTTCGAAACCCTCGAACTGGGGGCAGGGGGGGGTGAGGAATGCTCCCAGGGACCATATTCTGTTTACCCCTGGATGAACTGGACTCCCAGGTAGAGATTCACATTTCGTGATGCCCGGTGTGTCCGTGCCAGTCCAGAAAACTGCATACAGCTCTGATGTTCAAATTTCCCAGCTTCTCTGAGGCGCGAGCGGATGTGAGAGGGGGCTGAGAATTTTGACCAAGGGGCCTTTTGCACAAAGCCATTGTGGTTCCCTCGCTTGGCTGGAGGAAAGGATGTTTTTAATCTTCCCTTGTTAGGAATTGACAGAGATCATGGGGCTAAATTTGACTGGGAAATTTGACCGGCTTTGAAATTACCTCTTTCTATTATTAGAAGATTCATTCTCAGGTGAAATAGCACCTTGCAAAGACCCCTTACCTGGACGCTGCTGCTTAGAGGCCACTCAATTCAGTTTCCCTGACTGGTTTGTGACACATAGGCGACCGTCAAGCGAATGCAAACATCGTAACCATTCAGAAGTGGGGTTATATCAATCTATTTCTGCTGTCTTTTAGGTGGTCGAAATAAAGCTGCAGATTGAATTTCAAGAGAAAAGGAGGAAAGCATTGAATTTAAAGAGGCGTGCAAAGAAAGGTAGTTTTCCTGTCCTTTGCTGCAAAACGAGGTTGCAATATGATAGACAGGAAGCTGGGGGCATCCTTGGTGCTCTCTGAGCTTGCGGGGTTTTCTTGCAGACGTTTCATTACCGGAGTAGGTGATGTCATCAGTGCGGTATCATTTTGCATATTACAAACCAGGAAGCCCGCTCTTGCTCAGAGTTATGGTGACTTTTAAAACAACTCTTTTAAAATTGTCACTGCTGGGCTGCAGTTGGTCTTGCTGTCTCTTAATCCTAGCTTATTATTATTATTTTAACTTTGGGGGCGAATTTCATTTTTTTCATTGTTCCTTAGGTAGGATTTTAAGAGGGAAGTTGGATTCTTTAGGTTTTATTTTTTAAAAAAAATACTACACGGGAATATGTAACATTCTCTTTCACTGGGTTTTATTTTCTTGCTCCTGGCTGAATTGACATGCTACGCCAGCGATGGCAAACCTTTTAGAGACCGCGTGCCAAAAGTGCAACCCAAAACCCACTTATGTATCGTCAGGTACATACATAATGGTGTGGCCCATTGGGTGGGTTTGGCCCATTGAGTGGGCATGGCTACGGTGGTAATGGCAGACTGGGTGGGACTAAAAAGTTCAATCAATCAATTCCAACTTTGCGAGATCTTTTTTTTTCCCCGCGAGAAGTTGAAATTGATTGATTGAACCTTTTTTGTTTTTGCACACGGTGGCGGAGGCCTAAAAAGCAAGAAGGTTTTATAAAAGCCAGCTGAATGCCTAGGACTGGGGCGACGGTGCCCGTGGCCACAGAGAGGGCTCTGCGTGCCACCTGTGGCATGCGTGCCATAGGTTCGCCACCACGGTGCTAGGCTAACATAAGGGGTTGTAACTTAGAAAGTGCCTAAAAAGGGTAACCATTTTGCAGGTAAAGATTCGAGACATTTTGAGGATCTCCTTCTGGAAAAAGAAAATAACTTGGTAAGAGATTTTTTTTTTCCACCTCCCATCTCCTGGTTGACAATTCTGGACATATTGCCTGTTTTACTGTTCTTGAAATTAGAATTGTTCAAGTCTATTTAGATAGCGGTAGATCTGCTGCCAGTAAATAGCTTTCTTGTACGTAAGGAGGATAGTGGGAAGATGGGGAACTGTAATGGGAGACTGGTCTATAAAACAAAGCCATTGTTGGTGAGCTTCCTTTGACAGCCTTTGAAGAAGGAAATTGCTTAACATCAAGTACCCACATCTCAAGTCTCTTTCAATAATGTCTGCTGTGGCTGGCAGCTGTTTTCCATGAGCCCTGGTGGAGACCTTCCCTGTTCTCTTCTTCACAATTTATTTGGGGGGGGGGTTGGTCCTGTTCTGTTTCTCCTTGGAGGTAATTAACAATAAATCATGCATTTGATGAACGGTTGGGCGAAGAACCCTCTAAAACAGATGCACAACATTTACCCCCAGAAATCGTGGGAGCTCCATCACTGGAGGTTTTTAAGAAGAGACTGGACATTCACCTGTCTGGGACAATATAGGTTCTCCTGCTTGAGCAGGGGGCTGGACTAGAAGACCTCCAAGGTCCCTTCTGACTCTATTCTGTTCTATTTATATATTCATTTTGTAGGGTTCGTGGTCCCGTAGAAGAAAGAGAAAAGCAAGCACGTCCCTCACGGATGACGAAGGTCGGTGATGGGTGCTGTTCTGATCCACCCTTTTTATCTCATCTACTTGCGTTGTTCTAACCATGTGCTAGAAGAAGTGAAAACTGGAACAAAATTGTACATCTCCAGTTTGGGGATTCCCTTTTAGTTCCAAAGGGAAAATAACTGTTCTGCTTTCACCCGTTCAAGAATCAAACCAACATTTTGTGACGAAGCCTTCTCAATTATTCTCACTTGGCTGGTTCAGTTCTTCCCTCCAGCCCCCTCCCCCCAAAAAAAGATTGGATTCTGTAAATTGTGAGATTTGGAGTTGGCCATTCTGGATACATAAAGATGGCCCTTATCGAATTGAGTGCATTGTTTAATATATACGATGCAGCTAAATTTATAGGTGTGACGTTAAAATTGAGGAGGCTGGGCTGTATTCCTTGAGGCTGTGATGTCTCAAAGCTACCTGCCATGTCGGAGAGAAAGAAACAGAGCAAAACAATAAAATAACAGCCCAGAAATATTCTCCCTAACAGATTTGCTGCTTTTGATTGACCAAAAACAGCACTTTTAAAAAAAAAAATAACTTGAAAAATGCAAGGGGGTGTTCTACGTTTCAGCTTGAATGGGTCCCTCTGCAAGTCTCGCTAGAGTTTCTAAAATAGCTTTAGAACTTCTGGATGTAAAAATTACAGCTATGCTGTAATTGTGATCATGGTCTAAGCCAGGGGTGTCAAACTGCCAGCCCATGGGCCGGATGCGTCATGCCAAAACCGCGCCCACCCCATTGCCGGCAGTGGAAAAAAAAGTCACGCTACGTCGCGACACGTCACGTGACGTTGCGAGTTTGACACCCCTGGTCTAAGCTGTTTAGCAGCGTATGAAATGATAGGATAACAAGAAATTCCTAAAATTTAAATCCATACCCATTAGCCAAGGCTTTAAGGACAAACCACCCACCCCAAATGGCATCATTAAAATGAACAGTCCGTTAATTGATTGGCTTAGAAAATACAGATGTCCGTTTGTATAGAATTCCTCGCGGGCAGGTAGAACATTCCAGCACATGGATATTCCTTCCTCTTTTGGGCTTGACCTGGGGGGGGGGCTGAATTTTTCTTTTCAGTGGAAGATGAGGAGGAGACAATAGAAGAGCAGGAGACGAAAGAAGGGAAGGTTAACCACCAGCTGGAGCTGTCCACACTGGCAAAGGAAGGTGAGTACGACAACATCTGCAGAGCTTTCCCATTGTGCTGTGGTTCTCCACCTTTTCTTCACCACGGACCCTTTTTAAATACCTTTTGTGGCCACGGATTCTGGCCGTGGACACACACACCCCTGCCCAAAGACTTAAGATTTAAATCATAACATTTCTTCAAGCCTTTGTAGACCCCCTGTGATGACATCGCAGCCCCCCCCCCCACAGGTTGAGAACCACTGCTGTAGGGCAGTGCCAAATATAGGTAACAGCCTATATTAACAGGGTTAACAGCTCCCTGTTCAGCGATCATTCACAGTTACGACTGTGCTGAAGGGGTAGTGGGTCTGACCTGACCTTGACAGTCCAGCCACCCCAACTCTACCCTTGCTGGCCTTGGCACTTGGCAACCAGCTCACATTTACGACAGTTGCCCAGACTCAACTTCCAGACCACTCTGGCTGGATAATCGAGAATCTTCATCAACGTTGACGACAGTTGTAGGTGTAGGAATCCAATTATATTTCATCTCTAGTTATCAACTATGGAAAACCCCATTCCTGCCTTCTCTGGATTCTGTCATACGATGAAGGGGAAGGGGGTGAACAAAGGGGCTTTATGGCCCTCACTTCCTTTGGTACACTTCAAAGGAACTGGATGTGTATATCACCAAAAGGACTAACCATAACAATGGGGCTATTACCTTTCATGTAATTTTCTCTGAAGTCCCCATCCAGCTGGCAGTAAGGAAAAGGGGGTGGGAGTGTAATGCCTGAGACTGTTGCTGGAAGAAGGGGGTGGTTGGGTGGGGCTACTGGGGAACCCCTTAAAACCTTGAATGGGAGAGCTTGGACCCCAAGTCCTGTCTAGAACGCCTGCAACCATTTTCTCTTAATAAAGGATTGCCTGTTGGAAGAACTATTCCAAGAGTTCTGTCTTCTTAAGATGCAAAGTGGGGTGGGTCCTTACAGTAGGATTCCCGTGTCACGAGATCACGATTTGCAAGCGTTCCCTGCCAGCTTCCCGCAAGCAAAGTCAATTCTGTTCTCTCTTCCCCCCCCCCCTTCTCGTTCGTAGCTGAGTTGCCTTTGGATGATTTGATGAAGATGTACGAAGGAGCCTTCGCTGATAACTTCCACTGGCCAAAGCCGGAAGACGAGATGAGCGAAGAAGGTATTCCGCTAGCAGTGTTTCCTTTCCAAATGCTTTCTGAGAAAGGACCAGCTTGGGGTGGATAGGGAATTTTGAGGTTTTGGGGGGGGGGGCATTTTGAGATGTTCAGGAGGGATTATCTTGGCCACCTGTGGTCAGACCTGCTTCCTTCTGTTTGGCTTTCTGAAAGACCTTGAAGACCTGGCTGGGCCAACTAGCCTGAGGCCCTAAGGGGGGTGGGGGGGGTTTGGGGGTGGCACGTTGGAGGTGGCTGATGGCATAGAGGCCTTCCATCTCTCTGCTCCCTCCCTCTCCATCCTGCTTAGATTTATTTAAATTGAATTTTTAAAGACTGATTGTTTTAATGTCTATGGAGATTTGCAGTCGTCCAGGTCATAGTTATCCCAAAGATGCTTTTTCAGGAGGCAACTGGACTTTCTTGTTGTTGTTTTTCTTTGAAGACGTTTCGCTTCTCATCCCAGAAGCTTCTTCTGCCCTGACTGGATGGTGGGGAATGGAAGGATTTATACTCCTTGCGGACAGCTGGTCATTTGCATCCTTTTAGAAAGTCGTTGAAGCCATTTGGAGGTTTACCTGTGTCCTCAAGGTCACCTGAGTAGTGAAATGGGTGTGCTGAAAGCAGTTCCAAGAAGACTCCACACCCATTTGCGCCACTCAGGTGACCCTGAGGACACAGGTAAACCCCCAAGTGGCCTCAACGACTCTCTAAAAGGAGGCAAATGACCAGCGGTCTGCAAGGAGCATAAGTCCTTCCACTCCCCACCATCCAGTCAGAGCTGAAGAAGCTTCTGGGATGAGAAGCGAAACATCTTCAAAGAAAGAAAAACAAAGTCCAGTTGCCTTTGTGAAAAAGCATCTTTGGGATTATTGTTTTGATGTTTTATTCAGTGTCTGGCTTTTGGTGAGATGAGTAGCATTCCAGCTGGTTGGATGGATGGATGGATGAAATTCTCTAGCCTAGCACTCATTAAAAGAATAAAAACAGAGGGTTTTTTTTAAAAAAGCATTTATTCTTTATTTAGAAATGGAAGATCATCTAGCCGAGAGAGAATTCCTTCCAAAGGAAGTCATCTCGATCGACTCCCTGCTCAGCATCGAACAGTACAAGGGGGCCGAGAGAATGATGCCCGGGAAGAACCGCGGGCGAGACATAGCCGAAGTGGCGGCCACGGCAGAGGTCCTGTTGCCGAAAGGCAGCGCCCGGATCACCACTGCGGTAAATCCACCCCTGTGGATTGGTCCTGATTTCACGGGTGGTGTACAGGTAATCCTCGGCTGGCAGCCTCGATCGACGTTACGACGGCACTGAAACGAAGTAGCTTATGACCGTTTTTTTCACACTTAACAACCGTTGCAGCATCCCCATGGTCACTAGGAGCAAAATTTGGATGCTTGGCAACCGGTTCCTATTCACGACGGTTGCAGTGTCCCTTTGCGACCGTCTGGCAAGATTTAGTTTAACAACGGCAATGATTCGTTTTGACAAGCCTGCAAAATGGAGTGAAATGGCGCCACCACTTGCGTTGCTTAGAAATGGAAATTCTAGTCTACGTTGTGGCCAGAACACAGGTAGTTCTCAACTTTCAATAGTTCATTTAGTGACCGTTCAAAGTCCTCGAATTAAAACCATTTTCTTAGTAACGGTTCGAAGTTTCAACGGCAGTGAAAAAAGCGTCTTAGGGTTGTTCTTCACACTTACATCCATTGCAGCATCTGTATAGTGTATAGTATACAATATGGTATACACCAGGGGTAGGCAACCTGGGCTCTTTGATGACTTGTGGACTTCAACTCCCAGAATTCCTGAGCCGGCATGGGGGAACTATGGCCCCCTCATGACTCGTGGACTTCAACTCCCAGAATTCCTGAGCCGGCATGGGGGAACTATGGCTCCCTCATGACTCGTGGACTTCAACTCCCAGAATTCCTGAGCCGGCATGGGGGAACTATGGCCCCCTCATGACTCGTGGACTTCAACTCCCAGAATTCCTGAGCCGGCATGGGGGAACTATGGCCCCCTCATGACTCGTGGACTTCAACTCCCAGAATTCCTGAGCCGGCATGGGGGAACTATGGCTCCCTCATGACTCGTGGACTTCAACTCCCAGAATTCCTGAGCCGGCATGGGGGAACTATGGCCCCCTCATGACTCGTGGACTTCAACTCCCAGAATTCCTGAGCCGGCATGGGGGAACTATGGCCCCTTTATGACTCGTGGACTTCAACTCCCAGAATTCCTGAGCCAGCATGGCTCAGCTTGGAAACCTCTCCTTTTCCCCTCAGCATGGCTGGCTCAGGAATTCTGGGAGTTGAAGTCCACGAGTCATAAAAGAGCCAAGGTTGCCTACCCCTGGTATACACTATACAATGTATAGTGAATTACAGGTAGCCCTTGACTTAACGACTACAGTTGAGCCCCCAAAATTGATGCTCCTGTGCGAGGCATTTGTTAAGTGAGTTTTGCCCCGTTTTACGACTTTTCTTGCCACAGTCGTTAAGCGAATCCTTGCGTTTGTTAAGTTAGCAATTCAGTTAATTGAATTTGGCTTCCCCCTTCATTTTACTTGTTGGAAGGTCGCAAAAGGCGAGTCGTATGACCCCAGGACACGGCGACCATCGTAGAGGTGAGTCAGTTGCCCAAACCTCTGAATTTTGATCAGGTGACCGTGGGGCTTCTGCAACAGTGTGAAAAATGGTCCGGAGTGTCTCTTTTTTTTTCCAGCGCCGTTGTAACTTCGAACGGTCCCTAAACGAACTGCTGTAAGTCAAGGACTCCCTGTCATGAAGCAAGCAGCTGAATGTCACGGAGAGGAAACACATTTGCACAATTTCTTGCAGGTCAAATACAACACGCCAGCCCTCTTGTACGGCTCCCTCCGAGAGTATCAGAAGATTGGCCTGGATTGGTTGGCCAAGTTGTACAAGAAGAAGCTGAACGGCATCTTAGCCGACGAAGCCGGCCTCGGGAAAACGGTGCAGATCATCGCCTTCTTCGCCCACCTGGCCTGCAACGAAGGTACGCGCTCTTATGGGGGTGTAAGTGAGTCAGGTGGCGAACGAGGGACAGGCTCTTAGCATCTCTTCTTGGTCTTCCTTTCCAGGGGATTGGGGTCCTCACCTGGTCGTCGTCCGGAGTTGTAACATTCTGAAGTGGGAGCTGGAGCTCAAACGTTGGTGCCCTGGTCTCAAACTCCTGCTCTACATTGGTACCCAGCGAGAGCTAAGAATGAAAAGACAGGTAGGCCATTTTTAGAAGAGAATAGGAATAGAATACAGAGAATGGAATGGGATAGAATGGAATGGAATATGGGATGGGATGGGATGGAAAGGAATAGGATATAGAATAGAATAGGGTATAGAATAGAATAGAATAGAATAGAATAGAATAGAATAGAATAGAATAGAATAGAATAGAATAGAATAGAAGGGACCTTGGAGATCCTCTAGTCCAACCCCCTGCTCAGGCAGGAAACCTATACCATTTCAGACAAATGGGTTTTCTTAAGTCATGATTTCTTATTCTTCAGAAAGAAATGTTTAAGTCGATGCCAAATGTTTTGCTGCAATGTTGTCACTCACATGAAAGAAAAGAGGGGAGTGGGATACAGGGGAAGATAACATTCCTGGAAGTTAATCCACAAGTTAATACAGGTGTAGATTCCAGGACCAGTTCTCTAACTCTTTGTTTACTTTGCCTCCTTCCTTCCTTCCTTCCTTCCTTCCTTCCTTCCTTCCTTCCTTCCTTCCTTCCTTCCTTCCTTCCTTCCTTCCTTCCTTCCTTCCTGTCTCTCTCCCTCCCTCTCATTGTCTCCTACCTTCCTTCCTCCCTCTCTCTCTCCCTCCCTCTCATTGTCTCCTTCCTTCCCTCCCTCCTTCCTTCCTTCCTTCCCTGCCCTTCCCATTCCCTATATCCTCCCTCCCTCCCTTCCCTCCTTCCGTAGGAGTGGACGGAACCCAACAGTTTTAACGTCTGCATCACCTCCTACAAGCAGCTCTTCAAGGGCCACCAAGCCTTCATGAAGCTACGATGGAAGTACCTGATTGTGGATGAGATGCAGCAGATCAAGAACATGACGGAGAAGCACTGGGAAGCCCTCTTCCACCTTCGCAGGTCTGGACGCCTTCGAAACCTGCCTTTTCTCTCCCCCGGTTTGGACCGCATGGGCTCTGGTCCTTGTCCTGTAGGGTAGGCCACTCCTGGCCCTCCCTCTGAGCCTTGTCTGGGCCAGGAATCCGAATTCAGCTTCTCTTTGGCTTACGTTCTGCTGCCGTTTGTCAGAAGAAGCGAAGGACTGTACCCAGGCAGTCCTCGACTTTCAAACATTCCATTTAATGACGGTTCAAAGTTACACCCGCGGTGAAAAAAAGGGACCTGTGACCGTTTCCCACGCTTAACAACCGTTGCAGCATCCCCAGGGTCCCCTGGTCAAACATTCAGCCTCTTGGCAACTGGTTCGTATTTATGACCTTCTGAAAAACAGTCAGCACAGGGGCCAGATTCCGTTCACAGCTGGGTGGCTGAGGTGATTCCCTTAACACCTGTGGCAAGAAAGGTCGTAAAGCGAGGCAAAACTCACTGAAACAAAAGTCTCCCTTAGCAACAGAAAAGCCAGCCTCACTCGTGGTCGTAAGCCGAGGACTCTCTGTATCTCTGTGTAAAGAGAAGCTGTGCATAATGGGATGTGGGGGTGACCTTGGGGGAGGAGAGGAAGAGTCAGATGAGGGAGGGAGGCAGGGAAGGGAGGGAGGGAAGGAGGGAGGGAAGAAAGAAAGAAAGGGAGGGAGGGAGGGAAGGAAGAAAGTAAGAGAGGAAGGAAGGGAGGGAGGGAAGGAAGAAAGAGGAAGGGAGGGAGGGAAGGGAGAAAGAGGGAGGGAGGAAGAGAGGGAGGGAAGGAAGGATGGGATGAGAGACAATGAGGGAGGGAGGGAAGGAAGAAAGTAAGAGAGGAAGGGAGGGAAGGAAGAAAGAAAGGGAAGGAAGGGAGGAAGAAAGAAGGAAGGGAGGGAGGCAGGGAAGGGAGGGAAGGAAAGAAGGGAAGGATGGGATGAGAGACAATGAGAGTGAGGGAGGGAGGGACGAGAGACAAAGGGAGGGAAGGAAGGAAAGGAGAGGGAAACAAGGGAGGAAGGAGGGGATGAGGCAAAGGGAGGGAGGGAGGGAGGAAGGAAGAAAAAAGGGAAGGAAGGAAGGAAGGCAAAGTAAACAAAGAGTTAGAAAACTGGTCTTGGAATCCACACAAACAGATGCTTAGCAGTCAGAGGGAAAAACCTAGGAAGGATCCTCCCTAACTGTTAAAAGTAGCCGTGGGAAGGTTGGATCTTCAGACTTGTCAGATTTTGTTAATGTAACCTCACACGAACGTAGGCCATTTTGTTGTGTTCTTTGGCTGGTTTCTCTGAGAGGGCTGACTGTGTGACTCTCTCTGTAGTCAGTACCGCTTACTCCTGATCGATACACCCCTGCACAACACCTTGATGGAACTGTGGACCATGGTGCACTTCCTGATTCCAGGAATCTCCAAAGCTTACCTGGATTTCCCCGTGAAAGCTGCCAACGAGGAGAACCAAGACTATTGCCATAAGCTGGTCATCAGGCTGCACCGGGTGAGTCCCCCAAGCCGGGCACTAGAATTGGGCACAGGGCTATCCTGGTTTTTACTTAACAAATAGGACTTGACCAAGCTTCTGTTAGAAACATAGAAAACTGGCAGCAGAAAAAGACCTGGAGGTCTTCAAGTTCTGCCTTTTGAGTTTATTTGCTTTTTGTTCCCTCTCTCTCTCTCTCCCACTCTCCTTACCTCTTTCTTTCTTTCTTTCTTTCTTTCTTTCTTTCTTTCTTTCTTTCTTTCTTTCTTCCTTCCTTCCTTCCTTCCTTCCTTCCTTCCTTCTTTCCTTCTTTTCTTTTTTTTCCAGTTGCCTCTTGAAAAACCACCTTTGGCACAAACATGACTGGATGACAGAGAATCTTCTTAGATTTCCTTCTTTCCTTCCTTCCTTCCTTCCTTCCTTCCTTCCTTCCTTCCTTCCTTCCTTCCTTCCTTTCTCTTTTGCTTCACTTCCTTCCTCATTATCTCTCCCTCCTTTCCTTCCTTCCTTCCCTCCTTTGTTTCTTCCTTCCTTTCCCCTTTCTCTTTTGCTTCCCTTCTTTCCTTGTTATCTCTCCTTCCTTCCTTCCTTCCTTCCTTCCTTCCTTCCTTCCTTCCTTCCTTCCTTCCTTCCTCCCTCCCTCCCTCCCTCCCTCCCTCCCTCCCTTTCTCTTTTAATTAATACTTTTTATCAATGTTTACGTTATATTTTTGCCGAATGATGGACGGCTGTTTATCCCAAGCACATTTAAACTCATTTCCTAACGATTAACAATCCGCTGAAAGTGGGTTCCAGGATTCCCCTATTCTTTCTGTGAAGTGATGCTTTCTTTCTAAGGTTGCTTTTGAACTTTTGAATATTCATAGCAGCTTCCTCTCTCTCTCTCTCTCTCCCTCTCTCCCTTCCACCTCTGCTCCGCAGATGATCCAGCCGTTTATTTTGCGCAGATCCAAACGGGATGTCGAAAAACAGCTGACCAAGAAGTACGAACACGTGCTCAAGTGCCGGCTTTCAAACAGGCAGAAAGTGATGTACGAAGACGTCATTCTCCAACCCGAGTATGTCTTTCTGCGCTGAACATTAAGTCATTAATGTTAATTAATGATTAATTACTAGTAATGAAGAGGACCACCTTCAATGTTGCCCAGAAAGAGCACAACTATACACACGTGTCGGGGTCAGTTGCTGAGCACCTAAAATGCATTCAGATGCCACGGGAAGGCTGGTGGCCATCAGAGCTTCAAAACCCAGTCATGAGTACTTTTTTTTGGGATGGGGAGGAGTGGGTGTGTACCTGTTCTTAAGTAGAGGACAGGAAGGCCTGGAGGAACGTTGTCCATGGGGTCGCGATGGGGCGGACACGACTTTGCAACTAACAACAACATGTATACATCCAAACTAGACTGTGTTGTTTCTCTGGGTCCTAGAATGTATGTGCGTCGACGGGTATATGCAAATATTTGGGGGGAGGGTTCATATTTATGTAGTCCATATTGGAGGTGGTGACCCTTTGAGAGCTGCACGCCACGAAATTTCATTTTAATGTACATTTAAAGTGACAGTAACGTTATTCGGAGTCTGAGGGATGGATTGGCCCAAACGCCTCCCCCCCTTCTTTGACGGAAGGAGCCCGGCAAGACGCCAGGCCAGCGATGGAGATCCTGGCATCCTGATCTCACGGGCATCACACCCTCTCCTGTTGTGGCTTTGACCCTCTGCTTTCTTCTCCCTGGGCAGGACCCAAGACGCTCTGAAAAGCGGGCATTTCGTCAGCGTCCTTCACGTCTTGATGCAGCTGCAGAAGATCTGCAACCACCCGGATCTGATCAACCCCCGGCTGTGTGGCTCCTCTTACGTTTCAGAGGCGTTGCAGTATGCTACCGCCTCGCTGGCCTTCACAGCGGTAGAAAGCAACCTATGGAAGGTGAGCCGGAACGGTGGACTTGCCAGGTTCTCTGTTGGGTGAGGAAGAGGGAGACTCTTCCCAGCTTCTCCTTTCTCCTTTCAACTTTTCTGTCCCGAGGGGTGACCCAGGACTCCGCAATGTTGTGTGCGTTGTGTGTGTGAGCGAGCGAGCGAGTGAGCGTGTGTATGTGTGTGAGAGGGAGAGATGAAATGGACTAATGATAGAAGAGAATCTTTGTAGCTCAAGGTTGAACTGTGGGGCTCCTTGGTGCACTCTGAGCTTGGTGGCTTTCTTGCAGACGTTGCAGGACCCAGCTAGGTAGCATCATCGGTGCTAGAAGGGAGTGGGGTGTGCAGAGTGGAGGAGAAGAAAGAGGAGAAGGACTGTGGGGTCCTTGGTGCTCTCGGAGCTTCTTTGTTTTCTTGCAGACGTTGCATGACCTGGCTAGGTAGCATCATCAGTGCTAGAAGAGAGTGGGGTGTGCAGAGTGGAGGAGAAGAAAGACAAGAAGGACTGTGGGGTCCTTGGTGCTCTCTGACCTTGTTTGCTTTCTTGCAGACGTTGCATGACCTAGCTAGGTAGCATCATCAGTGCTAGAAGGGAGTGAGCTTTGCACTGCAGAGGAGAATAAGTGGAATAGGAAAAGGACTGTGGGGTCCTTAATGGTCTCTGAGCTTGGTTGCTTTCTTGCAGACGTTGCATGACCCAGTTAGGTAATCTCATCAGCGGACTGAATAAGTGGACTAAATAAAATTATAATAGGTACCCAGATACTCTTTCTTCGCTCTCGGCCATCTTCTAGGTTGCAGACTTGAGCCTCTTTGACCTGATTGGGCTTGAGAAGACCATGACGCGGTACGAATCCCAGGTGGTGCCCAAGCAAAAAATAACACGAAAGCTTATCGAAGAGATTTACACCTCTCCTCTGCCGCCCCCCAGGCCTGCCCCCGTCAAACTGAAGCCGAGCAGGTAAGCAGCACACAGCCTTCCGTAACCTCAGTGGCCCTGAGGCAGCCAACTCCAACGTTGATTGGACTCTTGTCCCTGTTCAGTTTTGCGTGGTGTGTTGATAAGTCACACTCTGAAGCATGGGTCTCAGTTTCAGAACGACATTCAAGGGTTTGAAGGAGGGAGGGGAGGGGAGGGGAGGAAGGAAGGAAGGAAGGAAGGAAGGAAGGAAGGAAGGAAGGAAGGAAGGAAGGAAGGAAGGAAGGAAGGAAGGAAGGAAGGAAGGAAGGAAGGAAGGAAGGAAGGGCTATGGCAGTGGTTCTCAACCTGTGGGTCGGGATCCCATTTGGGGTCGAACGACCATTTCACGGGGATCGCCAAACAACGCAGTCCACCATTTTTTCCCCCTTTTCCTTAGCTGTGCTACTCCCTTTTATTCTATTGGCTTTTGAAAGCCAATAGAGTAGACTCTCTTGAATAGAGTCTAATTCTATTGGCTTTCAAAAGCCAGTAGGAATTGTCCAGGCTGTCTCTGTCCTGCTGAGCCCGCCAAAAGCCCCATTCTGCAAACGGTGCTGCACCCGTTGAGTAGTCCTCGACTTACAACCGGTTGAGTAGTCCTCGACTTATGACCGGTTGGGGGGGGGTCGCGGCATTAAAAAGGTTGAGAACCACTGGGCTATGGGGTCCTAGGTGTTCTCTGAGCTTGCCTATTTTCTTGCAGACATTTCATTAGCCAAACTAGATAACATCGTCAGTGCTAGAAGGGAGTGGAATTTATGCAGAGGAAGGAAGGAAGGAAGGAAGGAAGGAAGGAAGGAAGGAAGGAAGGAAGGAAGGAAGGAAGGAAGGAAGGAAGGAAGGAAAAGATGGAGGGAAGAAGGGGAAGGAAGGAAGGAAGGAAGAAGGAGCTTAAAGCATCTCCAGGGATTAGGGCACCAGGCCTGTCCCCTAAATATTTGACTCCCTTCCCTGCTGAGGTCATTGAAAAGGACGCCGAAGTGTTCCTTTGGCTCAGAACAGGAGAACCTCAAATCCTTCCCCTCCTTGGAGACAGTTCCTCAGTTTTTAATAGGAGTGAAAGGAGTCTGTGAAACCATTTTTGGCTTGTCCCAAAGATGCTTTTCCACGAGGCAACTGGACTTGGTTGTTTGTCTTTGAAGATCTTTCCCTTCTCACCCCAGAAGCTTCTTCAGCTCTTGACTAGATGGTGGGGAACGGTCTGGTCTGACGGGATGGTCAGAGCTGAAGAAGCTTCTGGGATGAGAAGGGACACATCGTCAAAGAAAAACAAGATAGTCCAGATAGTGGCCTGGTAGAAAAGCATCTTGGGGGGCGGGGGGGGGGGAGTAACTTGGACCTGGATGACTGAGAATCTCCGTAGACATTTGGGTTTTGCTTATGACTCCCAAGAGTACTTTATGGAAAAATCACAGCACCTAACCGGTTTCTCTCCCCCCCCCCTTCCAGATTGTTTCAACCTGTTCATTATGGGCAAAAACCTGAAGGGAAGATGGTGACCTTTCCTAGCACTCAAGTGCAACGGGCCACCAGCGCGGCTACGGTTGCCCAACCGGGCCAAGGGCGAGGAAGATCTCCCATGTCTACGGTAACTGCCAGCCAAGGTGAGAAAGGTGAACCTGCTTGGGATTCCTTCCTTTTCAACAGGTGTGGGTTGGTTCCCCTTCACGTTCATCCTCCCCTCTTTCCCTCCCTCCCTCCCTCAACCCGTCCTTGGAATGAAGCCAATCTTCCTCAACCTTGCGCCTTCCTGATCTGTTGAGGTTCACCATCACCACCATCCTGCGTATCTGGATGAAATCAGTGTGGAGCAAGCGGAACTCAAGTCGTCCTATCGGAGGCACGGATTGAGTAGATCCACCTATTAAAATTCTTCTTGAACAGCATTTCCAGCTGTGGACCTCAGGCCAGGTTGGGTCTACAGATGTTGAGGTGTCCACCTGGGGTTTGGACGAAGGATTTCCCAGGTCTTTCTCGGACCTTCAATCCAGCTCGGCTGCATTCAGTGAATAACGTCCTGAGCTGGCGCCTTTGGAAGCTCCATTCTGAGGTTCTTCTGTGAATTGTGAACCGATTCTGTGGGCTTTTCAACCCATTAGGTGCTCTCCCAGTTTTGGGTGGGTGGTCTTCCTGTGTTTCTCCGATTCCCTTGGACCGAGATGTTTCTGGACCTCTTATTTTGTTTGTTAAATTTACACGCCACCCATCTCACCATCAGGCAGGTTTCATTTGGATGGATTTCTCTCTGAAGAGCTGTTTTTAAGCTCTCCTACTCCCTCCTTCCCCCCCTCCTTTTTTTGATTTGAAACTTGGGAAAGGGAATTAAAAAAGAGCGACAGCAAATTGTCAATGCTCTTTCTGGAGATGGTCCAGGCAGGCGACTTGGAGCTTAAAAGCTTAAATTTTGCACGCAAAGCTTGGGTTTTAAAGAAGTCAGTCCCAGCCCGTGCGCTCACGTTCTGGGAGAATCCCATTTTGGCTGGCCCTGGAAGAGACTTGATTGTGCTTTGTTTGAAAATCTGGAATGGAGGGTTATCGAAGCATTCACGCGCAACTCCTTTTAGCTGTGTTTTCATCCTCTTTTTTTTTTTTCTAATGTTTCAGTTTGAGCTGAAAGTGAACGTTTCCAGGCAATATGTTTAGACTGTGTGTGTGTGTGTGTGTGTGTGTGTGTTTGTATGTCTTTATTTGGTCTCCACTTCACTGAGAAGCTAGGCTGGGCATGATAAAGCTGATTCTTCAGGGCAGCCCCTATTTATTTGCTTTGTTTGTATCCCGCCATGATTATTTTTACAAATAACTCAAGGCAGCATAGCTGACTCAGGAATTCTGGGAGTTGAAGTCCATGGCTAGACCAACCTTGACTCTGTCCTTTGATAAAGATGGATAACTTCACGATGGAAAGCCTTTTGAAGCACAGACCTAGCAAACTCAAACACACACACACACACACACACACACACACACACACCGCTCTGCAAGGAAAGCTGTGTTCACGTGTGTTTGTGCATGTGCGTTTGCGTGTCACGAGACTGAATTCACGCAGCAAATCACTTTTCGCTGCTTTCGTTTAAGCTCCCAAATGCCTCTGGATTTTTCTTGCTTTTTTTTTGTTCCCCCCCTCCAGGCAACGTGTCTGTACTCGGAGCCCCCACCCCACTACCCCCAAGGTTTAAAACTGACCCCTTGCAATTTCTCTAGCCCTTGAAAGGAAGGGGAAAAAAAAAAGGACCGACTCTAACCGCTTGCACCCCCCTGACCTTATTGATTGCAGCCGCCGTTGCCGTCTCTTCTGCTGCACCCGCAGCAGCAGCACCACAATTGCAGACGGCCCCGTCTTCCTCCAGTGCTCTTCCACCACCACCACCACCTCCTCCTCTTCCTCTTCCTCCTCCGAGACATCAGCCAGCAATGACCTTCGCCACCGCAACTAGCCCAGCCCATCCAGTGAAACTGCGGGGCCAGGCTACCACCCAAGGCCTCCAGCTAGGGCAGGCCCAGCCACAGGCCCCCCCACCCACCATCCAACAGAGTGTCCTGCCTCAGAGGCTCGTGTTAACGAGTCAGGCACAGGCTCGCTTACCCAGTAAGTGCCCCTCCGCCCTGCTTCCCAGATGTCTCCAGCTTCCTTCTCTCTTCCTCCTCCTCCTCCATTCCTCCTCCATTCCTCCTCTTCCTCTTCCTCCTTTTTTTTTCTCCAAAGCTTCCCTGAGGTTAAGTTATTAGGCACCCTAAAAAAAAAAATGTGTGCAGGGATACGTATGTAGACGTAGATATATTTGGATGGTGGCTCGGTTTACTGCTTCCCTTCCGCTCTCCCCTTTGGAGTTTGCCTTGCTCACCATTTTATGTTGCTTATTTGATTTTTAAAAAAAAGTAATTGTGTTTTAAGTGACACATTTAGATAAGAAGAAAAAAAAAACAACTCAGGAAAATTGCTGCGAACATCACAGGTAGTCCTCGACTTGAAACATTTTGCTTAGTGGCGGTTTGAAGTTAATGGCCCTGAATAAAGCGACTTTTTCACGTTGACCACCGTTGCAGCATCCCCCCCCCCCGTGGTCACGTGATCAAAATTTGGACTCTCGGCAACTGGCATGTCCTTACGCCAGTTGTACTGTGCTAGGGTCACGCGATCCCCATTGGTAGCCTTTCCAGAGCCAAGTCAGTGGGGGCTGCCGGATTCACTTACACGACGGCATGATTCGCTTAACAGCGGCAGGGATTCGTTTAACGCATGTGACCCCCCCCTCCCCAAAAAAGTTGTAAAATGGGGCCCAACTCACTTATTAACAACTGCCTGGCTTAGCCACGGAAACCTTGGGCTCCATTTTGGTCGTTAAGCCGAGGACTACCTGTAGATTAGTGGTGTCAACTTAATCTCAACTTCTTCTGCATGTTTTTTTTTTTTTCCTCTTGGTCAGCCTTCCTTGGAAACTTGTTTTTCTTTTTTTTAATTCTTGGAAAGAACAAATTTATCCTAATTTAATTCTCTCCTTTTGTTCTTGTTGTTGTTGTTGTTGTTGTTGGAGAACACTAACCACATCTTGGCTTAAAGAATGTCTTTTGCATAGGAAGGGCTCTCCTTAAGGAAGAACGGGAAGCTGGGCTAGGAACAGGCGGAAGCGGCCTTATTTCCGATGGTAGATGCACGATTAGCACATCTGGAGCCGAGGTGGGCAACTCTCTGGCCCCCTTTACGACCTGTGGACTTCAACACCCAGCATTCCTTGAGCCAGGAATTCTGGGAGTTGCAGTCCACAGATCGTAAAGGGGTCAGGATTGCGCACCTCGGCTCCAGAGGCTCTTGAGCACTGGTGTACTAATGTTTTCCGGGGGAACCTGCTGCCTTTGTAAAAGTCAAACGTTCCACGCTCAACTCCAGAACTTGGCAGATTTGAAATTTGGAGGCCCCGAAGCGTAGACGAGGGTTTCCAGGCCTTAAAACATCCTGATTTTTATTTTTTATTTCTTTTCTGATTTGATTTTTACGGAGAAGCCTTTAGCTCCGTGTGAACATAGCCCGAACTCCATGTTTACCTTGCAGGGTGACATGCAGACAAAAACGGTCCCTTCCAAGCAAATAAACCTTTAATTCTCCATCAGAGAGGGCTCTGGGAAAGATAACCTTCTATGCATTGAAAAATACATTGGCTGAATCCAAATTCTTTTGGCTAGGGCTGCATGAGGTTGCCCATCCCGCCCACCCTTCCTTCCTTCCCCGGTCCAAAATTCATCACCGCTTAATTGGATGTTTTAAATCAACGGGAGGAAATCAAATCCTTTGGGATCGTCTGCAAAGGTGATTGGGCAGCCCAACGAATCTGCTTCGCGTGGATTCCCCAAACTTGGCAAAGCCCTAAACAAATAATGATTTTTGTTCCTGGTCAATTGTTCTCCATACCCCTCGCAGTTGTGAATCCCTGCCTCTCTTGAGCTGTGTTTATAGTTTGCTTTTGAAAAGGCGGTAGAGGTCTGACCTGAAGGACTTTCTCTGCTCTCTGTTTCCGAAGTGTCACGTGAGTTTTTCCAGGTCACGCTGGCTAACCTGTGAAAAAGTGAGCATCTCTGCCCTCGGCCTGCCCCGATTCACTCACCGTTCTGCCTTTAAAGAAACGGAGCCGATGCCATTGGCCCCTCACCCGTATCACAGCTGTACCTGTGGAACTTCTTGGATGACACTTCCCTCCACCCCTCCCCTCCTCTCCCACCTCTACATCTCTGCATGTGGTTCGCGTCCGTTTTACTAACCACAACAACGAGAGGAAACCCAGGGGATGTCTGGGAGAAGCCCCACCCCGCCCCCCGCCCTCCCTTTTTTCACGGGTGCTTCCACCCCTCTCCCCCAGATGGTGAAGTGGTCAAAATAGCCCAGCTGGCTTCCATTGCAGGGGCCCAAGGCCGGATCGCGCAGCCGGAGACGCCGGTGACGCTGCAGTTCCAGGGGAACAAATTCACTCTGTCGCACAGTCAACTCCGCCAGCTGACCGCGGGACAGCCTCTGCAGCTGCAAGGTGAGGCCCTTTGAAGAGCACATCTGGGGAGCTCCCCCCCCCCGTCCTCAGGATTTTCTCAGCTGGGATTGGTTGAGCCTCCCGTGCTTTCTGGGATGTGTTTTGGATTTTGTGGCCTGGTCCTCTGGTTGTAGACATGAAGGGCAAGTTGTCAAGCTAGCCTTCCCGAATCTTTCCTATTCTGGAGATAGCAATAGCGCTTAGACTTATATACCACTTCACAGTGCTTTACAGCTCTCCCTAAGCAGTTTACAGAATCGGCGATGCTGGTTGAGGAATTCTGGAAGTTGACGTCCACAAGTCATATAAAAGGGCCAAGTTTGAAGAGCCCTGCAGTAGAACGAAACGTGACTTTTCCGTAGTAATCTAAGCTAGCCATTTCTAGAAGAACAAATCAGTCTAGTCCAGTGGTTCTCAACCAGTCTAGTCCAGTGGTTCTCAACCATTTGGGGTCGATCGACCATTTCACGGGGGTCGCCAAGCAAGGCTGTCTGCCATTTTTTTCCCCCTTTTCCGGCGGGTGCCTTACCTCCCTTGGGCTGGGCCAGCTGGTGGCCCAGCCGGTGGTCGGCCTGTCCGTCTCTGCCGCTTGCCAGCTACGCCTCGGCCGGCGCAGGGGGCAACACCACGCATGTGCGGCGCTCCCGGGCAGGGAAAGTCCTCGACTTACGACTGGTTGGGTAGTCCCCGACTTACGACCGGTTTAGTCCTCGACTTACGACCTGTTTAGTCCTCGACTTACGATCGGTTGGTGGTCGCGGCATTAAAAAGATTGAGAACCACTGGTCTAGTCAGTAAAACCCAAAATCAAAGTTTCAAGCACAACAATCCAAAAGTGTCCAGATGTTGATCACGCGACCACGGGGACGTTGCAGTGTCTGTCAACTCTGCCTAAGACGAGATGTTAAAAATCAGCCGGAGGGTCTTCCGTCAGTGGGCACTCAGTAACTTCCTCCCTCTTCCATTTCTACCTACCAGGCAGTGTCCTGCAAATCGTTTCGGCTCCGGGTCCGCAGTACCTCAGACCCCAGGGCCCTGTGGTGGTTCAGACCGTGCCCCAGCCTGGGAGTGTCCAAAACTCTCTGAACGCACTGGGGAACCAGCATCCGGTGGGCTTGCAGACCTCGGCAGGCGCTCAGCCAGGTAAGGAGCCTCCTTTTCCATCCGTCCACCTTTACCTGCCCAATTCCTGTATTGCTCCTACACTCCGAGCATTAACAAGAGAATAACAGACCGGAACTGTCAGTGAAGCCACTGCAAGCGCAGCCAGCGACGTTTGCGAACCGCAAATGTGAACGTTCAAACTTTACATTTTTTTTTAAGTGCCCCTTATAAAGCTTTGGTTCGGAAAGGCGGCGCCCTTAGAATTTTTTAGAATTAGAATAACAGAGTTGGAAGGGACCTTGGAGGTCATCTAGTCCAGCCCCGCCCCCCAAGCAGGAGACCCTACACCATTTCTGACAGATGGCCGTCCAGTCTCCTCTTGAAAGCGTCCACGGGTGAAACTCGCACAACTTCTGTTGTTTATTCTCATTGCCAGAAAATTCCTCCTGATTTCCAGGTTGAATCTCTCCGTGATCAGTTTCCATCCGTTGCTCCTGGTCCTGCCTTCAGGAGCTTTGGAAAATAGATTGACCCCTTCATTTTGTGGCAGCCCCTCAGATATTGAGGCGCTGCTATCCTGTCCCCCCTCGTCCTTCTTGTCATTAAACTAGACATCCCCAATTCCAGCAACCGTTCTTCATATGTTTCAGCCTCCAGTCCCCCTAATCATCTTTGCTGCTCTTCTCTGCCCTCTTTCCAGAGTCTCAACCGCTTTTTATAGAGTGGAGACCAAATCTGGTTGTAGTATCCTAGGTGTGGCCTTACTAAGGCTTTAAAGAGTGGCATTAGTGCCTCACTTGATCTTGATTGAAGGGTTAGGGTTTACGGTTAATCTCACCCTCTGATTCCATTTGGTGACTAGTAAGTAGTAGTGACTAGTAAGTAGTGAAATGCAAGGATGCCATTGATAATCGGGGCACGGGGCGCAGGTAGTCCTCGACTTAATGGCCATAATGGAGCCCAACAGTTCTGTTGTTAAGCGAGACGGTTGCTTAATGGGTTGCCCCATTTTCTTGCCACAGTCGCTAAATGAATCACTGCAATTGTTCAGCTAGTCCCTCGGTTGTTAAGTGAACCCGGCTTCCCCGTTGACTTTGCTTGTCGCAAAAGGGGGTCGTGTGGCCCCGGGACCCTGCGACCGTCATAAATATGAGTCAGTGTCCGAGCGTCTGAATTTTGATCACGTGGCCGTGGGGGGGGGGATGTTGCAACAGTCTTCAAGTGTGGAAAAAGGGTCGGAAGTCCCTGTTCTCAGTGCCGTCGTAACTTCGGACGGTCACTAAAGAAACTGTTGTAAGTCAAGTGCCTCCACAGCCTGATTCAAGAGCGAAGTCGTTTATGAGGACATGCCTGAGCCGTAGAGACATTTGGTTTACGTCTGAGTCTGTGTTTCCAGGAAGAAGCCTGGGGGCCAGTTTGGCGTCGGGAGACTCTGCTTCATCCCTGAAGTCTGGCATTCATGGCGGACACTCCCAGGTACTGGGACTTAGTTTGCACGTGTGAACCAGGGGCTCATCCTGAAGGTCTCTTTCGAATCCCCTTTTGGAACTGGTGGAGTATAGGCAGAATAGCATGGTCTTGTTTGTTTTTCTTTCTTTCTTTCTTTCTCTCTTTCTTTCTTTCTTTCTTTCTTTCTTTCTTTCTTTCTTTCTCTCCCTCTCTCTCTCTCTCTCCCTCTTTCTCTTTCTCCCTTTCTCTCTCTTTCTATCTTTCTTTCTTTCTCTCTCTCCCTCTTTCTATCTTTCTTTCTGCCTTTGTTTCTCCCTTTCTTTCTCTCTCTCCTTTCTTTCATTCTTCTTTTTCTCTCTCTCCCTCCCTCTTTCTTTTTCTTTCTTTCTCTCTCTCCCTCTTTCTTTTTCTTTCTCTCTCTCCTTCCCTTTCTCTCTCTCTCTCTTTCTTTCTTTCTTTATTTCTTTATTTCTTCCTTCCTTCCTTCCTTCCTTCCTTTCTTTCTTTCTTTCTTGAATTTGACACCCATCTCATAACAAAATGATTTAAGGCTTCTTTTTCAATTGACTGATGATGATTTTATTTTATTTTATTTTATTTTTTATTATTTCTATTTTATTTAAATTTATTTTATATTTTTATTTTATTTTTTATTTTATTTTATTTTTTATTTTATTTAAATTTATTTTATATATTTTTTTATTTTTTTATTTTTTATTTTATTTATTTTATTATTTTATTTTATTTATTTTATTATTTTATTTTATTTGTTTAGTTTAGTTTAGTTTAGTTTAGTGTTAATCTTCAATTCAATTCAGTCTGGTAAAAACTTAACAGTTCAAGTCCTAAACAAGGACCCAAGTGTGGTAACGTTTGAATATAGAGTCAGTATCGAATAAGGTGGTTTTTTGCAAAGGATGATGATGATGATGACTCAAGACAACCTTCCATCCCGGTAGAAACTGAGATGGAGGATCGGTGTAATTGTAAACACTGAAAACCGAAAACCTAACTTTCCTATAGGATGGGACCCTTGCCACTGTACATAGACGGTCACCTGGTAGATCCTTATTTCAATGTTTGCAGTTCAGTGTAGGGTGGTACCAGCAGGCAGCTGTAGACCTTTATCTGTCTAATTTTAGAGTGTGAATTCACTCCGCAATCTTCTCTCACGGCTCTTCTTTTTGTCTGCTACCAAGGAGTCGTTTGAGGAGAAAAACAGGCTTCTGAGAGAGCGCATGGACAGGATCTTTTCTTGCAACGAGCGGCGTTGCTCCAGGGCACCCATCTACGGCAAGGATCTCCGTAGGATTTGCACCCTGGTGGGCGACTCCAACACGACCCCTCAGTTCTCCACCGCGGCCAGCAAATGGAGGTGGGCTGGCTTTGTCAACTGCCGTCAACTCTCCAAAGATCATCAAGACCCTCTTCAAGGCTTGACCCGGCAGCTGGAACAGCAGCAGCAGTCCTTGAGGGACACCATCAGCAGGTGATTCCAAGCGCCGTCCTTGCCTGGAGCGTCTTCCTAAGGGCACGTGTGGAATTGTGTAAAGCCCAGGGCTCTCCAACCATGGCAGCTTTAAGACTTGTGGCTGGAGCGTCTTCCTAAGGGCACGTGTGGAATTGTGTAAAGCCCAGGGCTCTCCAACCATGGCAGCTTTAAGACTTGTGGACTTCGACTGCCAGAAGTCCACAAGTCTTAAAAGTTGCCAAGGTTGGAGAGCCCTGATCTAGTTTATGGGCTCTGGAGGGAACTGATTGGAGCCTCAGATGATTGTAGTTGGAAGGTGGGTGTATTTTCTCCCATATTTTCTCCCATATTTTCTTTTGCTGCTAAAGAGCCGCGTGTTTCTTGGCCATCCTTACAGTCGTAAGGTACCAAAAAGGCATCTTCATCCGTTCCTCTGTAACCAGCCAGGTGGTTCTAGAGCAGGATGGGGGGCTTCAGCCTTCCAGATGTTGCGGAACTCTTGACCTGTCTGTGTAATGTCTAGTTGCAGTACTTCGTTCAGGGTTGGGAGTTACTCAGCTGAGCTTTGAGCTCGTCTCCAGCTTGATGTATCCTCCTCCTCCTCCTCCTCTCTGCAAACCCCTCTCCCTTCAAGCACTGATGATGTTACCTAGTTTGGGTAATGAAACATCTGCAAGAGAACAACCAAGCTCAGAGAGCACCAAGGACCTCTAATGCTGGTCTTGGACCATAATAAAGATTGATTGATTGACTAAGGATCCAGATTCTTCTTCTCCTTCTCCTTCTCCTTCTCCTTCTCCTTCTCCTTCTTCTTCTTCTTCTTCTCCTTCTTCTCCTTCTTCTTCTCCTCCTCCTCCTCCTCCTCCTCCTCCTCCTCCTCCTCCTCCTCCTCCTCCTCCTCCTCCCTGCAAAGCCCTCTCCCTTCAAGCACTGATGATGTTACCTAGTTTGGGTAATGAAATGTCTGCAAGAAAACAACCAAGCTCAGAGAGCACCAAGGACCTCTAATGCTGCTCTGGGACCATAATAAAGATTGATTGATTCACTAAGGATCCAGATTCTTCTTCTTCTTCTTCTTCTTCTTCTTCTTCTTCTTCTTCTTCTTCTTCTTCTTCTTCTTCTTCTTCTTCTTCTTCTTCTTCTTCTTCTTCTTCTTCTTCTTCTTCTTCTTCTTCTTCTTCTTCTTCTTCTTCTTCTTCTTCTTCTTCTTCTTCTTCCTCTTCTTCTCCTTCTCCTCCTTCTCCTTCTCCTCCTTCTCCTTCTTCCTCCTCTTCTCCTCCTCCTCCTCCTCTCTGCAATCCCCTCTCCCTTCAAGCACTGATGATGTTACCTAGCAATCCCCTCTCCCTTCAAGCACTGATGATGTTACCTAGTTTGGGTAATGAAACATCTGCAAGAAAACAACCAAGCTCAGAGAGCACCCCACCGTTGTGGTCCTCCTCCTCCTCCTCCTCCTCCTCCTCCTCCTCCTCCTCCCAGTCTTCAAGAATTGGGACTATAAATAGTCAAATTCCGGAAGGACCATTCCCCCCCCCCCAAGGGTGAAGGGTTTTGAAATTGTGCGGGTCACAACATGGCCCCACCAGGAACATTTGCTATGGTTGTGCTTTGTTTCCAAGGGCCCTCTGTGTGTTGCCTGCTGCCGTGGCCGCTCCTCCGTCTTTGCACATGGCAAGGCTTCCCCCTGTTTATCGCCATCGGATGAAGCTCCTCCGACACAACCTGAAGGAGAAGACGCTGCCTTACCTGAACCAGCTTCATCAGCTGACCATGCCCCGGCTGCTTCCGTTTCCTGACCTCCGTCTAATCCAGTACGATGCAGGTAGAGGCAACTGCTTGAGGTGTGCCTGTCCGTCACCTGACCGGGGACGTCGCGCTCTCAAATCTGATTTTTCTTCTTCTTCCATCGCAGGGAAGTTGGAAGCCCTGGCGGTCTTACTGCAGAAGCTGAAGTCAGAAGGGCGAAGGGTGCTGATCTTGTCCCAGATGATGCTCATGTTGGACATCTTGGAACGGTTCCTCAACTTCCATTTCCTCACCTATGTGAGAATCGACGAATGCGCAAACCAGGAGGAGCGCCAGGTGTGACTCGCTATTTATCTCACTCACTCCAGAATTTGACACGAGTTGAGCTTTGTAACTCTCCCCTTAGCATGCTCCCTGTGGGAGGAAACCCGTTTGCACCCAGTGAGCAAGTTCACCCATCACATTCAGGTCTGTAACAGACTAACAAAGAATAACAGAGTTGGGAGGGACCTGGGAGGTCATCTAGTCCAACCCCCTGCTCAGGCAGGAGGTCCTATACCATTTTAGACAAATGGCTGTCCAGTCTCTTCTTAAAAACTTCCAGTGATGGAGCAGCCACAAACTCTGGAGGTTCCACTGATTAATTGTCCTCACTGTCAGGAAATTTCTCCTTAGTTCTAGGTTGCTTCTCTCTTTGGTTAGTTTCCACCTGTTGCTTCTTGTCCTGCCTTCAGGTGCTTTGGAGAATAGCTTGACTCCCTCTTCTTTGAGGAAGCCCAGTATTGGAAGACTGTTATCATGTCATTCCTTGTCCTTCTCTTCGTTAAACTAGACATGCCCAATTCCAGCAACCGTTCCTTATATGTTTTAGCTTCCAGTCCCCTAATCCTCTTTGTTGCTCTTCTCTGCACTCTTTCTAGAGTCTCAGAATCTTTTTTACATCGTGGTGACCAAAACTGGATGCAGTATTCCAAGTGTGGCCTTACCAAGGCCTTGTAAAGTGGTATTAATACCTCACGTGATCTTGATTCTGTCCCTCTGTTAATATATATAATATAATAATAATAATCCTTCTGTTAATGCAGCCCAGCACTGTGTAGTCCGTCTCTTCTTTAGACTTTTAGACACACGCAGCTCCTGCAACCTGTTCATCCTAGGTTTCAGTTTGCATCCAGACACGGACTTCACCAGACATGGATTTCTGCCTGCTTCAATTGGGCCAATCCAGCCATGTTTAGCTGTTAGCCAGTGAGGCTGGGGCAGATCCTGTTTTCCGGTTCTACTCGTGAGCGTTGGCAACCAGTGTGTCCTTTCTCCCTATCAGGAGCTGATGAAAACCTTCAACCGAGACAAACGGCTTTTCTGCGCCATCCTCTCTTCCCACAGCCGCTCCACGGGCGTCAACCTTGTGGAGGCCGACACCGTTGTGTTTTACGACAACGATTTAAACCCGGTGATGGAAGCCAAAGCTCAGGAGTGGTGCGACCGGATTGGCCGGTGCAAGGACATCCACATTTACAGGTGATGTTAGCGAAAAGGAAGACACAACCCTGGAGGAAAGGCTGGACCTAACCCTATCCTTCCAAATCATTGTTATTCGTTCTTTTTTTTTTTGGAGGGGGGGGGGATCCAATACGTCCTTGACTTACAACCGTAACAGATGCCCAAAATTTCTGTTAAGTGAGACATCTGACATTTGAGACCTTCGCGAAGTGAGTTTTCCCCCTTCCTACGACTTTTCTTGCCACCGTTCCTTTTTTTTATATATATTATTATTTTTAACCAACAAGACAAAACAGAACAAAGCAAAACATAACACACATACACATACAATATATGCTCCTCCTTTTTTTTTTTTACAGCAATTACGTAATGGTAATCTAATATTTACATTTCCCCCTTATTCTTCTTTAGAATATTTGTCCTTATAGCCCCATTATTTCTTATTTATTTATTTTATTTATGAGACTTATATACCGCTTTAAGTGCAAGCACTCTCTAAGCGGTGTACACCAGTAAGCAATGTATATCTATATATATATTTACATTGCCCCCAACAATCTGGGTCCTCATTTTACCTACCCCGGAAGGATGGAAGGCTGAGTCAACCTTAAGCCGGTGAGATTTGAACCGGTGACCTGCTGAACACAGTCAGCTAAAGTGGCCTGCAGTACTGCACCCTAACTGCTGAAATTTACATTTTTCTTCCTACGTGTTCTACTTCTTACTAAGAATAATTCATATTATTATTATTATACGTTATTATACACATATTTTCACTTTTGACCTTTCCATATTTATTCTCCTCTTGCCACCGTTCCTAAAGGGAATCACTGCCGGTGGGGTTCAGTCAATCTGGCTTCCCCATTGACTTTGCTTGTCAGAAAGTCACAAAAAGTGATCACATGACCCTGGGACGGTCATCAATGTGAGTCAGCTGCCCCGTGTTCTGACGTCAACGCTGCTCACATCGGATGTTCTGCCTTGACAACATAGGGAGATGTAGCTTTGCTTCTTTAACTTAGTTCCATCTCTTGGGAACTTCTGGCGCATGATCGACCGACATGGCGCACCTTGGTGTACCAGGGTTGCCAGACATATGAACACAGAAGGACAATCTTGGCGCAAGAGAAGCGAGCACTCCGCAAAGCCAGAGCTGCAAATGCTGAAGTAACAGTGTCTGCATTTCCTTGTTCAGTATGTGGCAGAACATTCCGTGCCAACATCGGTCTTATTAGCCACCTATGGACACATCGTTGATGGCCCATAACCCACAAGATGTCAAGGTCTTCATCGAAATCGATGGACGAACAACAACTTTAGAGTTAGAATTGGTTGGTGCTGGGGGGGGGGGGAGGAGGAAGAACGTCTCTCAAGGTTGTTTTGAAATAAGAGAAGAGAAGAATTTGTCCAGTAGTTAAAACAGGAGGGAAAGCTTACAATTCAAACTAATTGGAGAATGTGATTTATGACGGTTAATTAGAGGGAGGAGCTGTGCTTTTGATACTATGTGCTTAGGGGAGAGGATGACCATGTACATGCAGAAGCTATGCTTTTGTGATTAAAGGCTCCTTAAGGTAAACAATGCCTCAAAGTTCTTTGAAGAATTGCATCTGTCGGAACCATGGCATCTGAATTTTGACCACATGACCGTGGGGATGCTGCGACGGTCATAAGTATGAAAAGCAGCCATTTTTTTTCCAGTGCTGTGCAACTTCGAACAGCACTAAACGAAACTGTTGTAACTCAAGGACTACCTGTATTATCCACGGCTTTCCTGTTTTTCCCAGACACTGTCTTTGGCCCTTCCTTGTAAAGCCATGCTTCCTCTCTGATTTCTCCAGGCTGGTCAGTGGAAACTCGGTGGAAGAGAAACTCTTAAAAAATGGGACTAAGGATCTGATCCGAGAAGTAGCTGCTCAAGGAAACGAGTACTCCATGGCCTTTTTGACGCAGGTAAATCTTCTTGTTGAAAACGGCAGGCAGATTTTAGCATGGGGGGGGGGCGGTGGCTTTGGGGAAGTCTGACTACTTGACCCCCCCCCCAGAAAGGCTCGGGAAATGAAGGGGTGTAGAAATGAAAGATTCTTGTCCCAGCTTCCTACCCATCTAGCAGTCCGAAAGCGCGCAAAGGCGAGTAGATGAATAGGTATCACTTCGGTGGGAAAGGCAATAGCGTTCAGTGCACCTTTGGTGTAGAGTTATACTGGCCACAAACATTGTCTTTAGACAACGCTGGCTCCCTCAGCCAAGAAACGGAGCTGAGCACGCTCCCTAGAGCAGGGGTGGGGAACCTTGGCTCTTTGATGACTTGTGGACTTCAACTCCCAGGATTCCACAAGTCATAAAAGGGGGCCATAGTTCCCCATGCTGGCTCAGGAATTCTGGGAGTTGACGTCCACAAGTCCTAAAGGGGGACATAGTTCCCCAGGCTGGCTCAGGAATTCTGGGAGTTGAAGTCCACAAGTCCTAAAGGGGGCCATAGTTCCCCATGCTGGCTCAGGAATTCTGGGAGTTGAAGTCCACAAGTCCTAAAGGGGGACATAGTTCCCCAGGCTGGCTCAGGAATTCTGGGAGTTGAAGTCCACAAGTCCTAAAGGGGGCCATAGTTCCCCAGGCTGGCTCAGGAATTCTGGGAGTTGAAGTCCACAAGTCCTAAAGGGGGCCATAGTACCCCATACTGGCTCAGGAATTCTGGGAGTTGTAGTCCACAAGTCCTAAAAGGGGCCATAGTTCCCCAGGCTGGCTCAGGAATTCTGGGAGTTGAAGTCCACAAGTCCTAAAGGGGGCATAGTTCCCCAGGCTGGCTCAGGAATTCTGGGAGTTCCCAGGCTGGCTCAGGAATTCTGGGAGTTGAAGTCCACAAGTCCTAAAGGGGGCCATAGTTCCCCAGGCTGGCTCAGGAATTCTGGGAGTTGAAGTCCACAAGTCTTAAAGGGGGACATAGTTCCCCAGGCTGGCTCAGGAATTCTGGGAGTTGAAGTCCACAAGTCCTAAAGGGGGCCATAGTTCCCCAGGCTGGCTCAGGAATTCTGGGAGTTGACGTCCACAAGTCCTAAAGGGGGCCATAGTTCCCCAGGCTGGCTCAGGAATTCTGGGAGTTGAAGTCCACAAGTCCTAAAGGGGGCCATAGTTCCCCAGGCGGGCTCAGGAATTCTGGGAGTTGAAGTCCACAAGTCCTAAAGGGGGCCATAGTTCCCCAGGCTGGCTCAGGAATTCTGGGAGTTGAAGTCCACAAGTCCTAAAGGGGGCCATAGTTCCCCAGGCTGGCTTAGGAATTCTGGGAGTTGAAGTCCACAAGTCCTAAAGGGGGACATAGTTCCCCAGGCTGGCTCAGGAATTCTGGGAGTTGAAGTCCACAAGTCCTAAAGGGGGACATAGTTCCCCAGGCTGGCTTAGGAATTCTGGGAGTTGAAGTCCACAAGTCCTAAAGGGGGCCATAGTTCCCCATGCTGGCTCAGGAATTCTGGGAGTTGAAGTCCACAAGTCCTAAAGGGGGATATAGTTCCCCAGGCTGGCTCAGGAATTCTGGGAGTTGAAGTCCACCAGTCATCAAAGAGCCAAAGTTCCCCACCCCTGCCCTAGAGTCAGACACGATTGAACAGGATAAACTTTCACCTCTACCTAGGAACCAAGGTAAGCCAACCAGGCAGGTGAAGATGGAATAAGCCTTCCCTTCCCTTCTCTCTGCAGCAAACAATTCAGGAACTTTTTGAAGTTCACTCACCGATGGAGGATTCGGGCTTCCGGGTGAAAGCCGAAGAATTCGTCATGCTGTCGCAAGAGCCGTCTCCATCCGAAACCATCTCTCCTAAAGTGGCCAGGCCCTTTATAGAGGTGAGGAAGGACACAGCTTTTCAGCCGATGTCAGAACGTGTGGAGCATTTGTGTTTTGGATTTACCGGTTGAGCGTTGAGCTGCTGGGGGGGACAGGTTCCTTTGGTGAGGTATCTTTAACGTCCAAGTGGTCCTCCATTTAACGACCGGCTGCTTGGCGACTTGCAAGTGACCCTTCCCAGAGCTACCTCCGCCCTGGTTCCGAAGTTCCAATGGCTGACCCCATTTTGGGCAGGCGGCAACCTGTGTTTGTTTGTTTGTTTATTTATTTATTTATGAGACTTATATACCGCTTTAAGTGCAAGTACTCTCTAAGCGGTGTACACCAGTAAGCAATGTATGTGTGTGTGTGTGTGTGTGTGTGTGTGTGTGTGTATATATATATATATATATATATATATATATATATATATATATGGGTCCTCATTTTACCTACCCCGGAAGGATGGAAGGCTGAGTCAACCTTGAGCCGGTGAGATTTGAACCGCTGACCTGCTGAACACAGTCAGCTAAAGTGGCCTGCAGTACTGCACTCTTAACTGCTGCGCCACCTCGGTTCGTGTTTATGGCTATTTCTTGGATCTTGCGGATCACGTGACCCCATTTTACGGCATTTTTGCCCCAAACCGGTATTTTTCTCCGGTTTTGACCATAGTGACCTATGGCCGTCATGGGTAGGCTTCATCCTGGTTGTAAGTCGAGAACTACACATATTGTTTCAGTTTATAGATCAAATTCACAAAGTGTGCACCTTTGCTTCCTCAGGCCAACAAACGTAACCTATTCCCGTCATATAAAATCCATATTTTTCTGGTGCAGAATTAGATTTGAAAACACCAGAGATAGTTACGCCTCTTATTCCATGCTGGATTGGTGGCAAAACTCCCACCTTCTCCCCTTGCCCTCTACTCTCCACCCATCCCTCTTTTGGGTTATTGTATGGATGTCTTCTCATTGTGCTCCTTTTCAGTGTTTATTGTTGTGTTATTTTACTTCCTTTTCATAATAATAATAATAATAAAGTTGGAATGGACCTTGGAGGTCATCTAGTCCAACCCCCTGCTCAGGCAGGAAATCCTATACCATTTCGGACAAATGGCTGTCCAGTCTCTTCTTAAAAACTTCCAGTTTTGGAGCATTCACTGCTTCTGGAGGCAGGTTGTTCCACTGGTTAATTGTTCTAACTGTCTGGAAGTTTCTCCTTAGTTCTAGGTTGCTTCTCTCCTTGATTGGTTTCCATCCGTTGCTTCTTGTCCTGCCTTCAGGTGCTTTGGAAAATAGCTTGACTGCCCCTTCTTTGGGGCAGCCCCTGAGATATTGGAAGACTCCTATCATGTCCCCCCTCGTCCTTCTCTTCATTAAACTAGACAAACCCAATTCCAGCAACTGTTCCTTATAGATTTTAGCCTCCAGTCCCCTCATCATCTTTGTTGCTCTTCTCTGCACTCTTTCTAGAGTCTCAGCATTTTTTTTACATCGCGGCGACGAAAACTCTTTTTAATGTTGTGAGCCGCCTAGAATAACCACCACAGCGAGATAGGCAGCCAATAAATTTAACAAATGTATCTACTATATGCTATCAGTACAGGGTGAGGAGGAAAAAAAAAAAGGATGCTTTGTGTCTTCCAAAGGCTCTGAAAAGCACCGAACGAGAGGAAGAGGAGAAGGAGGAGAAGGAAGAGGACGAGGAGGAGTGGAACTCACGCGTTCCGGACGGGGAGCGCGAATCGGCCTCGAAGCCTCTGGTTTCAGAACTCGGAAAGGCAGAATATCTTGAGGAACCGTCTCTGCTGAAGGAGCTGGTGGCTGTGGTTGATCAGGTGCCCTTGGTTTCCATCTGTATTTTCGATCCTGATCTTCTGCTATCTGTTTCTCTGTGCTTGTGCTTTTTAATGAGTGAGGGACCTCCTGACTGCTACCTGGGCCAGCCCTTGCAGTTTTCCTGGCATGACTCTTCAGTTTCCCATGCTACCTTCTTCTAAAGATGAGACAGAAGGACTGGCCTAAGATTGCTCTTCCTCTTCTTCTTCTTCTTCTTCTTCTTCTTCTTCTTCTTCTTCTTCTTCTTCTTCTTCTTCTTCTTCTTCTTCTTCTTCTTCTTCTTCTTCTTCTTCTTCTTCTTCTTCTTATTCTTTTCTTCTTCTTCTTCTTCTTCTTCTTTCTTTCTTCTTTTCTTCTTCTTCTTCTTCTTCCCTTGTTCTTCTTCCCTCCTCCTCCTCCTCCTTCTTCTTCTTCTTCTTCCCTTCTTCTCTTCTTTCCTCCTCCTCCTCCTCCTCTTCTTTCCTCCTCCTCCTCCTCCTCCTCATCATCTTCTCCTCCTCCTACTCCTTCTTCTCTCCTCTCCTCCCCCTCCTCCTCTATCTCTTTCTTCTTGTCTCCTCCTCTTTCTCCTCTCTCCTGTCCTCCTCCGCCTCCCCTCCTCCTCCTCATCTTCGCCTTCTCTTCCTCCTCCTCCTCCTCCTCCTCCTCCTCCTCCTCCTCCTCCTCCTTCTTCTGCATCTGATTTTTTTCTCAGCAAACATTCTGCTCTAAGAAAAAAATAGCTGCTTCTTTCTTTTAAGACTGGGCTAGAGCTGTCCAAATTGTCCGTTCTTTTGCTTTTTAAAAGAGTTTAAAAGATTTTGAAAGATTTATACCCCTTTCGAAACCAAGCCCTTGTAGCCGAAGAAGAAGTTGCGTTCTCAGTTTGATAAACAGAGTGTGGTTCTGTTTATCGAGTGACGCCAAATTAATGCAAACCAAGCATGTTTTTTTTTAAAAAATCCTTCTTATTGGTGTTGTGCTGCTGACTTCAAAGGCCATTAATCTGTTGCCCGTTAATATTTGAATTGGCCATTGTATGCCTTCTCTTTGCTATATTTTTTCAGCTCACCCCCATTGAAAAGTATGCCTTGAATTATCTGGAATTCTTTCATGCTTCTGCTGAGGAGAATGAATCCAAAGAAAACGAGGTGGGCTCTGTTTATTTACTTACTCGTGTTTATTTACATGCGTTCTGCCTTTAATATTTTTAAAAATAACTCTAAGGTGGCAAACATATCCAACACACTTTCCCCCTCCTATTTTCCCCACAACCCTGTAAGGTGGGCTGGGATGAGAGAGAGTGACTGTCCTAAAGTCACCCAGCTGGCTTTCATGGCTAAGGCAGAACTAGAACTCCCAGTCTCCTGGTGATTGGCCCAAAGTCTCCAAGCCAAGTTTCCTGCCTAAAGCAGGACTAGAACTCCCAGTCTCCTGGTGATTGGCTCAAAGTCACCCAGCTGGCTTTCATGGCTAAGGCAGAACTAGAACTCCCAGTCTCCTGGTGATTGGCCCAAAGTCTCCAAGCCAAGTTTCCTGCCTAAAGCAGGACTAGAACTCCCAGTCTCCTGGTGATTGTCTCAAAGTCACCCAGCTGGCTTTCATGGCTAAGGCAGAACTAGAACTCCCAGTCTCCTGGTGATTGGCCCAAAGTCTCCAAGCCAAGTTTCCTGCCTAAAGCAGGACTAGAACTCCCAGTCTCCTGGTGATTGGCCCAAAGTCTCCAAGCCAAGTTTCCTGCCTAAAGCAGGACTAGAACTCACAGTCTCCTGGTGATTGGCTCAAAGTCACCCAACTGGCTTTCATGGCTAAGGCAGAACTAGAACTCCTAGTCTCCTGGTGATTGGCCCAAAGTCTCCCAGCCAATTTCCTGCCTAAGACAGGACTAGAACTTACAGACTCCCGTTTTCTAGCCCGGTGCCTTAACCACTAGACCAAACGGACTGGCTGTTGATACGCTGGGAAGTAGGAGCGCTAACATGATTGTGCTATTATCAGTCTCACTTGTCAAAGGAAGACAACATTTCCAGCCCCCTTCAACAGGCACAGGCGTCTTCTGAACACCCCCCCCCCCAGGAAGTCATTTTATGCAGAAATACCGTACCAGTGGCGCGTCGGGTGCAAGCTCTCCCAGAACCTACATTTTCTAGTTTTTACTAGATTTCTGTTTTTTTCATGTCTAGGCGGAAGTGAGGACAGCAAAACGGCAATGGGAGACTCGGCATCTGAAAGGGCTGAAAGAGGAAGAGGAGAAAACGTTTCTGCGAGAGAAGGAGGAAGAGCTTTTCACGTACACGCGAGAGGACGCCTACAACAAGGTAAATCCCGTCGCCTGGAAGGTCTGGACATCTTTCCAGACTTGTGCTGGTTGCGCTTTCCCGTCCCCTTCTCCGTCGGCCGTCTTTTTCGAGGTCGCCCTTCTCCCGTTTGCCGTAAATCAACTTCTCCCACTTAGCGCCAGCCGATGCGAATGCCAGGATGTTCGGGAATGGGAAGGCGACCTGGCGGCGGCTGTGAACGTTTCCGTTTGCTCGGCTTTTTCCTCTTCTTTGTTTCCAGCTGACGATGCTCTTTGGGGCCTTAGAGGCTGAGTCTCGGAGGGTCCCTTAGATGATGCTCCCTATTTTGATCTGGCTGTTAAGAGGGGTGGTAAGACCTGGGGTACATTTGTCATAACATCGGAACTGAATGCACCTCTCTCTGCCCTCTCTCTCCCCACCAACCACCATCCCTGCTCGTACTACAGGAGTATTTTTACGAAGGGCCAGATGGACAGACTGAAATAATGCCAGTAAGTTCTTCTCTTTCTCCTGCTCCCATCCTCTCCTCCTCCCATCTCCTCCTCCTATTCTTTTCCTCCCATTCTTCTCTTTCTCCTTCTCCCATCCTCTCCTCCTCCTCCTCCTCCCATCCTCCTCTCCTCCTTCTCCCATCCTCTCCTCCTCCCATCCTCCTCCTATTCTTTTCCTCCCATCCTTCTCTTTCTCCTTCTCCCATTCTCCTCCTCCTCCTTCCATTTTCCTCCTCCCATCCTCCTCCTCCTCCCATCCTCCTCCTATTCTTTTCTTCCCATCCTTCTATTTCTCCTCCTCCCATCCTCCTCTCCTCCTCCTCCTCCCATCCTCTCCTCCTCCCATCCTTCTCCTTTTCTCCCATCCTTCTCTTTCTCCTTCTCCCATTCCCCTCCTCCTCCCCTCCTCCTCTTCTCCTCCTTTTCCCATCCTCTCCTCCCATCCTCCTTTCCTCTTCCTCCCATCCTCCTCCTATTCTTTTCCTCCCATCCTTCTTTATCCTCCTCTCCTCCTTCTCCCATCCTCCTCTCCTCCTCCTTCTCCCATCCTCCCCTCCTCCTCCCCTCCTCCCATTCTTCTCCTTTTCTCCCGTCCTTCTCTTTCTCCTCCCATTCCCCTCCTCCTCCTCCTCTCCTCCTCCCATCCTCCTCTTCCTCCCATCCTCCTCCTATTCTCCTTTTCCTCCAATCCCCCCCTTCCTCTTCCTCCTCCTCCTCCTCCTCATCCTCATCCTCCTCCTCCTCCTCCTCCTCCAGTGAAACACACAAGTATGTATATACCTGTACAGTTTAGGGAACAAGGGTAACTTTCTCCTGGTGTTTTTTGCAGCTTTGGACTCCACCCACCCCACCGCAGGATGACAACGATATTTACATCGACTCAGTCATGTGTCTGATGTACGAGCCGGTCCCCATCCCAGAATCCAAGCTGCCTCCCGTGTACGTCAGGAAGGAGCGCAAAAGGCACAAGACCGACCCTTCCAGTAAGCTTTGCACGGGATTTGGGCTCCGTATACGCCTTCTGTCTTGTGTATTTGCGGCCCCTCTCGCCCCCTTTGCCTGGAAGCTAATTAGGACTCCATCCAAGTCACCTTCCTGGCTCGAGGCTTCACCTGTTTGGGTCAGGCTGCCCTCTGTTTGTCTCTTCACACACACACACACTCACACTCACATAAACACACACAGAGAAAGAGAGACACCTCTCTAGTTGTCCTGCTGACTGTGGCCATCCTCTCTCCCAGCCGCAGGAAGGAAGAAGAAGCAGCGTCACGGAGAGGTGGTCATCCCTCCGCGCTCCCTCTTTGACCGCGCCACTCCAGGGATGCTGAAAGTGCGACGGGAGGGCAAGGAGCAAAAGAAGAACATCCTGCTCAAACAGCAGACCCCCTTTGCCAAGCCCTTGCCCACCCTGGTGAAGCCGGCAGCCGAGGCCGGCCAGGACAACCCCGAGTGGCTGATCAGCGAAGACTGGGCTCTCCTGCAGGTGAGGGGTCTGGACTAGAAGACCTCCAAGGTCCCTTTCAACTCTTTTATTCTGTTTTCCTTCCTTCCTTCCTTCTCATTGTTCTTTCTTCCTTCCTTCCTTCCTTCCTTCCTTCCTTCCCATCTCCCTCCCTCCCTCCTCCCTCCCTTCCTTCCTTCCTTCCTCCTTCTCATTGTTCTTCCTTCCTTCCCTCCCATCTTCCTCCCTCCCTCCCTCCCTCCTCCCTTCCTTCCTTCCTTCCTTCCTTCCTTCCTTCCTTCCTTCCTTCCTTCCTTCCTTCCTTCCTCCTTCTCATTGTTCTTCCTTCCTTCCCTCCCATCTTCCTCCCTCCCTCCTCATTGTTTTTCCTTCTCTCCCATCTTCCTTCCTTCCTCCCTCCCTTTCTTCCTTCCTCCTCATTGTTCTTCCTTCCTTCCCTCCCATCTTCCTTCTTCCTTCCTTCCCTCCCATCTTCCTTCTTCCTTCCTTCCTCCCTCCCTCCTCACTTCCTTCCTTCCCTCCCATCTTCCTTCTTTCCTTCCTTCCTTCCTCCTCATTGTTCTTCCTTCCCTCCTACCTTCCTCCCTCCCTCCCTCCCTCCCTCCTCACTGGAGGTTTTCAAGAAGAGACTGGACGGCCATTGGTCTGAAGTGGTAGAGGGTCTCCTGCTGGAGCAGAGGGTTGGACTCCAAGGCCCCTTCCCGTTTATTCCGTACTTTGATGCCTTCCTCTCGGTCTTCCACCTTCACTCCAGGCCGTCAAGCAACTGCTGGAGCTGCCCCTCAACCTGGCCATCCTGTCCCCCGCGCACACCCCCAACTGGGACCTGGTGAGCGACGTGGTGAACTCCTGCAGCCGGGTTTACCGCTCTCCCAAGCAGTGCCGCAACCGCTACGAAAACATCGTCATTCCCCGCGAAGAAGGGAAGGTGAGTGCCAGCCCAAACGGGGCCGCCTCTCTGAGCCTGCGGCCGAACGGGGTGGGGGCGGAGGGGCGAGCCGGGCCCGCTCCGAAGCGGTTCCCTCTCTGTGACCGTGTGTGTGTGTGCCTGTGTGTGTGCCTGTGTGTGTGTGTGATGCTTTGGTGTGGTGCTTTATCCTCCTCCTCCTCCTCCTTCTTCTTCTTTTTAAAAGAAATGTTCTTATTATTTTGCTTGTTAAGAAATTGCTAAGATGTTCCCGCGACCGCCCGGCTGCCCCCTTAAGCTAGGTTCGACCCTGACGCCTCTTTGACGGACGGGCACGGAGACTGTAGACCCAGAAATTTGTGCCAAGGCTTTCCAGCATGCTCCCCACTTCCTTTGGGGGGGGGTCCCATCAGGGATGACGGGGCCTGTCTCTCCCCCCCCCCACTCCCCCCAGGCCTTGTGCCTGCCCCTCCTTTGCCCACGACTCCATGAAGGACTTCTTTGAATTAATTGTTCCACGGAGAGTCTCAGCCATCTAACTCATGGCTGTCCCAAAGGTCCTTTTTTTTTTCCCCCCCAAAAGGCTCCTGGACTTCCTTTGTTTTTCCCCGGACCTTGTTTTTCTCTCCCCCCCCCCCTTTTTCTTTGATGGTGATTTTATTACTATTTTTTTTTTAATTTTTTGTGACACTAATCGCCTTCCCCAAACCCATGGCAGAAAGTCAAAACTTTGCTTCTTATTTTACAGCTTATGTATGAAGCGAATCCTAAGAAGAAGACTAAAAGCATTTATAAGGTGTGCACTTATAAATTGTTGTTCCAATGCAGACAGTTCCGACTCTCTTTAGGCGTCCGCAGAGATGGGGGCCCGAGCTGAAGTAGGAACCGGTCCATATTTTCCCCACCCGAACCCCCCCCCCCACCATCCAATTCGAAACCCTTTCGAAGCCTTCCGCCTTTTTAATTTTCGCGTCCCGACGCAGTAGAATTGTGATTTGTGGTCCCTTTTGTGTCTCCAGCATGCGGTTGAGCAATTTCCTCACCCGGTTTGAATATCTTTTTTTTTTTTTTAATTATTGTTTAGGGAAAAAAAAAAGAAAAGAAAAGAACGATAGAATCCATCCACCTCCCCAGAAATGACACCTCATTCCTCATGAATTTTTTTTTTCCTTTCTTTCTTTCTTTCTTTTTTTTTTTTTTTAATTTTTGGGGTTTGAATTAATACAAGTCTGGTTACTAGCTGGTTTTATTTATTTATTTATTTATTTTTATTTTTTTACTTTTCATTTTGAAATCTGATTGCTTTGCAGAACTTTAATGAATTAATCCCTGCAACACCCCTTCAGGTAACGTATCACCTCCTCTCCACCCCCTTCAAATTGACCCCTGCGGAATTTGAGCATCACGTTAGCTGTAGCTGTATTGTTAGGAGATGTAGTGGTCCTTCTGAGTGGTTCTCTACAAATTGGATAACACACATAACACACAAACACACCAATGAGAGGACAAAGCTCCGGACCCCTCTTTCTCACATCACAAACATTAAGCCTTTTCTTCCCAGGGGAGGGGGAAAAAACCTCCCCAAACCTTTGAAAGGTTTGTGAGGTTGCAAATGAACAGTTTGCAAGCTGATTAGCAGAGCGACATTTCGAGAAAAAGCTCCATGTCTCTGTGTGTGGGTGTGTTGGCCTGTGCAACAGAGGCGAGGCCAAGTTCTAGCATCACACTAAACCTTCATTTGGTTGGCTTGATTTGGACTTTACAGGTTGCATAGATCTGGCCCTGTGAGGCTTAACAGTTGTGGTTTCCCACTTAGCCCGATGGTGTTATGGCAGGGCGTTCAGGGTGTTCAGCAAACTGTTTTTTTTAAACTGATTTTCTCTGTGATGGGGAAAACCTTCCTGCGTTGGGAGGAATGGTCCAAGAGCACTTGCTCCTTGTGTGGCAACCCTAAAGGCTGTTTTGGAACTAGCTTGTCATAAATGTTGATGCTACAACCAGCTGTGTTTAGTTCTGGAAATCAGAGGTCAGGCAATGAAGAGATCAATAAGCAGTCCTTCGCCTCTTCCAGTTCATTATCCTAAGACGTGAGAAAACACATATTCAAAATTACGTTAGGGTTTGTTTCATCCCTTCTCAGCCTTCACTGGAGTTACTCTTGTCTAATTATCCAGACAATATCCTCTGGTCTAGATGGAATCTATATGCTGGCTGGGGAATTCTGGGGATTTATTAAAGTTGCCCACATACAGAAACGTCGGCTTAAAGCAGGAGTCTTCAAATTTGGCTCTGACTGAGGAATTCTGGGAGTTGAAGTCCACAAGTCATAAAAGGGCCAAGTTTGAAGACCCCTGGCTTAAAGTCTTGGTGAAACCCATTGATCTCCAGTAATTGTAAAGTGTTAATCTAGGGAAGACAGACCCACGGGAATTCTGGGAGTTGAAGTCCACACTTCAGAAAGTTGCCCAGGTTGAGAAACACTGTTAATAGTCTCATAATTGGAGAACGCCAGAATAGGGAAGATTGCGGTGTTGACACTCCCACAAGGGTTGGTGTATAGACCAGTGCCTCCCCGTTTCTTTCCATTCTGCTCCACATACGAAGTTTGTCATTTGTTCACGTTTAGACAAAGAACAGTCGCCCGCTTCGGACCAACCAGCTGTATGCCCAGGATGAAGGTGCATCGCACACCCATCTCTATACAAACCATTTCGAGATCATGAAATTAATCGCTGGGAAGAGAAGCCCGCCTATCAAACCCCTGTAAGTTCATAAAGGAACACTAAGGAGAAAGTGAGTCCTTTCCATACTTAATAGCCTGAATCCAGTGGGCGATCCCCAGACGTGATCTTTATAAAGAAGAGGCAGGTGTAGTGGGGAGGATCTTAACTTAGAAACCAGGAGACACCCCAGAAGACAAGCTCAGGATCCCAACAGATCTTGACAGACTTGAGCAAAGAGCCCTATCCCACAAAATGAAATTTAATGTGGAGAAAAGCAAGGTTTTACCTCTGGGTAAGAAAAACCAGTCCAGGCCATGGTTTTCCCAGTTGCAATGTATGGCTGTGAAAGTTGGACCATAAGAAAGGCTGAGCGCCAAAGAATTGAGGCCTTTGAACTATGGTGCTGGAGAAGACTCCTGCGAGTCCCTTGGACTGCAAGGCGTTCAAACCGGTCAGTCCTAGAAGAGATCAACCCCGACTGCTCTTTAGAAGGCCAGATCCTGAAGTTGAAACTCAAATACTTTGGCCACCTAATGAGAAGGAAGGACTCACTGGAGAAGGGCCTAATGCTGGGAAAGATTGAGGGCAATAGAAGGGGACGACAGAGAATGAGATGGCTGGATGGAGTCACTGAAGCAGTAGGTGTGAACTTAAATGGACTCCAGAAGATGGTAGAGGACAGGAAGACCTGGAGGAACATTGTCCATGGGATCACGATGGGTCGGACACGACTTCGCAATTAACAACAACAAAGAAAAACCAAAGGTGCAAGTACAGATTAGGCAAGAAACCTGGCTGAAAAAGAGTAACTGTGAGAGGGACCTTGGAGTCCTAGTGGATGATCGCTTAAACACGAGCCAGCCGTGTGCAGCAGCAGCCAGAAAAAGCTAATACAATCCTGGGTTGCATAAACAGAGGCATAGAATCAAGATCACGCGAAGCATTAGTACCGCTTTATAAAGCCTTAGTAAGGCCACACCTGGAATACTGCATCCAGTTTTGGTCACCACATTACAAAAAAGATGTTGAGACTTTGGGGGAAAAAGTGCAAAGAAGAGCAACTAAAATGATTAAAGGCCTGGAGACGGAAGCATATGAAGAACGGTTGCAGGACTTGGGTTTGGCCAGTCTAGAGAAAAGAAGGATGGGGGGGGGGGGACATGATAGCAATATTCCAGAATTTGAGAGGAAGGGGTCAACTTATTCTCCAGAGCACCTGAAGGCAGGACAAGAAACAATGGATGGAAACTAAATCAAGGAGAGAAGCAACCTGGAATTAAGGAGAAACTTCCTAACACTGAGGACAATTAAGCAAGTCATAAGTTAAGCTTGCTTTCAGATGTTTTAGGTGCTTCATCCCTGGAGGTTTTTAAGAAAAGACTGGACAGCCACTTGTCTGAAATGATATAGGGTCTCCTGCTTGAGCAGGGGGCTGGACTAGAAGTCCTCCAAGGCCCCTTCCAGCTCTGTTCTGATTCGGATTGATTGAGACAGGGAGTTCTAAGTCCTGCTTAAGGCATGAAAGTTGACTTTGGATCAATTACCAGGAGATTGTGAGTCCTAGTCTCACCTGAGGCACAAAAGCCAGTTGAGTGACTTTGGACAAACCACCAGGAGACAGTGAGTTATAATTCCACCTTAGACAGGAAAGCCAGCTGGGTGCATTTGGGCCAGTCCCTCTCTCTCATGCCAGCCTATCTCACAGGTAAGTTGTGAAAATAGGAGAAGGGAAAAGTATTAGGTACGTTCACCACCTTGTGTTACTTTTAAAGTAGTAAGGGGCAGGATAAAAATCTAATCAACTAGAAATACAGCCTCGTGTTAAATCAGTGTTTCGCAACCTTGACCATTTCAAGGCATGTGGACTTCAACTCCCAGAATTCCACAGCCAGCATTGCTGGCTGTGGAATTCTGGGAGTTGAAGTCCACATGCCTTAAAATGGTCAAGGTTGAGAAACACTGTGTTATAGGGTTCCTATAACCAACAACATGTTGGTTTAAGGCAGTGTTTCTCAACCTTGACAATTTTAAGGCATGTGGAGTTCAACTTCAACTCCCAATGCTGGCTGTGGAATTCTGGGAGTTGCAGTCCACATGCCTTAAAATGGTCAAGGTTGAGAAACACTGTGTTAAATAATAGAAGTAGGCACTCAAGAAAAGCATGAAGGAATGTCTTACGAACAAACGATGTGCCTGGATAGGCCCCTTCTGAGGTTAATTTGGGGTACTGATTTGTCTGCTTAAGCTGATTCCTCCATTTCAAACGTGGATTGGCGTCTAATTACACGTGGCATTTTTAAATTGCGTGACTTTCCAACAAAGGCTCTTTTTTGGGTTTTTTTTTATTTCAGACTTGGCATGAACCCTTTCCAGAAAAATCCAAAACACACTTCGGTCCTTGCAGAAAGGTAAGAAATTGCAAGACAAGGTAGAAAAAAACAAGGATCTTGATCTAGATCCTTGTCACCAAACTTGGCCACTTTTAAGACTTGTGGACTTCAACTCCCAGGATTCCTCAGCCAGCCATGCTGGCTGGGGAATTCTGGGAGTTGAAGTCTACAAGTCTTAAAAGGTTGGCTAAGTTTGGAGAGCCTTGATCTAGAGTTTAGAATATTTACCCCAACATCTTCTTATTCCAGTGAGGTGTTATATGTACGCAACCCAGCACTGAAAATCATCAGGGTTGAATTAACTGCTTGATGCCTATTTTTTTTTTTCTTTTAGAATATCTGACTTGGCTCGCTTGCTCAATGGTTCATTCATTTATTCATGTACTCATTCACTCATTCGTCATATTTCTATACCACCCACCTGACCTAACTATTTATTATTATTATTTTGTATCTATTACCTGTCTATTTTTCCTCTGTTTCTAGCGGCATCAACTATGATAAACCCCTGCCTCCGATTCAAGTTGCGTCTCTCCGGGCAGAACGCATCGCCAAGGAAAAGAAGGTATCTCAAAAGAGAGAGAGAGGGATTGTGGTTTTAATTCTTGGGCCTATCTGCAGATCATACTAGTCCGTCCTTCCTTCCTTCCTTCCTTCCTTCCTTCCTTCCTTCCTTCCTTCCTTCCTTCCTTCCTTCCCTCCCTCCCTCCCTCCCTCCCTCCCTCCCTCCCTCCCTCCCTCCCTCCTCTCCATATATTCCCCCCCTCCATAAATTCCACTTCCTCCTAGCACTGATGATGTTATCTAGTTGGGTCATGAAACATCTGCAAGAAAACAACCAAACTCAAGAGAGCACCAAAGCCAGTCCTTCCTTCCTTCCTTCCTTCCTTCCTTCCTTCCTTCCTTCCTTCCTTCCTTCCTTCCTTCCTTCCTTCCTTCCTTCCTTCCTTCCCTCCCCCTTCCCTCCCTCCCTCCCTCCTCTCCATAAATTCCACTCCCTTCTAGCACTGATGATGTTACCTAGTTGGGTCATGAAACATCTGCAAGAAAACAAGCAAGCTCAGAGAGCACCAAGGACCCCATAGTCTGTCCTTCCTTCCTTCCTTCCTTCCTTCCTTCCTTCCTTCCTTCCTTCCTTCCTTCCTTCCTTCCTTCCTTCCTTCCTTCCTTCCTTCCTCCCTTCCTCCTTTCCTCTCTCCCTCCCTCCCTCTCTCCTCTCCATAAATTCCACTCCCTTCTAGCACTGATGATGTTACCTAGTTGGGTCATGAAACATCTTCAAGAAAACAAGCAAGCTCAGAGAGCCCCAAGGACCCCACATTAACTAGGTAATTGGAGGCCACTCCCTCCTTCTCAGCCCTAGACAGAAGGAAGCAAGATCAAACCACATCTGGACACCTTGCCAAGAAAATGGCAGGGACCCCCACAGGGGAGCTCCACTGCCAACTCTTTGGCTGTCTTCTTCTTTCCAGGCTCTGGCAGAACAACAGCGAGCTCAGCAACAAAACGCCCCACAGCAACAGCAGGGGCAGCCATCCCAGCAGCAGCAGCAGCAGCCATCTGGACAGCAAGTGCAGGCTCAGCCTCAGGGGCAAAGCCAAGGGATCCAGCAGCCCCAAGGGGGGCTGCAGACCGTCGCAACCACCGTGGCAAACACTGCTGTGTTGGTAAGAGCCTCCTGCGAGCTTGCCGAGAGGCCGGGAAAGGCTCGTGCTACGCAATCAAGGGTCCCCAAAGCAACCGCTGGATTTTATGCACGGCTTTGGGAAGATTCCTTTCCCTCTCGGCTGTTCGGAGAGATGACACGATTCATGCCAAATGGGTGTAGCGGTGAGGCGGTTCCCTAGTAACCAAGGAGACGGGGAGTTCTAGCCCTGCCTTAGGCGTGAAAGCCAGCTAGGTGACTTTGGGCCAATCAGGAGGACACTGTGAGTTGTAGTCCCACTTTGGGCATGAAAGCCGGCTGGGTGACTTTGGCCCAATCATCTGGCGACGGTGAGTTCTAGTCCTGCCTTAGGCACGAAAGCCGGCTGAGTGACTCTGGGTCAAACACCTGGAGACGGTGAGTTCTAGTCCCGCCTTAGGCATGAAAGCCAGCTGGGCGACTTTGGCCCAATCAGCAGGAAACTGTGAGTTCTAGTCCTGCCTTAGGCATGAAAGCTGGCTGAGTGACTCTGGGTCAAACACCTGGAGACGGTGAGTTCTAGTCCCGCCTTAGGCATGAAAGCCAGCTGGGCGACTTTGGCCCAATCAGCAGGAAACTGTGAGTTCTAGTCCTGCCTTACCCATGAAAGCTGGCTGGCTTGGCCCAACTCACCTCACAGGATTGTTGTTGTAGGGAAAATAGGAAGAAGAAGGAATGACACAAATGTTCGCCACCCTGAGTTACTAACAGGCCCATTAATGCTGGAAAAAATATCTGGAGGGGGTCAGGAGAGTCTGCCCCTGCTTCCTCTCATACCAGTGTGGATGCCTTCTCTCTCCAGGCTGGAACCATGAAACCCACAGTGACTGGCACCAACATACAGACAGGTATATCCAGCCAGTCCTTGCAAAGGGGAAAGGGGAAGAATACATGTTCCCACCCTCCCCCAACCCTCCCCCCCCCACAATTTCTGCCCCACCTGCAACCCGAGTGACCTTAGCTTTGCTTTCAGCCACCGTGAGCGTCAACACCATGACTGGGGTCCCTGCGACGACGTTTCAACCCATCAACAAGCGGTTGGCCTCGCCCATTATACCCGGGACGCTGGCGGTGAGTGGTCGCTTCTCGGAGCAGAAAATTAAGGCAGTTAATTCTGCAAAAAAGGACCGCTTTCTATTAAAGCAGAGGGACCTCTTTTGGAGGAAGAGATGGGATTGGAATTAGGGTGGTTCGGCGCACAAGTCATCCAGATGTTCAGAGTGGGTCTGGCATTTTTGTCCACCTATTATCGAGTCCTTCCCAATGACCTGGGATAGGCAGATGTGGATGTGTTACAAGTACCGTCGCAGGATGTAAGCAGTTCTGAATAGAGCTGCCTTTTGCAATTGACTGATGGTGATTTTATCAATGCTTCTTCTTCTTCTTCTTCTTCTTCTTCTTCTTCTTCTTCTTCTTCTTCTTCTTCTTCTTCTTCTTCTTCTTCTTCTTCTTCTTCTTCTTCTTCTTCTCCTCCTCCTCCTCCTCCTCCTCCTCCTCCTCCTCCTCCTTCATCGCATAGTCAGCCAGATGTTCAGACTGGGTTTGGTATTTTTGTCTACCTATCGAGTCCTTCCCAAGGACCAGGAATAGGCAGATGTGGATGTTTGATGGTGTTACAGATATCATCACAGGATGGAAGCTGTTCCCAATAAAGCCGCCTTTTGCAATTGACCAATGGCGAATTTGTCAATGCCGATAGTGCTCAAGTGGTGCTCCAGTTGTTTTGGGATTGCACCCAAGACTCCGATTACTATTGGTACCACCCTTGCTTGCCTGTGCTGCAGTCGTTCTGTTTCTATTTGTAGGTCTTTGTATTTTGTTACCTTCTCCAGTTCTTTCTCTTCTCTTCTACTGTCTCCAGACACCACCATGTCCACCATCCAGACTTTTTTGTCTTTCTTACCAACAATTGCTAAATCTAGTTCTGTGATTACACAAACCCTTATTTAAGTAACTTGAAAGTGATTTGGCTGCATTGATCTAAAGACATTCCCTATTACATTATTATTCGGGATCGACCTCCCGCCCTCCTGAGGTTGGCGTCCTTCAGTTACAACCCGCGATGCGTTGTGGGTTAACAAGGGACGGCGTCACCCTGTTGGATGCAGGTGGCCAAACTGTTAACAGATGTGACTGAAGAGTCTTGAGAGACAGGAAAGATTCAAGAGAGAAATTGGCCCTGAATCCGAATTTTCAGCCGGGCAACCGGCATCGCAGCTCGCAGTTCCCTTCCGGCGAGGTGACTTCGGCCGCCCATCTGCCAGGCTTCCATATTTTCTCCTCCTTTTTAGACCTCAGCGGCAGGAACCACCCCTGGTCAGGTGGCCCATTCTCAGCAGAGATGCGCCAGCAGCACGTCGGTCACCTCCGCGGAACTAGTGACGCTCGCCTCTACGCCGGGAGTTCGAGCGGTGACTTCGGTGACAGCCTCAGCTGTGGTGACTACTAACCTGACCCCAGTCCAGACCCAGCCGAGGTCTTTGGTCACTCAGGTGACCCCAGGTAAAATCTGGAAGGGGGGGGGGCTACATCCTTGAGGGTAGTGTTTTTCAACCTCGGCCACACTCTGCCACAAGTGTTTTTTAAACTCAGCGAGGTAGAAACGGGGGCCACACAAAGTTCCCCTGGGCTGCACGTTGATTTTTATTTTTTAAAATAGCGCTCTCTCCTTTTTTTAATTGATAGGAACAAGAACTAAGAGCTGATAGATAAAAAGAAACTTTAAAATGAGAAAGGTTTTGTAATATTGTGTTGAATTCCTTTGCCGCCTATCTTGCCCTGGGGGGCCATTCTACCCACAGTTATAAGATAAGATAACCTTTATTGTTATTTTTTTTTTTTTACCTGTGGGCACAACGGCACACATCAAAAGTGAAATTGAGTTGCCCGCTCTCAAAGCACCAAGTCCAAAAGTGGTTTCCAAGGAGAAACAAAATCAATCGTGTTCTTTTCTTTAATGAAAGCAGTCCATTTAGCCACCTCTGCCAGTTTATTTTCCCCCTCTTAATAATTTTTTTCTCCCTCCAGCTGCTTCAGCCAGCGTGCAGCTCTCCGGAAAGACCATCCCTCAAAATCACTTCCAGCTCCTACGCCAACAGCAGCAACAGCAGCAGACAGGAGGACAGGTCCAGGTTCCCCAAGGCCAAGGCCAAGCCCCATCACAACCCCAGATGAAGACCGTTGGCAAGATCTCCCAGGTGAGGACGAGGAGGGTCTACCCTGCCTTTGTGGTTCAGAGGCTGGGCGATCCTTCCCTCCCTCCCTCCCTCTCTCCCAGGGCTTCAGCTTCCAAAGAAGCCGGGAATAGGAATAGGAATGGAAATAACAGAAATAGAAATAGGAACAGGAACAGGAACAGGAACAGGAACAGAACAGAACAGAACAGAACAGAACAGAACAGAACAGAACAGAATAGAATAGAATAGAATAGAATAGAATATAGGAATGAAGAATGGAATGGAATAGAATAGAGGAATAAAGAATGGAAATAGGATAGGATAGGATAGAATAGAGGAATGAAGAATAGAATAGAATAGAACAGAAAAGAGAATAGAATAGAATAGAATAGAGGAATGAAGAATGGGAATAGAATAGAATAGAATAGAATAGAATAGAATAGAATAGAATAGAATAGAATAGAATAGAATAGAATAGAGGAATGAAGAATGGAAATAGAATAGAGGAATGAAGAATGGAAATAGAATAGAATAGGAATAGAGGAATGAAGAATAGAATAGAATAGAGGAATGAAGAATGGAAATAGAATAGAATAGGAATAGAGGAATGAAGAATAGAATAGAATAGAATAGAATAGAATAGAATAGAATAGAATAGAATAACAGACTTGGAAGGGACCTTGGAGGTCTTCTAGTCCAACCCCCTTCTCAGGCAGGAAACCCTCCACCATTTCAGAAAAGGGGTTGTCCAGTCTCTTTTTCCCAGGGGTGCCTCCCCTTTCTGGCTGGGGAAACCATACAAGAAGTTGGAATTTGCATTCTTTGGCTTCCTCCAACCAGGAGCAGCTCATCAAGTTCCAGAAGCAGAAGATGCAGGCAACACAACCACAAGGCCCCCAGCCCCAAGGAGCCCCCGGAGCACAGCAGCAGGCCACCCAGGTTCAGGTGCAGCAGCAACAGACGCAGCAGCTGACGGCAGTGGCGGCCTCCAGGCCAGGCGCCGTCCTTGCCGGCACCACAGTCACCGGCCTCCAGGTGGCCCGGCTGGTGAGTGACCGCTTGACCATCCCAGAGTGGTCCAGTGCTTTGCTGGGTCTTACAGGGCGGGCCGTTCTCCCCAAAAGTGCATCTTCTTTTCTCACTGAAGCTTACTGAGATTTTTAGAAAGGACAATAAAAGCGAAGACGAAGTTTTTAAAAAAGTGCAAGAAGCAAATGAGTAAGAACAAACTGTCCCCTTTAAAGCAGTGGTTCTCAACCTGTGGGTCGGGACCCCATTTGGGGTCGAACGACCATTTCACGCAGTCCGCCATTTTTTTCCCCATTTTTCGCCATTTTCAGGCGCTTTGGAGAATAGCTTGACCCTCCCCTCTTCTTTGGGGCAGCCCCTGAGATATTGGAAGGCCGCTATCATGTCACCCCTAGTTCTTCTTTTCGTTAGACTAGACGTTCCCAGTTCCCACCTCCTGCTTTGCACCTGTACAATAATCCCGATTCCTTACTGCTTAGACTCGTGTTGCTGCTTCTCAGCTTCAAGCCCAAAGCCAGATCCAAGCTCAGACGCCTCAAGCAGCCCAAGTGGCTTTGGCCAAGCCACCCGTGATGTCCGTTCCGGTGGTGTCCTCGGCAGGGGTTACTGCCCTCCCCGTGACTGTCTCTGGAATCAGCGTGGCGATTGGGCAGCCGCAGAAAGCAGCAGGTATTTGGGTGAAAAGGATTTGGGTGGGAAATGGGGCTGTGGGGGGGGGTCTTCAGTTTAGGTCAGGGGTGGGCAACCCAGGCTGTTTTATGACTCCCTCATGACTCGTGGACTTCAACTCCCAGAATTCCTGAGCCAGCCTGGCTCAGCTTGGAAACCTGTCCCTTTCCCCTCAGCATGGCTGGCTCAGGAATTCTGGGAGCTAAAGTCCACGAGTCATAAAAGAGCCAAGGTTGCCTACCCCTGGTTTAGTTGAACCCCTTGTTTGTTTGTTTATCCACTTCCTATAGCCGCCCAGTCAATGAGTTTGGCTTGCAATTATATATATATATATTTTTCTGAGGTTTTCGCGGGTGTTTGTATGTAGGTCTTTGGTTATTTGTGTTTTCTCCCACGTAAAATTGGATGTGTCTTGGTGACGTTTCAACGAAGTCCCATTCGTCATCTTCAGGCTGGTGTTTTCGGCTTCATGCTTCTAGGAGTAAAGAATGGGAGGAGGAAGCATGAAGCCGAAAACACTAGCCTGAAGATGACGAATGGGACTTCGTTGAAACATTGCCAAGACACTTCCAATTCTACACGGGAGAAAACCCAAATAAATATTTATACACACACACACACATACATACATACATACATACATATATACAGGTAATCCTCCACTTACAACCGTTCGTTTAGTGACAGTTCAAAGTTACAACGACACTGAAAAAAGTGGCTTATGCCTTCTGCTCTTTGCGTCCCGCGCAGGAGGGCAAGCAGTGATGACTCAGCCACTCCACGTCCAACAGTTTTTGAAGGTGAAGCAAGCTCAGCACCACCAGGCAGCCCAGCAGAAGGTCATCCAGCCACAGGTGGCCCAAGGACAGGCAGGTGTTCAGCAGAAGGTCAGTCTCCCTCCTCCTCCTCCAACTCCTTCTAGCACTGATGATGTTACCTAGTTGGGTAATGAAATGTCTGCAAGAAAACAAGCAAGCTCAGAGAGCACCAAGGACCCCATAGTCCGTCCTTCCTTCCTTCCTTCATTCCTCCCTCCCTCCCTCCCTCCCTTCCCTCCTCCTCTCCATATATTCCACTTCCTTCTAGCACTAGTTGTCGTTGTTCTCCTCCTCTCCCTTCTCCTCCTCTCCATAAACCCCTTTCCTGCACCTCTTCTCATTCTCCTCCTCCTCCTCCTCTTCCCCCTCCTCCTCCTCTCCACAAACCCATTTCTCCTTCTTCCCCCATTCCTCCTCCTTTTCCTCCTCCCATTTCTTCTTCTCCTCCTCCTCCTCCTCCTCCTCTCCACAAACCCCATTCCTCCTCCTTCTTCCTCCTCCTTCTCCTCCTCCTCTCCCTCCTCCTCTCCACAAACCCCATTCCTGATCCTCTTCCTCCTCTCTGCAAAACCCCATTCCTCCTCCCCATTTCTTCTCCTCCTCCTCCCATTCCTCTTCCTCTCCACAAACCCCATTCCTCCTCCTCCTCCTCCTCCTCCTCCTCCTCGTAAGGGTTCTTTTAGATTTCATCATCAGAAACCGCATTCCTTGGAGATCCCCCACATTGTCATTCCTAGGGGAAGGTGGCCAAATTGGAAGGTCCTGTGGGTCACTTCCCGGGTCATGATGGAGCCGGGCTGCTCTCCCGAAGGTCTGCCCGCGTTAAGAGGGGAAGCGGCAGAGTTACCCGCTTCTTAATTTCTTCTCCACCATTTGCCTTTCGCCCGAGGAACGCAGATAACCCGGGTGCTTCCCCCCCCCCGTCCTCTCGGAAAGGCAGATGAGTTGATCTTCCCAGCCAGTTAGGGCCTCGAACCCAGCTCCCTCCAGGTCTAGCCCGAGGCAGACACCAGTCATTACCTTCCGCTCCTGGATCAACACCGGATTCACGCCCAGCAGGTCACCGTCCAGACCCAGCAGCCAGCGTCTCAGCAGCAGAAAGTCTACGCCACTCAGCCAGCCATCAAAGCTCAGTTCCTACCAACGTCGATTTCTCAGCCCCAGAAGTCCGGGGGGACGCAGCAGGTCCAGACCCAAATACAGGTAATGAACCCCCCCCTTCCCCTCCCCCTCCATTTCATTTCATTCCTTGGGAAGGGAAGACCCTGGAAACCTGCTCCTGTGTGACGGCAGTTGCAAAGCGAACACTGCAGTCCTTTTGCCAACCCGTTATTTGCTATGTAGGATTTTGGTTTTTTTTAAATTGGAAACCAGAATTAAATACCACCTACCAAATGAAAA